CTCTGAGGGGAACTTTATCGCTCTAAACGGTCTCAGAGTCGGGGCTAGCCGCTCTGAGGGGAACTTTATCGCTCTAAACGGTCTCAGAGTCGGGGCTAGCCGCTCTGAGGGGAACTTTATCGCTCTAAACGGTCTCAGAGTCGGGGCTAGCCGCTCTGAGGGGAACTTTATCGCTCTAAACGGTCTCGGAGTCGGGGCTAGCCGCTCTGAGGGGAACTTTATCGCTCTAAACGGTCTCGGAGTCGGGGCTAGCCGCTCTGAGGGGAACTTCATTGCTCTAATCTGGATGGCTGACTGGGTGTGTTTTCCTTCTCATAATGTTTAGAGACATTCTGATTTGGTCTATTACCTGTTAGCTACATTAGCCTTGCAGCTCCACTGCTAAAACTTAAAACGCAAACTTCAGACACCAAACATGTCTTGTCTGAATGGCTGCATTTGAAGTGAGGAAGGAGAGCTACATAAATTTGCTGAATTTTACTGAACTCTTGCTTTAGCATGATTTAACATAGTGATCAGCAACCTTGCTGTGGCACATGTGTCTAGATGTTAGTTCCAGTCCAAACATTACAAATACTGTCCCATTTTCATCCGTGAGTTCCTAAGATCTCCACTAGAGGTCACTGTCTCCCAGGCAGTGTTCATGGTGCATTACTGTCCATTTTCAGTGACTGCCTTTGTTATACCCTCCCTGTCCACTTTATCAGACTATCAACCTAGCAGTGACACTGACGTGTGTAAAAACTCCTGCAACACCGCTGTGACTGATACACTCGCACAAGCAGGTTTGTGTTCATAGGTGTTTCTAAAACAATGTATGAACACATACAGTGGCCAGTGAGTGGAAGTACAAGGTGGGTGTTTCTAATAAAGTGGCTAGTGAGTGGAAGTACAAGGTGGGTGTTTCTAATAAAGTGGCCAGTGAGTGGAAGTACAAGGTAGGTGTTTCTAATAAAGTGGCCAGTGAGTGGAAGTACAAGGTGGGTGTTTCTAATAAAGTGGCCAGTGAGTGGAAGTACAAGGTTGGTGTTTCTAATAAAGTGGCCAGCGAGTGGAAGCACAAGGTGGGCGTTTTTAATAAAGTGGCCAGTGAGTGGAAGCACAAGATGGGTGTTTCTAATAAAGTGGCCAGTGAGTGGAAGCACAAGGTGGGTGTTTCTAATAAAGTGGCCAGTGAGTGGAAGCACAAGGTGGGTGTTTCTAATAAAGTGGCCAGTGAGTGGAAGCACAAGGTGGGTGTTTCTAATAAAGTGGCCAGTGAGTGGAAGCACAAGGTGGGTGTTTCTAATAAAGTGGCCAGTGAGTGGAAGCACAAGGTGGGTGTTTCTAATAAAGTGTAATCCATGGGGAGGAATGCATCAAACATATCAACAGGAAATCTCACTCAGAAAGCCCAGGACACGTTACAGACATTACTGTAACAGAAAGAAGTGTTATTGTGAGCTGCTGCCCGTTTCCTGAGCCTCTCCTTCAGCTGCTTCGCCAGGGCGGAGAGATTCCAGAGGGAAGGTAAGTGACCGCAGTAAAGTTGTCCAGCGGGTAGCGATTCGGATTCCTATCGGCTGGAACTCCGGAATGCAGTGCGTCCACAAACTCTGCTGCGCTTTGTCAGTCCTGATTTGTGAATTCAGGTGACGTCATGTTCCACGCCAAAATCCGCCAATATTTCACATCGGGGTTTTATTTTCTAAAGCGTATGTCTTCAATCGCTGAGCTCTCAGATGAATGAGACCAGGTTCAGACTGACCAGCTGATCTGTGAAAAATCTCACAGCTCTTATGTTGCCCGTCCGTGGCCTGGGCAGACCGCGAGCACGGAAAGTGGAAGTAAGTGAAACATGAGCGGTCTTTGATTTTCAACACAAATGACTTCAATATCTATGAAGTGTGTTTGACTAAGCAGCTCGATTTGTGAAAAAATCACAAATGGATCTCGCTGTGTTTGATTGGTCCATGCGGCTGTATCTCCTTAGGAATAACACTGTCTGACTATGCGGTCTAATTCCACCTACAAACATCATCAGTAACCTGCAGATTCCCTCGTTGTTCAGATGACTTGATTTGGAAAAATATTCACAAACGGATTTTGTGATGTTTTATTGTTTTATACTGGTCTATTTCCATTAGCAGGCATACAAAACTGGATATATATCATTTACCCAAACACTGACACAGTAATACACAGGTAAGGAGATGAAAACAGGCTGGAATGATTTGTCAGTCACTTATTAAAAAGCTGTTGCTCAAAAAAAGCTGAATAAATGTGGTTTTAACTTTGGAACACAATTTTAAATACATACACTGTCATAATTAACCAACTATTAATTAAAGTCATGCAGCGTTGGTCGTCATCTGATTTGTGAAAACTTTCACAAACATGGTTTGGTATATTTGAGTTAGTTATGCAGTTCTGCTCTCATTTTCATGAGTAATAACACGATAGCTCAGCTTTGGGGGTAAACATAGAGCATTAACGCATATAACTTTAATAACTGATCAAGTATAGAGATAACAGCACACTCAAATGAACTTTTCTGATTTGTGAAAACTTTCACAAACACAGTTTGGTATATTTGAGTGATTTATGCAGTTCTACTCTCATTTTCATGAGGAATAGCACAGTAAATCAGCTTTTGGTGGCATATATAGATCATTAGTGCGTATAACTTTAATAACTGATTATGTACAGAGATAACAGCACACTCAAATGAACTTTTCTGATTTGTGAAAACTGTCACAAATATATTAATGTCTATAATTCCTTTGTTGATCAGTTTTGGCAATAAAAACTGAATATTTGGAGGGCTTGACTCTGAAACGCCATGTTCACCTACAGTAGCGTATTTGAGTGATTTATGCAATTCTACTCTAATTGTGATGTGTAATAACACAGAAGTTCAGTTCAGAACACTAATGCAAATAACTTTAATAATTGAAAAAGTATAAAGATAACTGTACACTAATATTAATTTCTCTGATTTGTGAAATATTTCACAAATACATGAATGTCTGTCATTCCTTTATTTATCAGCTTTTGCAATAGAAAGCTGAATATTCGGAGGGCTTGGCTCAAAACGCCATGTACACTTACGGTAACAATGATAGTTCACTTGTTTTAGCCATTAGCTGATTTGTGAAATCTTTCACAAACACAGTTTTATATTGAGTAATTTATGCAGTTTTAATCCCATTTTCAAGTGTAACAACACAGTAATTTAGCTTTTGGGACCAAATATAAAATGTTAGTGCATATATCTTTAATAACTGATTGTGTAGAGAGATGAATGTAGGAAAAGTCTGTCTTTGGAATAATTTTTAAAATATTTTTATATATTTTTTAGTTATTGGATGATTTGTGAAAACTTTCAATGGTTTATAAAATGATGCTTACATTTTCTCCTGTGAAATGTAGCAATGCATATAACTTCAAAAATGTATTATGCCATGTAATGAAAGCGGGACCCTCACAGAGCAGGTACTATTTGGGTGGTGGATCATTCTCAGCACTGCAGTAACACTGACGTGGTGGTGGTGGTGTGTTAGTGTACTACTACTTTTACATGAAAATGGGGGTAGAACTGCATATATCAATAAAATATACCAAACCATGTTTGTGAAGGTTTTCACAAATCAGCTAATGGCTAAAACCAGTGAAATCTCATTGCTACTGTAGGTGAACATGGCGTTTCAGAGTCAAGCCCTCCAGATATTCAGCTTTTTATTGCCAAAACTGATCAACAAAGGAATTATAGACATTAATGTATTTGTGACAGTTTTCACAAATCAGAAAAGTTCATTTGAGTGTGCTGTTATCTCTGTACATAATCAGTTATTAAAGTTATACGCACTAATGATCTATATATGCCACCAAAAGCTGATTTACTGTGCTATTCCTCATGAAAATGAGAGTAGAACTGCATAAATCACTCAAATATACCAAACTGTGTTTGTGAAGGTTTTCACAAATCAGAAAAGTTCATTTGAGTGTGCTGTTATCTCTATACTTGATCAGTTATTAAAGTTATATGCGTTAATGCTCTATGTTTACCCCCAAAGCTGAGCTATCGTGTTATTACTCATGAAAATGAGAGCAGAACTGCATAACTAACTCAAATATACCAAACCATGTTTGTGAAAGTTTTCACAAATCAGATGACGACCAACGCTGCATGACTTTAATTAATAGTTGGTTAATTATGACAGTGTATGTATTTAAAATTGTGTTCCAAAGTTAAAACCACATTTATTCAGCTTTTTTTGAGCAACAGCTTTTTAATAAGTGACTGACAAATCATTCCAGCCTGTTTTCATCTCCTTACCTGTGTATTACTGTGTCAGTGTTTGGGTAAATGATATATATCCAGTTTTGTATGCCTGCTAATGGAAATAGACCAGTATAAAACAATAAAATATCACAAAATCCGTTTGTGAATATTTTTCCAAATCAAGTCATCTGAACAACGAGGGAATCTGCAGGTTACTGATGATGTTTGTAGGTGGAATTAGACCGTCAGACAGTGTTATTCCTAAGGAGATACAGCCGCATGGACCAATCAAACACAGCGAGATCCATTTGTGATTTTTTCACAAATCGAGCTGCTTAGTCAAACACATTTCATAGATATTGAAGTCATTTGTGTTGAAAATCAAAGACCGCTCATGTTTCACTTACTTCCACTTTCCGTGCTCGCGGTCTGCCCAGGCCACGGACGGGCAACATAGGAACTGTGAGATTTTACACTAATCAGCTGGTCAGTCTGAACCTGGTCTCATTCATCTGAGAGCTCAGCGATTGAAGACATACGCTTTAGAAAATAAAACCCCGATGTGAAATATTGGCGGATTTTGGCGTGGAACATGACGTCACCTGAATTCACAGATCAGGACTGACAAAGCGCAGCAGAGTTTGTGGACGCACTGCATTCCGGAGTTCCAGCCGATAGGAATCCGAATCGCTACCCGCTGGACAACTTTACTGCGGTACGAAAACCGAAAGTGCGTCTGAACGGGGAGCAGTTTCAGGCGTTGTTTCTGCCGCCATCAAACGAAAAGCTCAACTTTTTACAGCGCGGCTACTTTTGTAGTTGTATTCGATGCTTTCAGTGTTTTTCTTCAGCAAGTTTCTCTCCGATCTGCTGGATCAGCCCGTCAAACTGCTGAAGAAGAAGAAAGGTAAATGGAGGATGAATGCACTGCAGTCACAACACGGAGCAACACAGGGGGCTGATTTTGTTCAGAAGTGGGGGGGCAGAGCTGAGGGTGAGTGAGGTAGTTAAACCTGCCATTTTCAGCTTCACCTTTCAAATCTCACACATTACAGAGAATTTCTGGCTGAAAACTGATCTTATGGCATTGTAGTATCGCTGCTGTCGGAAGAAAACCTCGTATCTCCCTTTCTGTCCCTTTTCAGTCTTTGGCATTATTTACTAACACTTCCAGAAATCATCATTGACTTACTAATTACTTGGAAAAAAGTCTGGTTCCATTGACTTACATTAAAAGTAAAGTAGGTTTTTTCTTTCTCCTGTAAAGTTACCATTTTGGAGACACGAGGTTTTCGTCTGACAACAGCGATATATACATAAAATCCGGTGGCCACTGAATGCTGTGCAACGAGGAACATCTTGTGGTCATATGCTGGTACTACATCAGTGGGTTTTTAGAACCATAGTTATCACAAATAACATCACAGCCGTGATGCTACAATAAGTCCCGACCCCCAGTGCTCCACTGCTTTTATACAACCTGCTGCTGGAAAAAACACAGCATAGCCAGCAAAACCAGCATATAATATGTTTTGGATGCAGGTATGCTGGACAACGAGCATCACCATGACGGCCAAACCGGCTAAACCAGCTAAACCAGCACTAGATAATCCAGTTTAGACTCGCAGCAGGGCAGTTGTGCAAAATAAATAATAAAACATTGTATCCACTTTGCTTTGATATTGGCGATTACTGCAGCTACAAAAAGTATTAGCCCTCTATGTTACAGACAGAGCCTTAAACATGCTGCATTATCAGGTTTAGCACTATTTTTTCATGATGGTGTTTAGAAACATTCTGACATCAGATATTCAGCCTCCATGTCTTTATTGTATATGCATGTATGGTTATTATATTAATATATATATATGGTATAAATGTGATGTAATTAAAGCTACATTTCTCCTTTAAACTAAATATCCATAAGAGTTTGTTAATACGTTTTTGTATTTACTAGACAGTTATAAGTTGTGAGGAGAGCGCTTATGCAGCTGAGATTAGGAGTATTTTTTTTTATTAAGAAACATCATCAGTTCTACTGTGCTATATTAATGATTTGTAAACTAATGATAGAACATTCTTCTTCTTCTTCTTCTTATTATTATTATTATTATTGTTATTATTGATAATAATATCAATATTAATCAATTTGTTCTCCCTATAAACAAAATAAATAAAAATAGGGACATAGCTTTGCATCCCTTTAAAAGTTTGCGAGGGTGTGGGAAATCAGGTGAGGTCATGTTAACGACAGTCACAGATCTGAGATTTTCTGACCCTCCATTAGGTGTTTTTTAGTATTCAAAACATCCTGGTCATATCAAAACTGATATGATTAAAGAAGAAACTGTACATAAACAGGGTCCAGAAACGCCGCCGTCTTCTCATTTAAGATGGACTGAGGGGAAGTGGAAAAGTGTCCTGTGGTCTGATGAAGCAAAATTTTTAATTCTTTTTGGAAATCATGAATGGCGCTTTATTAAAGAACACCTAAAGAACCATGTTTTCAAAGTATGTACTCATTGGAGTAGGCTGACCAGGTCAGCAGGTAGCTAACAGGATACTGGGCTAACAGGCTGCTTCAGTAATATTCAAAACAGTCTTCAAATTCAGAGCTCATAAAACTGCAACATACGTAGCTTTACTTTTCTGTGAAACTTCACCTTAATCATGTGCACACTCACTTTAATCTGTACATCTCTGTGTGCATGATTGACCTAATTGTCTGATTCATATATTAAACATTTCTGCATTCTAATATCTATTTTATTCTTACAAACCGGCCTAGGCTAAACTGACCTGTTCAAGAAGACCTATCACAGAGAATCAAATAAAGGGCAGAAAAGGAAGAGACAATGGAGGAGAGAGAAAAAATCTTAGAAGAAAGAGAAAAGCTCCTGAATCAGAAAGAAATTAATTTACAAGAAAGAGAAAAGCACCTGGACGGGGAAAAGGTTTGTTTACTAGAGAGAGAGAAGCATCTGGATGGGAGAGAGGCCCGTTTGGAGCAGAGAGAAAAGTGTTTGGATGGGAGAGAGAATCACCTGGAACAGAGAGGAGAGCGTTTGGATGGGAGAGAGGCCCGTTTGGAACAGAGAGGAGAGCGTTTGGATGGGAGAGAGGCCCGTTTGGAACAGAGAGGAGAGCGTTTGGATGGGAGAGAGGCCCGTTTGGAACAGAGAGAAGAGCACTTGGATGGGAGAGAGACCCGTTTGGAACAGAAAGAAGAGCATTTGGATGGGAGAGAGACCCGTGTGGAACAGAGAGAGGAGCATTTGGATGAAAGAGACATTCACTTAGATGAGAGAGAAAAGCGTCTGACTAGAAGAGAGACTCGTATGGAAGAAAGAGATATTCATGTGGGAGAGAGAGAAGAGCATCTGGAAGGAAAAGAGAGACGAGTACAGCTGAGAAAGCCTCATCATACACATCAGATTGATTGTACTAGACTGAGAGAGAATACAAATGACCGGAAAAGGCGTCTAAAACTGAGGAGCATGCCTGTCGTAGAAGCACAGTCATGGGGAGGATCCCCAGTCATGGGGATGCCTGGTGAGTAAACATACATCTGTTTCAGATGGACGTTCCAGGAAAGGTGAACGGTCGATATTCACTCTCTGAGCTCTGGAGCTGTTTTCAATGAATGATCTTATTCAAACGTAAAATGTGATGATGATCAGCTCAGAAACTTAAAACTGAGTTTCAAACTTTAGATGCTATTCAAGAATTAAAATTTATTACTAAAATAGAACTATTATGAAGTACATTTTATATTTTTCTATGTTACTGCGATACTGTAATTTTGCTGATTCTGACATTTTTTCCTCAGAACACAAATGTCTTCCTTTTAAAATTAAAAGAAGAGAAAGCCTTGATAGACCCCCAAACTGTAAGTCATTATTCTATCAGATTGAGAGTCAATGTTCATTATTCAGTTGCCTTGATTTAACCTTGTTACAATTACAGGGGAATTCCAGCGACTTTCCTAAAGTTCTGCATAATTAAATGTTTAGGATGTAAACAAAATCATTCACATTGGTTTGTTGTGAAGTGGTGCATTATAGAGAAACCTCTCTGACTCTGAATCTCTGACCCTACAAACCTTGGGCTAACACTCATCAACCATGAGCTTCTCTAAGCAGCTGACTGCTTAGTCAAGTGATGCCTACAAAGCAGGAGAAGACTATAAAAAGATATCAAATGACTTCCAGTGTACACTTTCCACTGTCTGAAATATCATTAAGAGGGACTGCGGAATTCAAGGTTAGATCTAGAGGACCTAGAAAACTCTCAGATAGAACTGCTCATATGCCAAAAAAGGCAAAGCAAAACTCCCATATGACAGCCAAGAACCTGCAGGAAGGTTTAGCCAACACAGTCGTGGTGCATCGTTCTATTGTGCAGAGTTTTTACACAAACATGAATGATCAGAAGGGAACTGTATCTTCAGCTTCATCACAAAAATTGTATGAAAAACAACATCTAGATAAGCCAGAAGCCATTTTCGAAACAAGTGCTGTGGACTGATGAATTAAAAGTGGAACACTTTGGCTAAAATCACCAAAAGTGTGATTAGAGAAAAAGGAGCAGCATTTGATGAAAGGAACACCGTGCTAACTGTTAAGCATGGGGTTGGATCTACTATGCCGAACTACTTGAAGAATGCAAGCTGAAGCTTTTGGTGTGTTGTTTGGTGTGTTCCTCACAGTTAACTTTCTGGGTTTTTTTCAGACTTTATGTTTTTCATGTTTTTTTGGATCATGTCTCTTTGAGTATTAACTTCACACGCACAGGCTCAAAAAAAAGGTCCAGGTCTCAAATAAAAAAACAACATTATACTGAAGACAATGTGATGACAGTTGTAGATAATTCACTCACACCTGCAAAAGACGTGTCCTTCACCTCTTTCAGTCATCAGATTCATCAGCTGGGTGAAGGAGTCCAAAACACAGCCCATGTTACAAAATGTACCTGGGCATGTTGCATGCAATTACACATTTCTACCAGAGAGGTCTCCAAATCCCCAAAACTTACATAGTGTAGCTTTAATTAGTCTCATACTGTATTGTCTGAGATGAATGTATAGAACTGCACGGAAACTGTAGAACTGTACTGCTTGATGAAGGTCCATGCAGTAACTAACTTTTTCTTTGCCTGCAGTGGGAGAAGAAAGAAGCGCACCGAATCCAGAGGAACCTGAGATTATGGATGATCCGTTTCCTCTGATGTTCTGAAACTTCGACTGACCTGGAATCACCCTGCAAACATTCAACAAAACTGAAATATACTCCCCTCCATAACCTCAGTCTGCAGGACTGCACGCATCACTAAGGAAGAGGATACTAGTGTTTGCTAACACGAGGTCTTACACACTGAGGCTGTGTTCTGCAGTCAGCTGTAATTTTACCGATTCTGTAGATGCAGCTGTCTTCCAGATGTCTTCCAGGCCTGAGAGTTACAGATTACTCCCAAATAATGACTCAAATCGCTGCTATTTTTCTGTTCTGTTTAGCTGGTATGAATTTGAACCAGCTTATTTTTGTCTTCCTTCAAAACTCCCAGAGTGTTTGGATGATCATTATATCTATTATATCTCATGTGATCACAGTCAGTGCATCATATTACAGACACCTCCTGAAAACTGTCTGTAAATGACCAAAGGAGGGCGCTATAGCTACGTCATCTCCAGCCTTTTTCAGCCTTCGTCAGTTACTACACAATTCACAGAACCAAAGTAAATTCAGCTTAGTGGAAATGTTTTTGTAACATAAACCTGGATTTAATTTCAGACAGACAACCAGACCTGATTGTTGTTTGTTTGTTGATAAGTGTGAACTATTTTCTTATCAATAATAATTAAAAAAAACAACGTAAAGCCTTAGGGACAGGAACAGTGAAAGAAATGGAACCTTTTTGAAAATGGTTCTATATAGCACTAAAAGGGCGTCAATCTTGTAACAATAGAAGAACTCCTTTTGGTGCTATAGAACCACATACAACACATTGTCCATCAATCTGAAGGTTGATTTCACCATGCAAAGATCCATTTAAGCATGAAATGGTTTTATACAGAACTCATGGTTCTAAATGGAACCGTTGCCTTTTTTGAAGAACGCTGTGCAGCTGAACAGTGATCTTTCACTTTTCAGTAGCTCTGGTTCTGTTTTTCCATTCCTTTCACTTATTCCATTGATATTTCGGACATTCCTCACATTAAGTGATTTAAGCACCCAAATCGAACCAACCAGCTATGAGATCAAGCATGACATTATAAACATTTAGGAAAAGATACAAGCAATAATATGTACAGTGATGTGAAGAGAATTAATAATTGTAGATGTGCAGTTGTCTGTTGTTTGATCTGCACAGTTTTGTATGAGCCTTTTCATTATTTTATATATTAGGTCAGGTTGTGGAATGAGGGGTCTTTATTTCATTTATCTAGTCAATATATACTGAAGGGCTATTCGCTCATCTAATTTTTACATACTCAGTCCCCAGGCTTTGGGCTACCTTGGGCCTTGTGAATTGAGGCCCCCCGAGGCTCCTGGCAGTCAGAGAATTATGTCAGAGAATTATGTCAGAGAATTTGTATGTTATCTGTGCTTAGACTCTGTAATGGAACCACTAAAGGATAGAAGGTAGAAGAGCATGAGAGAACACAATTAAATGCAATGGAATGCAAACTAGATTTAAAACAACTTACTAATACTTAATACCCGAATACATCTGCTGAGCTGGTTGCTGCACTTCCGTAGATCATGTCTGCTATGATTTTGGAACTTTTTAACCTAGAATATTATATTCAAATAAGCATTCCCTAGCTCTGTGATCTCTTCAGGATCATAAATATAAATATAGATTGTAAGTTAGGGCTGCTACACTGCTTAATTTTTTAACATACAAGTTATGGTTTAACATATGAACTATGTCTGATCTTGTAGGAGAAAGAAAAACTAATGTAAGTTAGTTAAATTTGGTCATTTTAGATTGTTCATATTGGACCATTCATTATAAAATAAAGAACAAAATAAAAAAAGAGCAGCTGGCCTCTTCTTTCAAAACAGAACTGGAAAAAAATGCAATATCTTTTTAACATAATATGTCTTTTTCTTTCTTCATTCTGAGCTCCAGCTTTCTTAAAGTATCCATAAATTAATAATTTCAGCTGTTAGAATAATGTACATTACTGTTCAAAAGCCAATGTAGTTGGTGTTTCTAGTAAAGTGGACAGTGAGTGGTAGTACAAAGTGGTATATCACCAGGGATACCATAGCTACAGCCTAGCACCCACCTGGGATAGCATAGCAACATGTATGAAAACTGCTACATCTGCAATGTAAATGAAAGCAATAAACTCTTAAGATCTGCCTGTTCATTCAACCAGCACCAGATTCATACGTCACTCTGAATGTGATACGCTAGGCTGATGTTAGCTTATTTCCACTCCACCTTAAATACTGCAGCAGTTACAGGCATCTGAATGTAACTGCTGCATCATTTACATCATTTGTACAAGACAAATGGTCACAGTGTGCAGACCGAGGCTGCCATACTTGAGGTGGGGGACGTTGGTTTAACCCCTAAATTACTACAGATACACACTAGGATGTAACTAGTTATAGTTTGTTTCTGTATAGTCCATTTTGTCTTTATATGCATGAATTTATACATAAGCTTACAGCAAATTACCCAAATCGTTACCAGCCCACCAGGAATTTTCCCAACTTTCCTGATTACCCACTCCGGCATTGCATATTAATATATACTAAAGTTTATTAAGAATTATTTGATCAAAAATCAAATGTATCCCCCAATCGTCCCATGTTTGGTGTCGGAACTTTTCGCATTTAGTTTTAGTACAGGAGACAAAATTGGACACAAATATGTTCCAAAGCTGCAGTATTAGCCATCCTGAAGACTGATTTTAGTCCATGATTATAGGTAACAGTGAGTCATACAGTGTCAGAAACACATCATCAAGACTATTAGAGATACTGAACACACGCATTGAGGCAAATGTGATGATTTAGACATGCAGTTAGCACCATGCTAATCGCTAATAGCTAATAAGCTTCCACTGCTTGTTAGCTACATTAGCCTTGCAGCTCCAGTGCTGAAACTAAAGAAGCAGAACTTCAGACTCTGAATATTTCTAGTCTGTATGACTACATTTGGAGTGAACTAATTTTCTGAATTCTTGCTTTAGCATGATTTAGCGTAGCGGTCAGCAGCACTGCTGTTGTAAATCTATCTAGGTTTAAGAGTTCCCGTCCAAATACTACTAATACTCTCCCATTCTCCTCTGTGAATTCCTAAGATTTCCACTAGAGGTCACTGTCTCCCAAGCAGACAGTGTTCACTGTGCACATCTGCCCATTTTGTGTTAGTTTGTACAGTTTGTGTTAGTCCTCCTCTAGGCCTTCATCAGTGGTCAGTTTCTGACCACAGAGCAGCTCTTGTCTGGATGTTTTTGGGAGGTGGACCCCTCTCATTCTAGCAGTGACACTGACATGTGTAAAAACCCCAGAAACACTGCTGTGTCTGACAAACTCATATCAGCAGGTAAGTGTTAACAGGTGTTTCTAATAAAGTGGCCAGTGAGTGGAAGCACAAGGTAGGTGTTTCTAATAAAGTGGCCAGTTAGTGGAAGCACAAAGTTGGTGTTTCTAATAAAGTGGCCAGTTAGTGAAAGTGCAAGGTAGGTGTTTCTAATAAAGTGGCCAGTGAGTGGAAGTACAAGGTAGGTGTTTCTAATAAAGTGGCCAGTGAGTGGAAGTACAAGGTAGGTGTTTCTAATAAAGTGGCACCTTGGTGTATATCATTAAAGGTACAATCAACCAGCCAGCAGTTAATTATGCACTGATTAAATTAAAAAAATCATAAACTAAAGAATCTGGCTAAATACAAATGTAGCACACTGAGAGCAAAGTAATCACATCAGACCTCACTGAGTCTTGACTTGTAGTATTGTTTACTGTTCTGCATCTGTCACATCACCAGGAAACCTGACTCGAAAAGCTCAGTTTTACAGGCTTTTCTGTAATGGATATCTGTGAGATACTGTGAGCTGCTGCCTGTTTCCTGAGCCCCTCCTTCACCTGCCTGAACAGGAAGGAGAGATTCCAGAAGCAAAGATAGTAAAAGTGAGAAAGGTTTCATGAGTTTTTCCTGCAGTCGTCCTATAAAAAAGCTACTTTTCAGGATGTGGTTTCTTTTGTCGTTTCTTTTGTAGTTGTATTTGACAGTTTCAGTGTTTTTTTTCTCTTCGATCTGCTGGATCAGCCCATCAAGCTGTTGAAGAAGAAGAAAGGTAAAAATTGAGGATGCACTGCACTCACAACATGGAGCAACACAGGGGGCTGATTTTATTCAGGAGTTGAGGGTGAGTGAGGTAATTAAACCTGCCAGGTAACACACTCTGCTCTTTAGACATTCCTCTCAAGTGGCTGAGAGATTCATGCACTGGGGCCAGATCTCAGGGCCTCACGCCAAACCTTTCAAATCTCACACATCACAGGCGATTTCTGTCTAAGATCTAATGTTAAAAGTGTGTTAGTAAATATATCCATAGTGTGGAGCCACTGTATGCTGAGTAACATGAGGGACATCTTGTGCTCATACACTGATGTACATATACATCAGAGGGTTTTAGAACAGGAGAGGTTATGATGAATAACATCATAGCTGTGATTTGGCACTGATCACAGCCATAATCATGATAAGCCATGACCTCCAGTGTTCTACTGCTTTTATACAATCTGCACAGCTGGTCTAGCTTAGACCAGCATGGAGCGCATGTCTTTTTCTGCGGAGCAGTTCTGCAAAATAAATAAAAAAGTAAAGCAAAGATCATTGTATCCAGTTTGCTTTGATATTGGCGATTTCTACAGCCACAAAAAGTATTGCCCCCTACGTTAGAGATAGAGCCATCAATGTATTGCAATGTTCCAATATCAGGTTCAGCTCAGTTTTTTTCAATATATGTCAGATTAATACAGTGCAGCTCTGTTTTATAGAAAACAGAAAGAAGCACATTTTCGTAATGGTTTTAAGAAACAGTCTGACATCAGATATTCAGCCTCCGTGTTAATGTTGTAAATGCACTGATGGTTATTATATGGTAAAACGTTATTTAATTAAAGCCCTAAATATCCTAAATAAAAAAAAGAACTAAATATTCATTAGATTCTGTTAATATTTGTGACTCTTATTTACTATAAAGTTATAAGTTGTGAGGAGAGCACTTACGCAGCTGAGATTAATTATTCTTATTGAAAAACATGATCTTTTCCACTGTGCTATGTTGATTTGCAAACTAATAACAAAATAATAATAATAATAATAATAATAATAATAATAATAATGAAATATAGAGGCATAGCTTTGTTCTCTCAAAGTTTGCGAGGGTTCAGGAAATTAGGTGATGTCATGTTGACGACAGTCATAGATCTGAGATCAGAGAGGATCTTGTCCGTTTAGAAGGCATGTACATGTCTGGAGTTTGTACAGTTCGAAATCCAGCAGGAAACAGAACGTTTGGACCAGAAACGAAGAAATATGGACCATCAAAAGAGATTTTTGGTAGAGAGCAGAGCCAAACAGAGAACAGCCACAAAGGGAAAGAAGCCATATAGAACAGGAAAAGACTACACAGCATCGTTACTCTCCTCCATCTTGGATTTTCATCCGTATTCTGCCTGCACGTTTCTATTGGTTGACGTGCCCCTACCTCAGAATCTGTCGTAGCAAAAGTTGAAATGTTTTGACATTTTTTTGATGCTCAATGAAGCATCTTTGCAGTGCATACCAGTGCATTTCTAGCACCGGTATGCAGTGCAAAGGAAGACTGCGCTCTTTCGCAGAAGCAATATCATAGCCTGTGAGGTTAATCCGAGGCACGATCATTGCTGGTTGAAATGGGGGCAGTCATGGGCTGGAGGTCAGGGATCTAGCCATGCGACCAGAAGGTCGCCAGTTTGATCCCCTGAGCCGACAGTACATGACTGAGGTGCCCTTGAGCAAGGCACCTAACCACCAACTGCTCCCTGGGCGTTGCGGAGAGGGCTGCCCACCGCTCCAGGCAAGTGTGCACACTGCCTCCTAGTGTGTGTGTTCACTAGTGTGTATGTGGTGTTTCACTGCACGGATGGGGAAAATGCGGAGGTGAAATTTCCCCATTGTGGGACTAATGACCCCAATGGAAGAGTCATCAGAAGTGAATCCTACCCGCGACCTCAGCACAAAATTCAATGTCTGAAGTGTGCAAAACAACATCTAGATAATCCAGAAGCATTTTGGAAACGAGCATTGTGGACGGAGGAGCTAAAATGGAACCCACTGGCCATAATCACCAAAAGTATGTTTAGAAAAAAAGGAGCAGCATTTGATGAAAAGAACACTGTGCCAACTGTTAAGCATGGGGGTGGATCTATTTTGCTTTGAGGTTGTATGGAAGCCAGGGGCTCAGAAAACACTGCACGGATAGGTGGAAGAATGGATTCCACCAAATATCAGAAAAAACTCTGGAAGCAAATGTGACACAGTCAGTAAAGAACCTGAAGATGAAAAAGAGGCTTGAATCAATGAATTAAAATCTCGAATTCCACCATGAACTACTTTAAAGATTACAAGCTGAAGCTTTTGGAATGTTTCTCACAGTTCACTCAATGTTTTCAGACGTCGTATGTCTTTACGTATGAATGTCAGACACACAGTCTCGATGTTTAGGGCTCAAATGATCTCAGAATCTGATGAAGATATGATAACAGTAGATAATTCACTCACATCTTCAGAAGACGCTCCTTCTCCACGTTTAGACTGAGTTCTCTTTGAGTTTACTTTAAATCATCAGATTCGTCCACTTATGGTAGGCGGCCGAAGCTCAACCTATGTCTCAAATTGTGCCTTTGCATGTTGTGTGCAGTTACACATTTCCACCAAAAAGGCCTCCAAATCCCCAAATCCTACACAACATGGCTTTAATTAGTCTTATACTCTATTACTTCAGATGAAATAGATGCATAAAACTGCACTGAAACTGTGGAACTGTAGTGCTTGTCGAAGGTCCATGCAGTAACTAAGTTTTTCTTTGCCTGCAGTGGGGGAAGAAAAAAGCCCACCAAATCCAGACAAGCCTGTGACTGAACCTGACCCTGGTTCCCAGAGCTGAGTTCAGCGTGGAGGTTAAGTCTAGTGTTTCGGGAGCTTAGACTGACCTGGAATTATCTTGGAAACATTCAACAAAACTGTTGTTTTCCTCTTTTTAACATGTTTTATTTACACTTCTACACAGAGACCGTTTAATAGGCATTAATAAGCTCTGCAGCTTCAAAACCTCATTCAGCAGGACAATGATCCGAAGTGCACAAGCAAGTCCACCTCTGAATGACTCAAAAGAAACAAAATGAAGGTTGTGGAGTGGCCTGACTTAAATCCCATTGAGAGGCTGAGGCAAAACCTTAAACAGGCAGTTAATGTTCGAACACTCTCCACTGTAGCCGAATTAAAACAATTCTGCAAAGAAGAGTGGGGCAAAATTCCTCCACAGCCATGTAAAAGGCTCAACGCAAGTTATCACAAAGTTTGATTGCAGATGAACACTGAACACTGAATGACACTGAACGACAAACCCTTAGCAGCACGTTAGAAGAGCGCGGGACGGAGAGAGCCTGTGCTGCTCGCACTGCTCTGTATTTCTCCATGCTCAGTTTTTCCGTTTATCTATCGTTTAGAGAACTTGTAATGCAAGTGGATAAGTGTGCATGAGTAGCAAATCTAGATTTACCAGGTTACTGTACAGAACTGTTAGGGTGAGTTTTCCCCATTCAGAAGCATAAGCAGCAGCATTAGCCTTAGCCGTATCCATAGCTAAGCCATTAGCTTCAGTTTTAACCCCTTTTCTTTAGCTGTTCTGTATGGGGTTTTATGGACTGCAGACTGTGAGTTTGCCGTTTTAAACCACCTCCGTGGACCTGGAGCTGGCTGATAGCGTCCCGAGCTACCGGAACGTTCGGTGCACCTCAGCACAGCCTACGAGCTACTGGGAAATGCTTGATGGTTTTCGGGTTAGCCAACACTCTGCTCTTCTGCCACTGTGAGCCAGACCCACACAGCTGAAACACAGACTGTGAGTACACATTGCCCAACACACACGGATCCCCTTCCTGCTGCAACAGGGTTTAACAGGCCTGCAATGTTTGTTATCCTGTTCGTTTTGATTTGCCGGCTTTAAACAGCGTAAAAATATCACTGTAGTGAGTGACCAGTCATCTCAGTAATACTGTACAGTGAAGTTTGGTAGTCATCAATGTTGTCATTTGAACATTGCTTCACGTAAAAGGGAATTTTAAGTTATAAGCTGAGCCTAGAGTCTATCTCTGTAAGATCCCTTAAGTGATTTGTTTACTAAATTGAAGTCTTATTAAGTTAAAACTTTAATTTCTTTGTTTCTTGAGCGTTAAAAGCAATTTAGATCAGTGTTTTAAAAAGGTTTTATTCTTTTAACAGAGTCCTTATTTTTTCATCTGCGCTGTTTATTTTTCTAGTCCATTTGGAACTGAAAGGTTTAATTTCATGCTTTATGTGAACTTTTAGTTTTTATTATTTAAAAGCAGTTATACCATCTCAAAACATTCCACTTTATAATACATTTCTACTTTTTCTATAGCCTGTGTCTGAGTCTACTCACTGGGTATACTGTCGTTACTTTTAGCACCAAGTTAGATATGGGTGGTTAAGTTATACTGGTGATACAGTAAACTTAATGGGTGAGAACCCTACCCATGAGCTCAGGTTAAATATTCATCTACCCCCTCTGTGGTAAAAGAGGGCTACACAGGTTTTTAACAAATTTTTATTTTTAATAAATGGAACGATCAAATTAAAAGCTGCATTTTGTGCTTAATTGTCTTTATCATTCATTCATTCATCATCTTTATGATGACTTAATTCAGCTAGGGTCATGACCCTGTTCCCCCGCAACATCCTCCAGCTCATTCCGGGGGACCCTGAGCTGCTCCCAGGCCAACTTGGAGAGGAGAGACGACCTCAGGGTGTTGTTCCCCACTGGGAGGTAGCGGGAGGGCCTCCTGATCAGATGCCCAAACCACCTCAACTGTCTCCTCTCAATGTAGAGGGCTCTACTCTGAGCTCCTCCCAGATGACTAAGCTCCTCACTCTATCAGGTAGAGTGTAGCCGCCACCCTGCAAAGCAAGCTAGTTTCCGTTGGCTTCTATAGGCTATCTCATTCTTTCGGTCATTACCTACAGCTCATGACCACAGGTGAGGGTCGGGATGTATACCAACCGGTAAACAGAGCGCTTCGCCTTATGGCTCAGCTCCCTCTTCACCACTATAGTCCGGTACAGTGACCGCATTACTGCTGCCGCCTGTCCCAGCCTGCGGCCGATCTCACCATCCCTCTGTCCATCACTCTTAAACAAGATACTTAAACTCCTCCACCTGGGGCAAGTCCTTTCCCCTTACCTGGAGTGGGCATGCCATCCTTTTCTGGGATAGGGCCATGGACTTCACACTCAGCTGCAAACCACTCCAGTGAGCGCTGGAGGCATCCATGCGATGGAGCCAAAATACATCATCATGGTCCCAAGTCAGATGAAACAACAACAACAAAGTCGATCATTGACTTTTGACCCAAGGAGCTCTGGTACCCTGTAGTTGTCTTCATCTTATATTAAAATTAGTCGAATGATCTGAAGCTTTTAAATGTGACAAATTCGCAAAAATAGAAGAATTGGGTGAGGGCTGCATGTTGCTCCAAAATGTGTTCAGTGTTAAAAGTGCTTTAACAGATGTGTGGGTTACCCACTAATACCCCCCATGACAGACGCTTGATTTAGAACCTTACACTGGTAACAATCTGGATGTTCCTTTTCTTCTTTGGCTCAGAGAACACAACATCCATTTTTTTCCATAAACAATTTTTGGTTGATTCGTCAGATCACAGTACACATTTCCACTGAGCATCAGTCCATTTCAGATGAGCTTGAGCCCAGAGAAGTTGGCGGTGTTTCTGGACGTTGTTGAAATATGACATACGCTGTGTACAGTACAGTCTTAACTCACATTTGTGGATGCAGCGTAAAAAAGTGTTTATTAACAACGTGTTAAAGTAGTCTTGAGCCCATGTGGTGATCTCCATCACAGAAACATGCCATCGAAATCGAGGGTCACGGACATTCAGTTGTGTTTTCTGGCCTTTTCCACAGAGGTTTCTTTGGATTCTCTGGATCTTTTAATATTATGCACTATAGAGGGTGAAATGCCTAAAATCCTTTGGATTTTGGAAAATTGGATTTGCAGTTTGCAGTTTTGGATGCAGCCAACATGAAGGGAAATGATCAGTTTTTTAAAATGGGAAAAAATACACTTGTGATTGGCTACATGCTTCAAGGTCAGTGCATGACTCCATTAAAAGTGAACGAGCGAGGCGTGTGCAAAACCGTTTTGCCCTGTTGTGAATGCACCTTTAGTCTGTTAAAAAAGCAATTACTAGAGAAAGACTGTGTTTATGGGACACTCGTTTATTTGCAGGCAAGTTTTAACTGTAAACAGGTGTGTTTAAAATGTGCAAAATGCTCAGTTGTTTAAACTGAGATTAAACTGTAAACCTGCGCTTGTGTTCAGGGTGAGTTTAATAGCTAAAGTTGTTTCTACAGTGTAAACATGTGGGTGTATTTAAGATCTGCTGATCAATCAGCTACTAGTTAAAAGAGTTCTTACAGACTGAACTGTGTGTGTTCAGTCGTCGAGCTGGCAGAGGCAGGCCACTCCGCGGTTGATCCAGTGTTTCTGAGGCCGGTCTGAGGGCAGCTCTATGGGCAGGACGTAGTTGGTGGAGTGTCCGGTGGTGGACAGAGTCCCGCGCCGTGCGCTGGTCTTGTACACTGGACACTGGTAGACGTTTTCATGCAGGAAGTTGGCGCTCTGGCCCTGGTTTGAGCCAGATGATGGGCAGAGGGTCAAACAGGATTTTGGGGAGAGACTCTGCGATGACCATTCGCTCTCTGTCCCAGCGCGCCCCCTCCAGGAACAAACCCCGCACATACGCCCCATCCACTGGCTTCTCATCCACACTCTCCTGCTTCAGCACCTGAACACAGACAGACCGTGAGTTTTATTTTAATTACTTATTATTATTTTCTCTATTAGTATTAAACAGTCATCATCGCTTTGGTAACTGTTGTTAATTACAGTTAATACCAAAGAGAGTAAAAATAGACTGAGATGTAAAGAAATGAATAGTATTTTTTTTGTTTTTATTTTTATTTACTTAATTTTATTCATATATTTATTTATTTCATGACTTTAATAGTTTTTTGTCATTCTTATGGTGGTGAAGCACTATAAGGTAGCACCATCATGAAGTGTGTTATATGAATAAAATTATTCACATAAATGATGATTATTGCACATTATTTACATATAATTTGACCAACACCTGTAAATGCATATTCAAAATATTCTTAAAACATTAGAATTTCTTTGTTGATGTAAGTTAACACTTTTTCTACAGGGAACAGGCATTTTTTTTGGCAAATTTCATATCAGAACGGCTGTTTATTTACTGAGATTAACATATAAAAAAACAAAAAACAAAATATGAAAGTTTGCACAGGCCACATTTTGTTTTATTTTTTGCCTTAATACGTTAAATTCAGTAAATAAACAGTAATTGTGCATTAAAGTGTGCAAAAGTATGTTCTCTGTAGATTCACTTGTGCATGCACCTGTAGCTCCTTCAGAATGTCTCTTGCACAGATCTCAAAGCCAGATCTTATTCAGTGCTACACACAAACTCATACACAGTTATAAGTCATAAGTTTACCTACTCTGAGATTAAAGTCATTAAAACTCATTATTATCCCCTCCACAGATTCCATGTCAACTATAGTTTTAGCAAGTTGCTTAGGATATCCACTTTACACATGACACAAGCAATTTTTCCAACAAATATTTACAGATTATTTCACTTATAATTCACTATATCAGAATTCCAGTGGGTCAGAAGTTTACATACACCAAGTTGACTGTGCCGTTAAATAGCTTGGAGAAGCTGAAAACGATATCATGGCTTTGGAAGCCTCTGATAGGCTAATTGACATCATTTGAGTTAATTAGAGATGTACCTGCAGTATTTTAAGGCCTAACTTCAAGGCCTACTTGCCACATTTCTTGACATCATGGGAGAATCAAAAGAAATCAGACAAGACATCAGAAAAATTTGTTGGCCTCCACAAGTCTGGAACATCCTTGTGAGCAATTTCCAAATTCCTGAAGGAACTACATTTATCTGTCCAAACCATAATATGCACATTTAAACACCATAGGAACACACAGCTATCATATTGTAGGGAGGAGATGAACATACTTTGGTGCAAAAACCACAAATCAATCCAAGAACAACAGCAAACGATTTTGTGAAGATGCTGGAGGAAACAGGTACAAACGTATCTATATCAACAGTAAAATGTGTCCTATATTAACATGAGAAACTCAGAAAAGCGACCTATCAGGCCATAATGTATATGTACAGAGGAAAAAGGGGGAGAACACCATCCCAACTGTGAAGCATGGGGGTGGCAGCATCATGTTGTGGGGGTGCTTTGCTGCAGGAGGGACTGGTGCACTTCACAAAATAAATGGCATTATGAGGAAGGAAAATTATGTGGAGGTATAGAGGCAACATTTCAAGACATCAGCCAAGACATTAAAGCTTGGACACAAATGGACAATGACTCCAATCATACTTTCAAAGTTGTGGCAAAATGGCATAAGGACAACAAAGTGAAGGTAATGCAGTGGTCATCACAAAGCCCTGACCTCAGTCCCATAGAAAATGTATGGGCAGAACTAAAAAAAGCATGTGCAAGCAAGGAGGCCTACAAACCTGACTCGGTACACCAGTTCTGTCAGGAGGAATGGGCCAAAATTCCAGCAACTTATTATCAGAAGCTTGTAGAAGGCCACATGAAACATTTGACCCGAGTTAAACAATTTAAAGGCGATGCTACCAAACACTAACCATGTGTATGTGAACTTCTGAGCCACTGGGAATTTAATGAAGGAAACAAAAGGTGAAATAAATCTGTCTCTAGTATTATTTTGACATTTCACATTCTTAAAATATAGTAGTGATCCTAACAGACCTAAGAGAGGGAATGTACTGGGATTAAATGTCAGGAACTTTAAAAAGCTGAATTTAAAAAATATGGCTAAGGTGTTCGTATACTTATGACCTCAACTGTAGTTGATACACACACACCTGGAACTCAAAGCCGATGTAGTCGATGGGGATGGTGTATTTCCGGGCGAAATTCTGAGACACTCCAGTGAGGAAGGACTGCGTGAAGTAGAAGCCGGAGAGCCAGAACACAGCTGGAGGTCCGTTATCTATCCACTCCTGACACAGACACACAAACAAACAGGGTTAGGTAGTAACAGAGTACATGTAACCATATTACATAATTGGGATACATAAAATGTAACGGTATTCTGTTACTTGAATCTGTAATTTGCAGTGATGTTTCAGTCTTTGTTCTTTATTTTCCATGTTGCCGTATTAATGCTGAAGTGTCTATATATTATTAAGTTTAAGACAGTCTAAAAACAGACAATTGGTCAGTCAGTGCCTTAAAAGGAATGAAGTATTAACAGCACAATGATATACATGGATCTTTATTCACTGAGTGTGATGAAAACAGATGTGTCAGCTGCTGCTGGAATGGTACAGAACTGTTCACTTCAGAGTTCTAGTCAGACTTGGGTTCTGCAGATGGACAGAGCCTCCTGACTCTTCTTCAATTGGCATAGAAAAACATTTACAACAGTCTCTAGTTAAATTTCTCTGGTTAATGCAGATTTTGACTTTTTTTCTTTTATCGTAATATGGAACAATCAGCCTATCAATAAGTTAACACCGTTGCCATGTTAAACATGCTGGTTGTTGTAAGGTAGGTGTTTCTACTAAAGTGGCCAGTGAGTGGAAGTACAAAGCAGGTGTTTCTAATAAAGTGACTATCCACAAGAGCAATGACTTAGCACCTGGGATACTACAGTGATAGCCTAGCAACACCTTGGCAACCACTTGGGACAGCATAGTAACAGTGTTTCTAATAAAGTGAACAGTGAGTGGTAGTACAAGGTTGGGGTTTCTAATAAAATGATATCACCTGGGATACCTTTTTTTCTGGAAAGCCGCTTTGTGACAATGCCTGTTGTAAAAAAGCGCTATATAAATGAACTTTGACTTGACATAGCAACCGCCTAGCAACCACCTGGGATAGCACGGTAATGGTGTATTTGTCTGGACTTTGTCTGACAAAGAGTCCATGACTTTCAGCCATTTTAATAAACTGTGCTCTTATCCAGAAGGAACTATTTTGGATGCCATGTTTAGAAATGTTGACATGTTTTTAGAATTATTGAGGTTCAGGCTCTGGATAATTTAACACCAGTTACATGGGGACTGGATGAAAAACCTAGGGCTAGTTTGCAAACGTTTTCCTGAAAATGATAAATATAATGTTAAATAGGGGGTATTATTAAGTATGAGTCTCAAGTAGTGGAATGTCACAGCTCTGCGAAATATATTGATTTTCAGCTCAAACACAGCAGTAAAAACCACTATACTGTTCAGCACCATACTGACTGATCTACTGCGGCCAGTTTTGAATGACCTCCAGCTCTGATTCGCTGTTTGTTCACCTGTAGAAAGTGCAGTCTGGCGAGCAGGTCGGAGACGTAGCTCCCGAGAGGTTTGAGTGAAGGGTAGGACTTGGCAGCCCACATTGCTGGAACTTTCCCCACCAGCATACTGTTGAACACGTTTCTCCAGCTCTGCTGACATCACCACCTGTCCTTTCAGAGCCTTCCGGATATTGATCAGGCTGCTGCGAACCACCTGGGTCAGCCTGCACATTAATACCAGTCAATAAGTGACAATCAATATCGTCTTTTTGGAGAGTTATAGACGGGCTCATTGATTATTGATTAACATGCAAATAAATGCCAATTAATATGAATCAGTAAGTATCATGTATTCAGTACAGTGCACTCCTTCAGATCGTTATGGATACAATACTAAATAATATCTGGATCAACAAGCAAATCAATATGCAAATCAACAGTTTTATCAGTACAGTGTGATATCCATTTGTAGACATCCATTATTTACTTATTATTTACTTATTATGGACATCTTTAAGAAGCTTTATGTTTGTTGTGTTTTGTGGAATGTTTATTATAATTTTTATCCAAATTTCTCTCTAATTCGGTCATGTCCATTTCCATTCCAATCATATGATGATATTTCTGAAGATATCTTGAGAAACCTTGGGGCTAAATGTGGGAGGAACCTTATTAAGATGGGAACAAACTGAGTGTGAAGTTTCTAAACTAATCCAACACTTTGTGAGGGCGGAGCTCAAAATAGAGGATGAGAGTGTCCTCATCAACACTGTCCGACAGACCACAAGCTTCCTGTTACCCAAAGATTAAACAGTAAGTTAGCATGACTGGAAAGTGCCCTCAAAATACTCCAATTAAGCACGTAAATGCAGTAAAAATAAACCACAAGAGACAGTTCTGTTAAACCAGAGGAGCCTTAGATTGTATCAGAAACAAGTTACTTTCTTCGAGCAAAGTATGAGAAGAGTGCATCCAGCATAACTCTGACAAACCTAAATCCAATGGTGTTCCCGAAACATTCATTTTAACATTGAGCGTTAGGTAACGATAGGGCTTTTCTAGCTAGCTTGGTTTGCTTTTGTTATTGATTATACTCTGGATAGTAAGATTATGGACTAGAGGAATTTGGGGCCGGGCTTCTGAGGCTACCATGAGCTTACTTCAAGATACGTGAATCTGCGCCATTGAAAAGCTCAACACATTTGGAGGAGGATAACTACTTTTACGTCAGCTAACAACTGCCTGTGATGGCTAGTGTCACAGTGAGGGATGGCAAAGAGAAAGGACCACCCCACCCACCCAGAGAGAGAGAGGGGGCAGTTTTGGTCACCTGGACTCCTGCTTACGGAGGGTGATTACCTGTTTTTGGTTTTTGGTATGTGTGGACGTCACCTGTTAAAGCGGATGAGCTCCTGCCGGAGGACGGTGTTCATGGACTCCTCGTACATCACCGGGTATTTAACCATCACCATCTCAACATCAAAATCACACGGCAATTTCGACATGATGTCCTCCGCCAACTCATCCACCACTTCCTGTCCACACACACATCAAACACACATATCCAGCCATGCAGACACACATTACACACTCATAAAAGACGTAGTTAATAAATCTGTACTAAGAGAGATATATGCACGTCACACTTTAAAATGTGAAGTGGAAAAATTCCAGAATCAGACTGTACAGAGAATTCATCTGTAATGTATTGAAATATATGCACAGATATACACCGATCAGGCATAACATTATGACCACCTCCTTGTTTCTACACTCACTGTCCATTTTATCAGCTCCACTGACTATATAGGTGCACTTTGTAGTTCTACAGTTACAGACTGTAGTCCATCTGTTTCTCTGATACTTTGTTAGCCCCCTTTTACCCTGTTCTTCAGTGGTCAGGACCCCCATGGACCCTCACAGAGCAGGTACTATTTGGGTGGTGGATCATTCTCAGCACTGCAGTAACGCTGACGTGGTGGTGTGTAAGTGTGTGTTGCGCTGGTCTGAGTGGATCAGACACAGCAGAGCTGCTGGAGTTTTAAACACCTCAGTGTCGCTGCTGGACTGAGAATAGTCCACCAACCAAAAATATCCAGCCAACAGCGTCCTGTGGGCAGCGTCCTGTGACCACTGATGAAGGACTAGAGGATGACCATCACAAACAGTGCAGCAGCAGATGAGCTATCGTCTCTGACTTTACATCTACAAGGTGGACTGACAAGGTAGGAGTGTCTAATAGAGTGGACAGTGAGTGGACACCATGTTTAAAAACTGCTGTGTCTGATCCACTCGTACCAGCACAACACACACTAACACACCACCACCACGTCAGCGTTACTGCAGTGCTGAGAATGATCCACCACCCAAATAGTACCTGCTCTGTGAGGGTCCATGGGGGTCCTGACCACTGAAGAACAGGGTAAAAGGGGGCTAACAAAGTATCAGAGAAACAGATGGACTACAGTCTGTAACTGTAGAACTACAAAGTGCACCTATATAGTAAGTGGAGCTGATAAGATGGACAATGAGCGTAGAAACAAGGAGGTGCTCATAATGTTATGTCTGATCAGTGTGGAATATGGAAATATATTTCCTTTGCATACTGAGTAGCCTTTCAGCATCACTGATTTCGGTATTGCACATCTCTCTTCAGCCCATTTTTATACATCATTTATTGTAACATTAGCCAACGGCACCATTTCATTTCCAGGAAACTCAGTAAAATTACATCTAATCCAGATGCAGCTGCTGAGCTCACGATGTTTCAAATCGAACTAGAAGATGATGTTTATTAGAGTTCTGCGTTTAAAACTTTACACCAAAGTGATCCACATTCCAACCAATAAGCTGTGAACACGCTGGCCACACCCACCTGAGGGGACTTGGCCCCGCCCCCTGTTTGCCTCGGCAAGGTCAGCAGTACTCCATCTAAAAGCTGATTGGTTTCCTGGTTGTCTTTAGTGATGTCAGCGTTGCTATGGAGGCCATAGACCCCAGGCTCTGCTGTGATTGGTAGATTGCGGATGTATTCAACGTAGCTCTGAAAAAATAACAAAAAAAGATACTGAAATGTTTTTGTGCATATTAGAGGAGTCAAAATGTTTCATATGGAAATGCAAACTAGAGTGCAATATAATAAAAACAATACACAGTAGCTAACAATGCTGTGTAGAAATGAGCACAAAAAACACTTCTAATGAAACAAAAGGACAGAAGGAGTAAAGCCAGGTTGTATTTCACTCAACCAGTCCGGGACTCATTTTAGATCATCGTGAAACAAGAAATAAATAATAATATGTAAATATGCAAATGACTTCATATCATCATACTGTCACAAACCGGAGGTCTGCTTGACCGGAGCCCGATAGGGGCCTGAAAAACTGAATCCAGTGATTCGTAACTACATAGATGCTCCGACAATATTAGTTTGGCTATTTTTTAAATAATGAATCAAATTATCCACATGCAGTTTCAGTGATACACAGTCGTTAAAGACACAACGATTCTTTTATTTGATTTTTTTTTGGACCTTTGGTATTTTGGCATCCGTATTAAGGGCGAAGCCAAAGAGGGATGGAAGTGAGTGTGTGTGTGTGTGTGTGTGTGTGTGTGTGTGTGTGTGTGTTGGTGTACCTGATAGGGTCCGTGTGGAGGAATGTAGTAAACGTCTCCCTCACAGATTCGGTACTTGTCCTGCTGTACGAGCTCCCAGCTGTAGAAGGTGGAGAGCAGAGAGAGGAGCAGCCGGCGGTCCTTATCATCGGTCACTCTACCTCCATAATTACACTCCCCTGAAGAGAGAGAGAGAGAGAGAGAGAGAGAGAGAGATGAGAGATAGAGAAACAGAGAAAGAAAAGAGAGAGGGAGGGAGAGAGAAACCGAGGAAGGTAAGAGGAGGCAGAGACTCGATGTCAGAGGGAGTTCAGGTTTGACGGATTTAACCAGGTGACACCCACGGCTGACTTTTCTTTGCATATTGTGACGAATCTAATAATATAATAATATTAATAATAATCATTATTATTATTATTATTATTATTATTATTATTATTTATATAGCATCTTTTATACATTAGAAATTCAAAAACTAAAACAAATAAGTAAAAATTCAACAAATAAAAGTGGTGACAAGAGGGGGCAAATAATAATATATTAAAATTAATATTAAAATAATATTAAAATTAAAATGCACAAGATGAAAGTATGTATAAAAACAAAACATACAACAACTAACAAGACAGTAAAAGTAATAAAAAAAGGGAAACAATAAATAAAATACTTAAGCGCTAAAGTGAAGAAACATATTTTAGCTGTTTTTTAAACCACTGACAGGAGGAGTCTGATGAATGTTTATTGGTGATGTGTTAAAGATCTGTGACGCATAAAAACAGAACCTCTCCGCTATGTTTAGGTTTCATACGTGGAATCTGGAGAAGTAGCACTATAAGATCTTAAAACACGATTTGGAACATCATCTATCAGCACTCGGAGATGTATGAAGGTTAACGCAGCTGGTCAGCTTGGCTCGACCCACCATCCTTCAAGACACATGGAAGGCTCTTCTCTGTCCTGGAGCTCAGGTGGTGGAACGAACTTCCACTGACTGTCCAAATAGCAGACTCCCCCGCAGTCTTCAAACGCAGACTGATGACCACGTCTTTGTACAGGACTGAGCTAAACACAGTGTAAGTGCAATACAATACAATTGCAATACTATACAGTACTTAGACTTACAGAAACGTATTGCACTTATGCAGTGTTTAATTCTGCATCTTTGTTTTTAGATATAAGCACTGGCTTTTGTGTCTGAGCAGTGTCTGATTGGTGTCTTGGACTCTCATCTATCTGTACCAGCTAGGATACATTCTCTGAGTGGACAACAAAGCACTTTTGTAAGTGGCTCTGGATATGAGTGTCCGCTAAATGCTTTTAAATGAAATGAAACTAGACTGGAGGAGCAGAGACGAAATAAGCACATGTCTAAGAAAAAATAAGCACATGTCTAAGAAAAAAATGGGAAGGTATAGAAAGAAAAGAAAAAGACGTGGCAGGAAAGTTACAGTAATGTTCCAGCCTCATACACTGATTGGGGTTCAGAGCTCAAATCCAATTTGGGCAATAAAGCTAGTGCTAGGCTATCCCACTTACTAGGAGTGTAGTGCTGTAAAATAAATTAAGCTTTAATTCATGTTGGTGTTTTTTTTTCCTTCAGCCCTGTTCACAACACAGAATACTATGCTGTGCCATGCACCTGTCCCCCATGCCCCAATGACGAAAAGCCAACAGGAAGGCGGGACCCGAATCCCGAACACCACCGAGGGATGCGAGAGGCAGGGGGAGGACGTCAGCTGCCAAAGAGGGGACGATGATGACGACAATGGCCACGCGAGGCACGAAGGCGGGATGCAAGTCCCAAACGAGGCCCGCAGTGAGGCTGCTTCACTAACACCTCAAGTTCGATCCAGGCAGCCGAGATGCGGAGCTGGGGCGGTGACGGAGAGGTGGAACAACGAGCTCCTTTTCCCTCTCGGCTCAGGTGAGCGCCTTTTAAAAGAGCAGAGAGGGAACAGAGAGACAGAGAGGGATGAGCAGCAGCAGAAAAGACTGAAGAGCTGAAAAGCTTGAGTGAGAAAAGGACCGAAAAGTCTAGTTTTGAAAGCCACTGAAAAGTGGTCAACTTAGGTCTTGGTTTTGTTCGCTTTGTTTTGGTTTTTTGGCAGTTGCAAACCTGAACCCTGCCTCCGTTCTCCTGGTGTCCGGGGTAGCACTGGGCGTGCTACATTGGTGCCGAAACCCGGGATGCCAACGCACTGAGGGAGTCCCCATGGTGGAGGAGGAGGCCATCAAGACCCTCATCCACCTGCACCTGGCTGGCTAACGGGAGCTGCAGGCTGCTTTTCATGACGATGAAAAGCGATGAAAGCAGCTTGAGGAGCAGCAGGTGGTGACCCATCAGATGGCCAGGAGCTTGATGGCAGAGCGACTGTCATTCGGGCCCAGGGGACGGGTTCATGGCACATTTGTCTTATTAGTAATTATCAAAATATGAGCAGGACGTGAAACAATTATTTTTAGCTGTATATTTTATAGACGGATGCTGCAGATATAGAACAGTAATGGTGGTCTAACAGGTTTTCCATTCAGGTGCTCCGCACAGACCGGCTCTTTCCACACACTCGCTCCCACGTTTATATGGGCTCACCGGTCAGGTAGGTCAGAGCCTCCAGAGGAATCTCCTCATATTCATCCAGAAACATCTGGATCTGACGCATGCTGATCCGCAGATCCGATTCATTAAATTCATATGGAATGTTCCAGCCTGGAGAGAGAAACAGAGAGACGGAATAAAGAGGTCATGCATTACAGTGATGCCTGGAAGAACCTATGAACACTACGTTCAGCTGCCTACGTACATCACCAAATGTTCTTAAGAAGAAAATTCTTCGTAAAACCCACTTACACAGTTTTCACGGATATTCTGCACTGCAAAAAATGGTATCTTAAAAATAGTCAATAAATCTACTGTTTGAGATTGTTGTAAGCTTAATTTAAGATTATTTACCTTATTTCTAGACATTTTTACTTGTTTTACACTATTTTATTAAGTAAAATTATCTCACTTGTTTTAAGAAATGTACTTGAAACAAGCCAACTTATCTACCAGTATAGTGAGATTGTACTTAATTAAATTTCTTAAAACAGGTAGAAAATGTCTAGAAATAAGCTAAATAGTCTTATAATAAGTGCACAACCATCTCAAAATGGGAAATAGTAGACATATTGACTATATTTAAGATCATTTCACTTGACAAGATCCCATTTTTTGCAGTGTGACATTCACCAGTGTTTTCTTATCTAGGATTTGTTGTTAGGTAAGAACAGAATCTATACACACTTGAGAGCACAAAGGTGAGAACAGTTCTGTAATTCAAGAACACGTCAAGAATCTGATGTAGACTTTTTCTTAGGACCTTTCTCAAGAACACACTTAGGAAAAAACTTAGGAAGGTATTGGTGAATACGCGTGTGCACGGCTTCAGCTGCCTTGGCCGAGTACCACTGTGCGGTGTGGAATGATGTTTTACCAACGTAAATGTGACGCAGCATTAGAATGTGGCGATTACAGAACTATTCATTTAAAAAAAACCTGCCCATTTAACCACCTCAACCAAACTAGCTGTTATCCCCCTGCCTTTTTGGTGATGATTGTTAGGATATTTGGACTATTTTTGGTCTAAATATGCATTTTCTGTTGGCTTATTTTAAGATTTGTTTCTGGTTTGTTCAGCCAGCTTCTCAACTTCTTTCTGCACATGCTGCTGCTGCTGCTGTCTTCAGGAGACACGGACGGGAGAAGTGAATGACGCAAGACTTAAGCACACAGGCACTGTACCACTTTGACACTTTGACTCTGACATGAATAGGCAAACACATGCATACAAAAACACACGCTAAAATATGGTGAGCATGCGCTGCTGAGAGTCGCCCTGTAAATCCTGAAATAATCATTTAAAACTCAGAGGCATCGAGTTTTTTTTTTTCACACCACGTCATACGTCTTTACGTATTAATGCCACACATACAGACTCTGAAAGAAGGTCCGGCTCAATGTTCAGGTCTCGAATGATCTCAAAATCAACATCATACTGATGAAGATGTGATGATGATAGTCGATAATTCACTCACATCCTCAGAGACGCTCCTTCACCAAGTTTAGACCGAGTTCTCTTTGAATTCTCTTTCAATAATTAGATTCATCCTTCTGGGGAAGGGGGCCGAAGAACAACCCACGTTACAAAATGTGCTTCATGTTGTAGTTACATATTTCCACCAGAGAGGGCTCCAAATTCCCAAATCTTACATAGTGTAGGTTAAAAGCACATTTACCCAGTTTCGCCCCCTCTTACCCCAAATGTAGTCGATCAGCCAAGACATGTTTGGTGTCTGAAGATTCCTTTTTGAGTGTTAGCACTGGAGCCACGAGGCTAAGGTAGCTCAGAAGACGAGGAAGCTTATATCCCACCAATTAGCACGGGTGCTAACTGCATGCCTAAATCATCACACGCTTGCCAAAGACAGACAGTTAAGCAGGTGGACAGCGATGTGATTACTGACCTAACGGGCCGAACGTCCTCCTCTCCTGGACGAGGGCATGGAAGAAGCAGAGTCCGAACAGGAGCTTCTGCCACACCTCCTGTTTGGAGGAGCTGCTAAAGAAGGCGGTGTCCGAGATGGGGTCACTCAGGTAAGAGCGCAGCAGGTTCGCTCGCAGACCTTTAGGAGGCTCATTCGTCATCTTCACACCGTTCTGCAGGATACTCACAGGGAACTTATCAGAGGGGTAACTGGTCAACCACAGCCTAAGAGGGAGAGACAGAGAGAGACAGAGAGAGAGAGACAGTAAAGGTTTTATAAATACATTAACCTTTGTTTTTGGTATTTATAATGGGATCTGCTTCTTATGACCTTCACACATCAAGTACAATTTATTTAAAAGATGAACAAACACAGAAAACACTTTCATCAACATGACTACATCAGAGCTACATTTTACAAACTCACTGCAAATACAGAGAACATTCAACTTCAAAAACGCTGCAAAGCCAGTCACAACACAACGGAAATGTCAAAGAAGACTCAAAGTGGATGGAGTATCTACGATGGAAAATCGCTGACAAAAGTAGAGAAGACCACCGACACTCGGACACTCTCATCCCGAGTTCGTGGTTAACTTTGCTGGCTAGTTTGCTGTCTGTCATGTCGTAGCTGTACTGTGGTCGTTCTCTGGTGTTACTAGTTAAACATTTACAGTGACTCTCTACAGATGATTCCCATTACGATACAGTGATGTCAGTAATCTGCTCAAATAAAAGTCAGCTACTGTTACTGGTGAATGTACTTTACATGTGCTGTACAGAATTTAAAAGTCTGAATGGCCCCGTCATCTCTGAGTGTCCTCCGGAAACATGTCCGCTGTGTTGTGGCTTTACAGTGTTTCTGAAGCTGCGTGTGTTTCTGTATTTGCAGGGTGTTTATGAAATGTAGCGTCGGTGTCGTCATTATGATGAAAGTGCTTTCTGAGGTTGCAGAGTGTTTACGAATATTGCAGCGCGTTTGTAAAATGATGTAATTCTGATGAGTGTTTTCTGCATTTGCAGCTCGTTTTATTTGCAGTTTGTTGGGTCTTCTCGGCCACCGTAGTTGTCTCTGCTGTTGGCATGGCGACAACCAAACTGGTGGATTCAAAACCAGCTGGAATTGTTGACAACCATCAGAAGGATTGGTTTGTGCTCTGCTTTGTCATTGATGCCGTCAGTGTGTGAAATACTCCCTGGGATTCGGGGGTCACTAACTCACTTGTCAGAGCGGCGCTGATGCTTCAATGCCAGCACAATGCTTGGTTTAACAGTTCCTCTGGAAATGCTCTGTTCTAGTTTGCTGTATACCCTACTGGTTCTTTTCCAACTGATCAGATGTCCGAAAAAATAAATGTTGTGACATATCATGTATTGTAAAAATTTCTTGAAGTATCGCAATGTTATATTTTTGTCATATCGCCCAGCTCTAGTGAAAAAAAGCAAAGTGTTACTCATTTCTCAAATCAAAGACACCGGAGACGAATGTGTGGAGGAGCGCATTACTCACCTGAAGTCAGAGTGTGTGTTCTCAGGTGTGATAATCTCCTCACAGATCTTCTCCAGGGCCGGCATCCAGCTGGTCGCTAGGTGACAGTTCTGCAGGACCACCCAGGTTCCATCCTTCAGCGCCGTTTCAATCATACGGGCCGCGATCGGACCCTGACCCTGACCCAGAGAGATGGTCTGGGTTCTGCTGCCCCCCATACCCAGATCATCCGCAAACTTCAGCAGCCCTGAGAGAGACAAACATTACATTCCCACAAAAGTGGACATAGTTTATATACATAAATACCTACATTTAGAGTCGGTTATTCATTCAGTCTAATGAGAAACTGTACAACAGACTCAGTTTATATCACAATACCTACATTTAGAGTCGGTTATTCATTCAGCCTAATGAGAAACTGTAGAACAGACTCAGTTTATATCACAATACCTACATTTAGAGTCAGTTATTCATTCAGTCTAATGAGAAACTGTACAACAGACTCAGTTTATATCACAATACCTACATTTAGAGTCAGTTATTCATTCACCTAATGAGAAACTGTAGAACAGCCTCGTTTATATCACAATACCTACATTTAGAGTCAGTTATTCATTCAGCCTAATGAGAAACTGTAGAACAGACTCGGTTTATATCACAATACCTACATTTAGAGTCGGTTATTCATTCAGCCTAATGAGAAACTGTAGAACAGACTCAGTTTATATCACAATACCTACATTTAGAGTCAGTTATTCATTCAGCCTAATGAGAAACTGTAGAACAGACTCAGTTTATATCACAATACCTACATTTAGAGTCAGTTATTCATTCAGCCTAATGAGAAACTGTAGAACAGACTCAGTTTATATCACAATACCTACTGTTACTATGTTGAGGCCAGACGTTACTATATTTAGGCCACAAATTTCTATATTGAGGTCACAAATTAAGATTATGAGGCCACAAGTTACTATACTTAAGCCATAAATTACTATATTGAGGCCACAAGTTACTATGTTGAGGCCAGACGTTACTATATTTAGGCCACAAATTTCTATATTGAGGTCACAAATTAAGATTATGAGGCCACAAGTTACTATACTGAGGCCATGAGTTACTATATTTATACCACAAATTACTATATTGAGGCCACAAATGAATATATTGAGGCCACAAGTTACTATATTGAGGCCGCCAATTAAGATTTTGAGGCCACAAGTTACTATATTTAGGCCAAACATTTTCATATAGAGGCCACAAATTCATACATTAAAACTATAAAATATTGTACTAAGGCCAAAAATTGATGTACTAAAGGTCATGAAGTACTACATTGAGGCCACAAGTAAAGAGAAACTTAACTTGTGGGCTCGATTTAGTAACTTGTGCCCTCAGTATTGTAATCTGTGGCCATGCCTTATCAAAAATCTAATCACCATGTCACCTTCGGGGCTCCGTAAACCTTTACGCCCTTTAAATGCATGTATTTTGATAAAACTGTGAAGGGTAATCACACACCCTCTTACACACACCTGCGGTGGGGTCCGATCCCGATGACAGCACGAAGATGAGCGGTGAGCAGCAGTTGGAGTCGCTGTAGCTTCCTGCCAGGTCAAAGGTTGGAGGTTCGATGTAGGTGCGGCCCATGTTGTCCACGATGAACTCCTGCACAGCGGGCACCAGCTTATCAGGCCTGAAGCAGCGCAGCACCACCATGCGCTCCATGCCCACCAGAGTGCGCCATTTCCCCGGGAACTGCTCCTCATGTGGCCGGCCGGAGTCGTAAATCTGCTTCCACTGAGCCACGTTCTCCTGCACGTGCTCAAACAGCCCCTCCAGGTTTGGGAGCTTTGAGGCTCGGACCACCTGACGCCACAAAGGGAGTGAGTGAGGAGTCACGTCTGATTCAGGCATTCTGTATTTTAACCCCTTAAACTCCAACTTCAGTTCCTCACCCTCATAACTGCACACTACACATTCCTATCATAGCTGTCACTGAATAGTTCATAGTAGTTACTGTGTAATAAGCCTTAAGATTAATCACTGAATAGAAAGCCTAGAGTTACAGGTAGTTTCAGCTAAACTGAATATAAAACAACCGTCAACACTGACAACAAAGTCACCACACTAGTTATTATGTTGTTGTATTAGTATCCTGCATTTTATAGAGGAATTCCACCATTTTTTCAAATTTTCTGCATAATTCAGTTGTTGAAATGTAAAAAATTGTTTTTAAGTGAATAATTACAACTTGGAGAAACACTCTTTCTTTACAGTGGTGGTGTTAAGAACCAGGGGTCACATGTCTACGATGTATGCAAAAGTTTAAGCATCCCTGGTCAATGTACATATTTTGTTGATGTTCTAAGCCAAAATAAGTGAAAAAGCTTCATTTAGTTTTGCAAATTTTAGAGCACAGCATTGTTATCATTATTGGCATTTAATGAATAAAAAAACATAAAACCATAAACCAATTAATGTTTTATTTGTATTTTTTTCCCAAATTCAGCTAGTAAACAGTAATTGTGCATTACATTGTGCAGGACTGTGCTCTCTGTAAAGGATGTGTTAACTTATTCACACTTAGAAAACTAACAAAACATGGCATTTGACCAGGGTGCCCAAACTTTTGTATACAAAGGTATAGCCACTTTATTTACTATCCAGAACCACCAGTGAACCTACACGAGTCTTCTGAGTTTATATGGAATGCTGATGATGAAAATAGTGGAAAATCTGAAATAATAAGTTTTCTTTGGGGACTATTTTGCCTCACAGCGCCCTGCATATTATGTATCCCTCCACCATGAACGGATTTTTGGGCTAAAATCTCAGGCAGTGAATTCATAACCATTTCATGTAGGAACTTTCTGTGAGGGAGCTTTTAGAGGTGGACGTCTGGTTCCTATCACCACCACTGTGAACGACTGAAATGATGTGAACATTTCAGACCAAACCGTTCTGAATGACTTTGTTTACATCTTATGTGAAAAAATCTCTTATGAAGTAAATTTGATCACTCCACCTCCGACCACGCTTTGTCCGACAGCCATTCTGGGGCGGGGTTTGGGTGAGGGTTGTCGAGGGCGACGCCGCCCGTGAGCAGGAAGCGCCAGATGAGGTCGCTGACCTGACCTTTGCCTTGCATGATGCCGACAGTGAGGAGAAGCGAGAACAGTAGCTTATCCTTCTCGAACAGCGAGCGGCAGACGTTCCTGTAGATGCTCACGGTGAAGTGCTCCGTTATGTTGGAGATGCGGGTGTCCAGGTCGTCGCTGGCCGGGCTCTGGGCGATGGATTGCAGGTACAGGCCGATGAACCAGGTGAGAGAATACTGGTACATGGGCTCGATGTTCGCCAAGTCCGAGATGCAGAAGAACAGGATGGACGAGTGCTCGGCCACAGGACGGTAGCCTAGCCGCGTTTCGTCGATTTCTCGCTCCGTCAAGCTCGCAATCTTCTGCTTCTCAGAGATCTCCTCTGATAAAACCTTGGAGGAAGACAGGACCTTGATGGCCGTTTCATCTTCCAGAATGTTCCCCTGAGATGAAGACAGCACCTCCAGGATCTTGTCCTCGATCTCCTTCAGCTGTTTGTTGTTAGCGGCGCTCTCCAGGATCAGCTGGTTCTTCTTCTCCTCCAGTTCGGGTTTTTCCTTGGCGGCGACGATCCCCAGCAGCTGGTCCTGCAGCCCCAGCGGTGTGATCATGAAGTTCAGCAGGCACACCTTCACCGCCACCTCCGGCAGGTAGTGAGGGTTCCGCAGGCCGGTGGTCATGTAGAAAAGGAAGTCTCTGGAATATTCTATGATGTTCTCGCCCAGTTTCATATACTCCACCCCCTGCTGCTTGAAGGTCTGCTTCAGTAGAACAGGCTCTAGAACCGCGTCTAGCTCCTCACCCACATTCTCCAGGAGAACTGGTGTTCCAAACTGAATGGCGTTCTCCAAGGTGCGGACGTAGTTGCTGTCGGAGAGCTTGATGACGGACAGCTTGTTGGCCTTCTCCATGTTCTTGATCCACTTATTGGCTTGGCCCTGCAGGTGGGTTGGATGATATGGCAAAAAATAAAATAAATTCAAATTTAAATGTACTGACGATTCTTGATGACCTAATAGAAACTTTGAAAAAGGCCAAAAGATAACTCATCTAATTTTGTTCATTAAGGCTGTCACACGCCAAACACCATACAAATAAACAAGATGAAAATAAATACAAATAAAAAACAAGACGTGTCACATCGGTTTGAGCTGATTTTGGAGATCTTCTCCACACATGATGAAGAAAAAGAAAAACTAATCCTTCTAACGTTTGTTGAAACGTTTGGGTTGCTGGAACAATCACCCAGTTTGGTAGTCGCCATGCCAACAACAGAGACAACAGGGACTGGTTGAGTGAGTTCAGGTTGCCAGAGAGCAAATAAAATAATGGTTTAAAAAAAATAACATTTATTGTGCAAGATACCATCAGCAATTTTACTGATTTCCGAATAAACGGCACAAATAAACTGTGAAGGCCTTTATAATGGAAAAAGTCTGACTGGTCAGCGTAATCAGAGTATTGGATCACCTCTAATAAATGGAGATGCGCAATATTTTGCCTGTCTTTTCTATGCGTATCTGTCAAAGCAGACACAAGTTCTGAATTGAATTTGTAATGCTGCCACTTTTAGCTGTGACTCGTTTTCTACAAACTTTGCATATTGATTAATTGTATTCTTAAAAATCTGAACCAGTTCCATATGAACGTAGTGGCATTTCCATCTTAAGCAAGGAGTGCTGCCTGTCTTCAGGTTGTATGTGCATGTTTCTGCAGCTGATTTTATTTATCAGGCTGCGTCAGCAAGAGTTTAGTTTTTTTAATCGCAGTGTTTGCTTAATGTGTTTAAGGGTCGTATTTACTAATATATCAGTGTAAAGCAGTGTTTGTTTAGTGTTTTGGGGATTTTTCTCCCCAATTTGGTATTCAGTTCCACCCACTAGTTAGTTTTACCGCAATCACATGATACCACCAGCGCTAGGAGGGCGACTGGGAACACAGGCTTCCTCTGAGACCTGTGAAGCAGCACTGCATCTTTTTGAACTGCTGCTAACACAACGTCACTGTACAGCTTAACGCGCTCGAAGGAGAACACTAACCACCAGCTCTGAAAACATCTTTCATTTGGACCTAATTGTATAAAAGGGAACATCTTTAGATATAATGGTGGGCAACCAGGTAATGAAATGTTTAAAGAGGAAGGGGTGATTATCTCATCATCCCTAAAAATCATATAAGAACACTGTACACCGCTTTGGCATCGTATTCCGGAGCCTATGCCCAGGCTGAATGCTTTTTGCTAAGCCTTAAATAAAGATTATGGCTTTTTCCAACTAAACCCAACATCTGAAGTCTTTTCCTGAAGATCCGAAATAGAATCATGCGGCATGCGCCCACCCCCCGGGTCCCGCCTTCCTGCCGGCTCTCGCGGCTGCCATCGTCGGGGCCTGTGGGGCGGGCGTATGCCACAAATCATTATTAGGTGCAGGTAAATTGTAAGAGCTTGAGATAAAATCAATGCCGTGTCTTGGGTGATAGGGTTCGCTTGAGGCATGACACTGCCCACCCGGAGAGAGCGAGGACAATGGTGCATAAAGCCCTGCTTGGACATTTTTCACTTCGTGTTAAACCTTCAATAGGACTAAATAGCATAAGAAAATCTGACAGCCTTACCTGCGGGTCGATCATGAGCGGCCAGCGGCGGGAGTTGGACACGATGATGCCGTTGTCTGTTGAGAACGAATCCACAGGTAACCCAGCGATCTGCCATGCCCTGATCAGCACCTGGTTTCCTAGGGTGGTGCTGAGCGTGAAGTCGTCAGAGCATGGTATCTTCCTGTGCTTGCAGAGCTCGTGCCACTCCCGCTGGCACTCCACTCTGAAATCCACTGTGAACGCTCCCAGGTAGGACACAGTGCCTGAGGACAGCAGCACGTCACCCGTCAGGTTTGTGTACCTGATTCCCAGCAGCCTCGCTGCCTCCGTCCACCTGTCCTTCTCCCCTCCCAGCCCACCAATCAGTTTCTCTGCCCGGATCAGCTTCTGCGAGCACAGCTCGATGTTGTCCTCCAGCTCCTTCTTCTTCTGGATCATGGCTGCAAACGTGTCGTTCAGGGCCTGCAGCCGGTCCTGGACTTCTTTTAGCTCGCCGCGTTTCACCTCCAGCATCTTCATCTGGACGGCCAGCTCCTCCTCGGCCTCACGGAGGCGCTCTTTCTTCGGGGCGACCACCTTGGCCACGCGCTCGTACACCTCCATGGCGCGGACCCACTTGCAGAGGCCCTCGCAGGCAGATGAGACGTTTTTGATGAGTGCCGGCTGGAAGTCAGGGTGATCGATGAACTTCTCGCGGATCTTCTTGATATTGGCGGCCGGGATGTTGTCCTTATCGAAGGCCTTGAGGTTCTCCAGGAACTTCATGTCTCCCAGCAGCTTTTTAGACGGTCCCCAGTAATCCTCGATCATCTTACCTGAAAAGGAGACCAGTATCATAGCTGTGAGCGCAGTAAGGAGTCAGGGAGGGGCAATTCAATCAAAGCTGATTTTTGAGGCATTATTTGACAAATATGAAATGTACACAAAGAAAAGCAGTCAGTCTAAAGTCTGATTAAGATAAGCAGACAAATGCTAATCATCTGTTACCTTAACTAACATTACTGGTCACATCATTTTTCATACTGTTGGAACAAAACGCCTACACCGATCAGGCATAACATTCTGACCACCTCCTTGTTTCTACGCTCATCGTCCATTTTATCAGCTCCACTTACTATATAGGTGCACTTTGTAGTTCTACAGTTACAGACTGTAGTCCATCTGTTTCTCTGATACTTTGTTAGCCCCCTTTTACCCTGTTCTTCAGACAGGGCAGACACTCACTGTCCACTCTATTAGACACTCCTACCTTGTCAGTCCACCTTGTAGATGTAAAGTCAGAGACGATAGCTCATCTGCTGCTGCACAGTTTGTGTCGGTCATCCTCTAGACCTTCATCTGTGGTCACAGGACGCTGCCCACAGGACGCTGTTGGCTGGATATTTTTGGTTGGTGGACTATTCTCAGTCCAGCAGTGACACTGAAGTGTTTAAAAACTCCAGCAGCACTGCTGTGTCTGATCCACTCAGACCAGCACAACACACACTAACACACCACCACCACGTCAGTGTTACTGCAGTGCTGAGAATGACCCACCACCCAAACAGTACCTGCTCTGTGAGGGTCCATGGGGGTCCTGACCACTGAAGAACAGGGTAAAAGGGGGCTAACAAAGTATCAGAGAAACAGATGGACTACAGTCTGTAACTGTAGAACTACAAAGTGCACCTATATAGTAAGTGGAGCTGATAAAATGGACAATGAGCGTAGAAACAAGGAGGTGGTCATAATGTTACGCCTGATCGGTGTACGTACAAAATGGTAATTTTACAGGAGGAGGAAAAAAACATTCATAATCTTTTTGGTTTTGTTCCAACAGCAATGATATACTAATCACATCTCATACTTAATCTCATATCATTTAGTTGGAAAACAGTGAGTTTGTAAATAGTTCGCTTATAGCAAACATGAAATTCTCTAAATGATGCTGAGGGAATGAGGGAAAAGCTAAATTGCTAATCAAAAATCATAATTTACTATTCTGTTGTATTGCAGAATTAACGAGCTCTTCATCCGTTAAAGTGGGCGTGTCAGAGCAGGCCAAACACTAAATGTGCAGGGCAGGAGCCCCCATTAAACCTTTTTCCTGGTTTAATAAAATATGTGCTGTATTCTCTCACCGGAGCCTCCAGGGTCAGGTTTCCTCTCTGGTTTGATGCCCTTCATGACACAGATGGACTCCATGACCAGTTTGACAGGGCCGGGAGGGTTCTGCATGGACTTCACCACCGTGATGTCGGCCGGCTTCAGCGTGTCCAGGGCCGACAGAGCAGCTTCCAGTGCCGGCATCGCCTCCGCGAGGTCCCCCTCGCACTCATCCTGCCCATCAATCAGTCAGCAAACCACTCTGAATGTCCACTGGTCCTTTTCATGCACTTACGCACTGATTAGTCAATTAAGTACCTCTTCAAGCAAGGCTTATTAAAGGGAACAACTGACCCTCCAAAACGTTAAACTGATTTTTCACATTATGTTTTCTTCCTGAATTTTTGTTCTATAATATTACAAATTCCCAAAACTGGCAGAAAGCTGACAGCAATACACAGAATACATTACTCAGCACACACGCGTGTACACAATACATACAAACAGTGATGTATTTAGTTATGAAGTTAGCTTGATGCTAATTTTACATAGGAATTCCCATTGACTGGTTAATGGAAGTCAGCATTGTGCTAGCCACACAAATGTAATGGAAAAAATGTTATTTATAAAGTGGATTATAAACAGTTTCTGGATGAAATGCTGCTATATTTAGTGGAGGCAGGTTATGGCTTGCACGTTAATGACTATTTTATGACTATGTATTAGACATTAAGTGTTTAGTTAATCGTCCCTGAGGCTTCTCAAAGTGGTATACACATTGTCCCGTATGCTATTTTCATCATCCTCGGGATGACGGGACGTGGTTAGTATGGAGCTCTGCTTCTAAGTCCACCTTAAATTCAATCTCTCTTCTTTTCGGCGCCCTACGCAGCAGGGTTACTGTCCTGAGCCGTTCAACTCAACTCACTGATTCAACTCATCGGTGTAAAGTGGACATCAAATCGATATCAAACATTAAAATAAGATGTGTGACTTGATGATCTGAAAAAAAACCTGCACTGTAATTCAAAAGGAGTGAAAAACTCAACATTGCCGTCTGGTCAGGACTGTGGATGTTTCAGACCACACAGTGATGACAGCAACGGCCATTCTGAATGAGACGCTGGATAACGGAGGTAAAGAAACGTTCAACCAGGAGTGACCACAGTGGTGATCCTGTCATAGGTGGCTATGACAGATAACAATCATTCAAAGACCGTCAGCATTTATCGGCTATACTGGACCAGCCAAGTTATGCAGGAAGAACTTTATGAACGTGCACCCTCTGCTCGGCAGCTCAGACATCCAATCATAGCACAGAGATGTATTACAGCCGTTACGGTGAGTTTAGCAGAGTTAAGGAGTGTTTTACAAATGATAACCAGCTCACTCACTGTTGTTCAGGTGCAACTAAAGAGGCTTTGGTTTGTGCTGAGTGGGGCTTTGAAACAGAGCAGGTAATAAAAATCTACACTAATTCTGATTGGTCTGAGGAATCACTCGACGGCGTCTTCTCATACAGTCCCGCCCAACTCAAATCAAACCAAGGAAACACAAAAGGGCTAAAATCTCTCAGTCGAAATGATCTGTGCCGTTGACTAGAACATTCCCGCAGGAGTGAATGTAGAGGAGTAGAAGTGAAAACTCTATATAGAGAATAAAGTCGGCAATAAGTGAACACGTTTTCTACAGAGAACATAACTGCACATTTTAATGCACAATTACTGTTTATTTGCTCAATTTAACATATTACAAATAAGTGCAAAAGCATGTCACATTTTATATCAAAGTTATGTCAAATTTTGCAAATAAATAGAAATTCTGCAAAGAAAGAACACTGCAAAAATGAGTATCTTGTCAAGTAAAATGGTCTTAAATCTAGTCGACATATCCAATATTTCTCCGGTCGAGATTGCTGTAAGCTTATTATAAGAATATTTAGCTTATTTCCAAACATTTATTACCTGTTTTAAGTAATTTTATTAGGTAAATTTATCTCACTATACTGGCAGATAATTTTGCTTGTTGTAAGAAATGTGCTTAAAACCAGCAAAACTGTCTGCGGTATAGTGAGATAATTTTACTCAATAAAATTACTTAAAACAGGTAATAAATCTTATAAGAAGTGCACAACTATCTCACAATAAGAAATATTAGACATATCGACTAGAATTAAGAATTTCACTTGACAAGATACTTTATTTTGCAGTGAAGATTGAAAATGCCATATTTAAAATTGTTCCCTGTAGAACAAACATATTTTCAGAACCAACAAAACATGTAATTTGACCAGGGTGTTGACTTCTGTGGTTAACCAAATCACCATCGTGAGCAGCATCATATGTGCCAAGACAAATACGACGTTGTTCAGCACTGTCCACACCATGGACTGAAGAGTGATTCTGAGTTTGAGCCTCACTAACATCAGATAACCACTGAAATGTTTCTCCAAGCCCTCACTCACGCGGCAGCACACCCCCCGACCATCCATCCATCCATCCATCCATCCATCCATCCATCATCTAAACCGCTTATCCTTCTGGGTCGTGGTGGGGTGCTGGAGCCTATCCCAGCTGTCATTGGGCGTAAGGCAGGATACACCCTGGACAGGTCACTAGTCCATCGCAGGGCAGACAGACAGACATACACATTCACACACTCACACCTAGGGGCAATTCAGCATGTCCAATCAGCCTGACTGCATGTTTTTGGACTGTGGGAGGAAACCGGAGTACCCGGAGGAAACCCACACAGACACGGGGAGAACAGGCAAACTCCACACAGAAATGACCCTGGTCACCCGGCTGGGAACCAAACCCAGGCCATTCTCGCTGTGAGGCAACAGCGCTACCCACTGCGCCACCGTGCCGCCCACCCCCCGACCAGCATCTGCAAAATGCTCTCAGATACCTTAATGGCTTTAGCAGCTGCTGCAGCCTCATTGGCCACTTTCTCGTCAGCAGCAACCAGCTCTTTCTTGGCGTCCACCTCCACCGTCTCCTTCTCGATCTTCACCATCATCTCGTCTGTCTCGGCGGAGGTGCGGATCAGCTCCGGCTGCAGCGCGGTCAGCTCCTGCTGCATCACTGCTACCTGGAAAACGGATACAACAGAAAAACAGATGAGCAAAAAACAGACCGGTGAGGTGGACCCGGTAGCGAGAAACCGATTGCTGGCTGATTATGATAGCAGAATATTAATCATAAACATTGGCTGATACCAATAAAGATCATTCTTACACTGCAAAAAATAGTACATCATCAAGTGAAATGATTTTAGTTCTAGTTGATCTATGTAATATTTCTTATTTTGATGAGATGTGGAAATAAGTTATATAATCTTGCACTAAGCTTACAACAATCTCAAAAGGAGAAATATTAGATTTATTGACTAGATGTAAGATATTTTTACTTGACAAGACACCATTTTTTGCAGTGCAGGTTTTACATATTTTACAGTTACAAAACTGTCATTTGTGCTGGGAGAAATGAATCCTGTGCAAGTACAAAAAATAATAATAATTTGCACACGTCAATTGTCAGTTGACAGTTACTTTGTGAACTGTATATCACATGGTGTGTACAATATCAAATGTTTTCGCACTGCCCGAGTCATCTCCTCAAACAAAGTTGTGCAAACTGAAACACAAGTTCCATACATGCATTTATGAGCTCCTGCTGGTGTGGGTTTCTGTTCTTTCACTGATGCATTAAACACTACTCGCATACTGAGAATTTTGAGTATTGTGGAGAAAATGAGCGACGTTTTAATTTCCCAAAATAAACATTAAAATTCAAAGCTTTTACTCACAGCTTCTGTTTTTCTTCACAGTTAAAACAAACTGTTACACTTACTAGGATTTTAGAAGTATAATTTTCAATTTGTCTGCAACACTTGCAACCTTTCTGGCACCAAACGTTTCCATACAGTAATGAGGGGTGCTGTTTTTTTGCCTGTTTTTGTTTTTAAATGACAGGACTGTTAGTTCTTAAACAATTCGGCTTTAGCTCTAACAGCTGATACTGAGGACTGGCCGGTAGCATCATTCATCACTAATACCTGGAGTCAGGTGTCTCACCTGAGAGGCAGCAAAGTCGAGTTTCTGCAGGCCGACCAGGTATCGATTCCTGAAGGTGTTGACCTCAGTGCGCTTGGAGGTCAGTAGGGTCTTAAAGGTGAGGATCAGCTCCAGGTAGGAAGTGGGCGTGACGTAGTTATGCCTGCGCAGCTGTGAGTAGTACCGCTCTGAGAGCTTCTGCGCGCTCTCCTGAAACGTCTTACACATCTCCACCACCCTGAGAGAGAGAGAGGGAGAGAGAGAGAGATTAAGAAACAGGAGCAAAGTAGGAAGGAGGGAGAGAGAAACCGAGGAAGAGAGTGAGAGTGAGTGAGTGACAGTTACTTTACTCTCAGTCATTTAAACACAACCAACTCTTTGTAATTTCACACAGTTTGGGGCTGAACTGTATTATTTGTCTGTGTTCTATGCTAACAGATATATAGTGTAAAAAACTTTGGTGGGGGGGTGTGGGGGCTTAACTTACAAAAGTTAGTGTCCAGACTGCCTTGAAATTTTGAGTTATTTGAACTTTACAGGGCATAAAACACAGAATCCTGTTCTGTTAACTTACTATTTGAAATTCAATTAATTAAAAAAAAGTGTCCAAACACTTTAAGTTAAACATTTTTTTCCAGTGTACAAGGCTTTTCCTGTAGTAACAACCTGGGAAACTCCCCAGATATTAATCAGCAGCCTTAAAATGATAATTGGATTTGGAAAAATAACCTGAAATTGGAATTTGAATCCACATTTACAATTTTTCCCTCTTCACCCCAAATGTAGTTTTGCTCTGACAATGAGGCTAATGTGACTAATAAAAGGAAGCTTATACCCCACCAATCAGAACAGTTCCAACTTTGTGTCTAAATCATCATACACTCGCCTCAAAGGTGTTCAGTATCTCTAATTGACTTGATTATGTGGTTTCTGACCCTGTATGACTCACTGTTATCTATAAACATGGACTAAAGTACAGACAAAATTCAGGCCTCCAGGCTGCTGCTGCTATTTTCAGCTTTGCACTGTACTTTTGTTCACTGGAAGAAAGTTGTGCACATTAGCATTTTTGTTGAACAGTCACTTTCCTGAAGAATCGGTGCAGTTTTAATTTCAGAAAGTTCTGTAAAATCATACCGGCCCAGAGGATGTCATGATCTTTAACCCACAGCTCATGCTCTTACTCTGTTCTGATGTAGTCGTCCAGCTCCACCTCCTCCAAAAACTTGTTGGCCACCATCTCGAGGGCATCGGTGGGCCAGGCCTGGAACCAGTCGATCGTGCAGCAGTTAATCAGAGATGGGAACATCCGCAGACGATTCCGGAAGGCATCTCCAATCGGACTCATTGCTGTGAACACACAAACTCACACACTGAGTTTCTGAGCACAGTACTGCTGCTGTCCAGATATTATTCGTACCATTCTCAGTACAGCAGTGACCGTGCGTCCTGCTGGTTAACAGGCATCAGCGCTCTGCAGTTTCAGTTTCCATTCACTGAAGCTTACCAAAGTTATTCCTGCTAATAAAAAGTCAACTAAGTCTCCCCATTATTCACCACCATCACTGCTGTATTGTATTTGGTGAGTTTTATGAACAGTAACAGATGAAGGTAATATAAGGGAACGGTGGACATTGTGTCTTTAGTATCTGGGATATTTTGAACTGCAGACTTATGAAAAAAAGAACATCTCTCTCAGAAGTAAAAGCACCGTTTTGCAAAATGAATAAATTTTACACTATTGGGGCTCCTGAGTGGCTCAACCGTCTAAGCGTTGGTCTTAACATCAGGAGATCGCAAGTTCATTCCCTGGTGATGCTACAGTCTTCTGTGTCCGGGAGTCCAAGAGAACACAGTTGTCCTCGCTCTCTGGGTGGGCAGGATGGCTCCACGCCCCCATCACTCAGCGCTATGCTAGTCAGTGCAGGCGTCTGTTAGCTGACGTAACAGAACTGGCGGTTGGCGCTTTCCTCCGAGCGCGTTCGGCTGTTGAATGACGTTACATTAGCGTCAGTTTGAAAAGATGCGGTGGAGCTTCACGGGTCTCGGAGGAAGCCTGTGTTTGCCTTTGCCCTCCTAGCGGTGGTGGTAGCGCGTGATTGGCAAAATCCTAACTAATGGTTAGAATTGGATATGAGAAAATTGGTGGAAAATTCTGGGGCCGTATTACAGAAAATTCTTATAATTTTTGTCTTAACTCAAGATCTGACAGGCCAAGATAAGATTTATCACAAATTCATATTACAGAAGCAAATATGATCTTAATTTAGGAATCTTATCTTATCTTACAGCATCTTAACTTACTCAACTGAAGTCGACAATCAACTGTCGTGTCTGTTACCTAGCAACTGACCATACGCGCACAGCTGAGATGTAAACACGTAATCAAGTTAGTTAGCCAGATAGCTAACGTTAGCTACCGTTACTGAGGTAAACAAAGTCAAATAAAAGTAAAGCGCGTAAACTGAGAGTTAATAATATTGTGAGAGCGCCCCCTGCTGTTTATCAGAGCGTCGCCGCTCCCCAGTTTCAGTCTCCATTTCCCAAACGCTTTAGCCGAGCGCGCTAACGTTACTCCTCCTAATAAACAGACACACGTTCAGCTCCGTCTCCTCATTATTCACCACCATCACTGTAATATTTCATCATCAACATTAACACACGAAGGTGATCAGAGGGGCGGTGGAGATCGAGTCTGCAGCGTCTGAGATCTTTAAAACGCAGAGTTAGAAAAAAAACTCACAAGTCAAAGCAGCGTTTTCAGTGTAGATAAATAAGCGTCATTATGCTGGTTTAGTGAACTGTGCTGCCTGACACGGTATAAAACAATAGAAACAGACAATTTAAACAGAAGTTAAGATGCTCTGGGGTTTATATTAAAGTTAAGAAAATATTTTGGCAACTTAGGATGTTTCTGTAAAACCAGATCTCAGACTTGCTGAACAACTGTAACATTGTATTTTCAGTACAACTGCTAACAGTAGAAAGTGGAAATTAAACAGACGTTAGGACGCTGTTAGGGTTTAGTTAAGACAGTATTTAGGAAATTGTGTCTAGTTAGATGTCTGTGTAATAATATTTTCCTACCTGGAGTTTGGATAAGACTGTGTACTTAGGAACTGTCCCAAATTCAGTCCTAACTGAAGATTTTAGAGTTAGGATGTCTCGGTAATGTGGCCCCTGAACTACATCAGGCAGGTCTGTGAGTGCTGTGTATGTATGTGTGCATGTGTGCAGTACCCAGAACGATGTGCAGGTTAGCTTTGACCCTGTCGATGAAGAAGTTGTACATGGTCAGCGGCGTGGCGTCCAGCTTCCTGCCCTCCATCCTGGCGACGGCCTGCATCTTCTCGATGATGTCGGCGCGTTCGTCGGCGGGAAAGATGTTGGGGACGTCTCCGGTGTTCAGCAGCATGTTAATGTCCTCCACAAATGACTCATCTTTGATCTGACTGTCATTGAACAGGAAGGTGGTCCTCTTGCCCTCCACTCCAGCCTTCAGCATCACTCGCTTCAGGTCATCCCTCCAGTCCGTCGTTCCGTAACTCTTGGTCAGTTCGATCTGGAACAGCTCGTAGTCGCTGATGAACGTGGCCAGTTTGGTGGCGCTCTGGCGTCCGGAGCCACCGATGCCCACCAGCAGCAGGTGGCCGTTGTCCTGCTTGAGAACCCGGCAGATCCGTGAGACGTGCTCGATGGCGAACTGGAACATCACCAGGCTCATGGGCGCCTTGCTGACGTTGTTGAACTCGTCCAGGTAGAGCTCCATAACTTCGGTCAGAGCGCGCACGTCCGTCAGCTCGTCGTACGCTTTGACGTCCGCGTCCGGCTTGCCGTAATCACCGAAGAACAGACTGCGGATGTTCTCATCCGTGACTTTTCCAGAGGGAGAAAGATGACAGAGGAGCTAGAGAACGAGAAAGGAAGACAGAAACAGAGAAGCAGAGAGTCGATATCAGAAAAATGCAAAAATTAATTTCCACAAACCATGAACACTGATTAGCATGATTAAATAGTTCTTTGCATGATGAAATCGTTCTTTAGATTGATGGAGAACGTGTTATTCATAGTTCTAAACAGAATCTTTTTGAAAATGGTTCTATATAGCAGCAAAAAGGGTTCTACTATTGTTACAAGCTTGACATTATAATAACAGCAGAACCCTTTTCTCAATAGCAGAACCAATTTCATAGAAAACCCAAACTTTACCACTTTCAAAAAGATAGAATTAAAAAGGTTCTGCTATTGTTACAAGCTTGACATTGCAACAATAACAGAACACTTTTTGGTGCTATGTAGAACCCTTCTCAAAACGGTTCTACATAGAACCATATAAAATATACTCTCCATGAGTCTGAAGATCCATTTTACTATGCAAGGAATGCTTTAAGCATGCAGATGGTTCTTTGAGTGTTCGTGGTTCTATCTTTGCTAATCAACCCTTGAAGAACCATCTTTGTCAAGAGTGTAGAGATGGGGATTTATAGGGTGTTATATTAAAAGAAGGAGGGGTTTCAGACAGGGTCCTCCCCCCAAACTTCACTTATTCCATAACTCCGTTTAAAGGCGTAAATAAAAAGCAGATTAAGGATAAACAGTCAGGAGTTTTCATTTCTGTGCATCACTAGTTAAGAGTGGGAACAGTACCTTGTCCAGGCTCTGTTTGAAGTAGCCTGAAGTTCTCTCTCTGACGATGCTGAAAAAGGTCTCTCTGTCCTCGCTGTCAATCAGGCGATCGTAGAACACTCGGTACACCTCGTGGATCCATAACCTCATCAGCTTCTCCCCATCCTGCTCAGGACAAAACAAACAGAGCTGTTACTGGAGGGAACGGCTGAGACAGGGACGTCTGCACGCGTTGGTATCTGAGCCTGTCTGTGTGTGAGCGCCACCCTAACACACCTGCATGTGTGTGTGTGGACAGAGCAGCACTCCTTTAATGACTCTGGAGAAGTCTCTGAGGTTGAATATGTAGTGAGATTTAGAGGGAGTGGGTAGAAACTTCTCCATCGCATCCTTATACACCGCCATGGTGGCCTGAACCAGGATCTTACCCAGCCTGCAACACACACACACACACACACACACACACACACACACACACACCACACACACACACACACCATCAAACATTCACATATACAGAAACACAGCTCAGTCGCTCACACATCAATCTGACGAATCACTGCAATGGTATCCCAGGTGGCTGCTTAAGTGTTGTTAGCTCAGTGCTGTGGTATCCCAGGCGGTTGCTAATTTGTTGCTTTGCTGTTGCTATGGTATCCTAGGTAGTTGCTGAAGTGTTGCTAGGCCATTGCTATGGTATCCCAGGTGGTTGCTAAGGTTTTGCTAGGACATCGCTATGCTCTTCTATGTAGTTGCTAATTTGTTGCTTTGTCGTTACTGTGGTATTCCTGGTGGTTGCTATGGTGTTGCTAGGCTGTTGCTATGGTATCCTAGGTGGTTGCTAAGGTGTTGCTATGGTATCCTAGGTGGTTGCTAAGGTGTTGCTAGCCCGATGCTATATTATTCCAGATGATGCTAAGGCGTCACTAGGCTGTTGATATGGAATCCCAAGTGGTTGCGAAGGTGATGCTAAGCAGTGGCGTTGTTAGCCCAGGTGTTTGCTGAGGTGTTGCTGGGTCATTGTTATGGTTTCCTAGGTGGTTGGTAAGGTGTTGCTAGTCATTGCTTTGGTACCCCAAGCGTTTACTAGTATATTTGAAGACGAAAATTGGGGAAAAATAAAAAAAGCAATAACCTCACCACCACCCACCCACGGAGCAAACACAGACACACCTGTAGAAGGAGGCGTCGAAACCTTTACTGAAGTGCCAGTCGGTGATGGAGGAGAAGATTTTACTGAGAGTTTCATCATCAAACGAGTCGATCGACACGATGTTCAAATGACGTGTAAAACGACCTGAAAAGCAGCCGAGAAAATGAGGACGCGAGAGTGAAAAAGAGAGTAAGAGAGGCAGAAAGAATACAGAGAAGGAAGGAAGAAAGATAAAGAGAGTAAATGTTGTTTCTGAATCATCCCGTTAGTTCAAGTTCATTAACCACATTAATCGAAATAACTTTCACCTGTAATGTCATTCCTCCCTCCACCAGGGGGCCCCATAGCAGAAACGAAACAGCACGTCTACAATGTCCAGTCTAGACGTGTCCTTCTTATCGTACCAGTGCCGGTGATCGATCCACTGCCTCAGCAGCTCGATTGGGGGCTGGGCTCCGTAAATCTCCTTCGCTGGCATATTCAGGTCGTCTACATATTCAGGTCAAAGATCAGCTGAGTATCTATATCACAGCGGTGACCCTCTAGAGACAGTAAGCCTTATATTCACTCCCAGACAGTATAAATTTACTGGTACACATACACTGTAAATATACATTCAACAACCGTTTCAGTAGTAATTACTTCATAGAGAATCAGAAATGTATGTTTACTATGAGTTAAAGAACAGTTTTAATAACTTTAGTATTTATTACTTCAAAGGGAATCAGAAACGTATGTTTACATTGACAGTTGAACAGCTAAACCGTTTCTCCTATATAGCGTGTCTGGGTGATGGGCAGTGCAATCGGATATTGCTCATGATGGACAAGCAATCCGATGGCGATGTGTAAAAGGCGATAATCGCTGTTTTGGTAAAAGAAAAGAGAAAACTAGAGAGGACTAATTTAACACTAAACAGCTTGCAATTACATTAGTAAACTGGGGTTCATGTTTAAGAAGTGTGTGTATATATATATATATATATATATATATATATATATATATATATATGGAGAGAGAGAGAGAGAGGGGTTTGTTATTTCACTCTGCTACGCACTGTAATGCTAGCTTTACCGCAAGGATTCCCTTTAATTTACTTTACGTGAATGGAACTGAAAATGAACGCTCACGTGCTTTCGAACTTCAGCCTGACGCGCTGCAGTAAATACAAGAACTAAAATCACTGAAAGTTAGCGTAGTGCAGCTAAGTTCACTCTAACCTGGAGAGAACATTTCTGTGATCCTCAGAAAAAGGTAATAAATAACATTAAATAAAACGTACAGATAATGTTTTCTTCACTTTTACTCTTCAAACACTAAGTAATAATTGGGTCTTTAAAAGCTCCAGTAAACTCCCCACTGTGTCTGCTGCGTGTGATCTGTACTGAGTACAGTCTGCAGTATTTTCAGATTAAGTGCTGAATTATGAAAACGCAGCTGTAACGATGGAAAATGCCTTGTTTTTCATGTGGACGTGTGCATGGCTTTGGAAATCACTTGCAATCTGAAGTTTCTCCAGCAGGGAGCGCTACTAGCACGCAAGTCGGCCTGAACCTGCAGCAGAAGAAGCTCATTAAAGTACGCGTTTGCGTTTATTATAATGACAAATGAAGTAGTTCTCAAAATATGTTGGTTTACTCAGTATCATATTATTTAATACATGAGTTATCAAAGATTTTCATTAAAACAGTTAATGTTAAAAAATGCATATATGCTAAAATAGAATAGAAAGTAGGTAAAAGCTGCCATGGACTGTGTGTGATATTATTGATAATCGCGATTTTTTAACTAGAAAACAATTGTCCAGGTCCTACTTTACAGTTAAACATACAAACATCAAGGTGATCTGAGAGTAAAAAAGTCCTCTGGTCTTTGTGTTTAGCAAAAAACTGATTTCTGTTAGTCAACTTCTGCCCACAGCACCCACTAGTGGATTTATTAGTCAGGTAATGCAACCCTTACTCCAGACGCAGCAACTTTAATGTTTTTCTACAGTCAGGTTGACCAATGATCTGATTAATAAAGCATAACTATGTAAATTCTGTAGACTCATTTCTCATGTGAAGTGATTTCTGATTGGTCAGTGTACAGCCTACATAAAATCATTAGACATAAATTATTATGCCTGTTCTCCTGATCAGATTACTTTTTGTGCTGGTAAATCTGAAAAAGTACAATAGAAAGTGAAAAACAAAGCTAAGCTGACAGAACTGATGAAGAATGAAAGATAAACGTCTGCAGATTGTTTTAACAAAGCTCCCTCAAGTAAAAAGAGCAAGAATTCACAGAATTACCTGACCACCAACAGTCACATGACTGAAAACATACAAAATAAAGCCAGGTTCAACTTTTACATATATGTATTCTCAATGCGTTAATCATTAAAAAGTCAGAATAACACATTAAAACATCATCAAATACATTAATTATTAACAATAAAGCTGAGCACCAAACTAAGCCATTTTCAAAAGGGCCTGAGATTGAAAAAGATTGAAACACAACATACACACTAGTGAACACACACACTAGGGGGCAGTGAGCACACTTGCCCGGAGCGGTGGGCAGCCCTATCCACAGCGCCCGGGGAGCAGTTGGGGGTTAGGTGTCTTGCTCAAGGGCACTTCAGTCATGTACTGTCGGCTCAGGGGATCAAACCAGCGACCTTCTGGTCACAGGGTTGGTTCCCTAACCTCCAGCCCACGACTGCCCGACTGTTTTTTTCATGCATCTAGTTTTTTCTCTGGATCACCACCGCTGGGAGATTTGACCACCTTCTCCGTGCCAAAATACCTGAGTGCAGCTGATGGGGAAACTGTATTAGACTAGATTTCCCATATTCCATCCTAATACAGCCCATATACCTCCAAAACGGAGACAAAGCCGCATTTTCTAGGAGTACTTCGTATAGGCAGATGCCTATAACATACAGAGAAGCCAGAAACAGCTCCACACCGGCGCACAACTGCCCTGACTGTGATTGCAGGATAAATTAAAGGGAAAGTTCATGCATTTCTGGATGGTTAATCAAGGCTAGATGTATCTGGTTGTATCAAAGGAGGTTTTTGATGTCGCTTAAAAGAAGCACTAAGAACTTCTGTAGGATGTTGTTGTAAACTGACCAATCAGTCCAGTATTTGTGGTCCTTACCGACATAGACGATGCACTTCTTGCCTACTGGTGGTCCAAAACACTCCCTTGCGTCGGCGGTCCAGTTTGGCCATGATGATGTCCTGCACTTGGTTGGCGGAGGTGCGGGCGGAGAAGTTAAGGCAGTTTGGTGTGTACTGCTCTTTGGACAGAGACAGCAGGAAGCTGTTGTTGATGACGGATTTGCCTGTGCCTGTGGGACCCACAAACAGCATGGGCACCTGGTGGGACAGGTAGGTCCTCAGGAAGAAGAGCTGACGTGCCGTCTCCATGGTGGGGATAATCAGATCAGACACCTGAGAGAGAGAGAGAGAGACAGAGAGAGAGAGAGAGAGAGAGAGAGAGAGAGAGAGAGAGATACTTTCATTTTCACATCCTTTGACCCTAAGGACACAGTGAAAAGTGAAAAAAAAAAACCTTAGTTATATGCAAAAGTTCAAAATTACAAAATTACACATCATCTATAGGGAACAAGACTCTTTTTTTAGTGCACAACTTCTATTTATTTGTTGAGTTTAATTATTGGAAAAAAATCTAAAATACAAAACGTGCCATAACTTTTGCACAGGCCACATTTTGAATTTTATTTTTTTTCGCCAATGTTTAGTTCAGTAAATAAACAGTAATTGTGCATTAAGATGTACAGAAGTGTGTCTCTGTAGAGAATGTGTTCACTTATTTTTGGTGAGAAAATCAACATATCATCTGACCAAGGGCGCCCAAACGTTGCATTTGGCCGTAAGGGCAAATTGAGTGTTAGACCTTACTCTTCAAAAGATAAAAACAAGATATATAAATATGGATTAACTAACAAAAGCAGGCAAGACTTTCACTATGAGTTCACTATGCAGCGCACAGCCCTTAGCTAAGCTAATTTAACCCTTTAACTTCAATATTTAAGATGTTTTATGCAAGTATATGTTTGCTTATACTTCACTAATTAAACCAAGCAACTAATTCAGTCACTCATTCGCTCTTAGCAGGCTAAAGATTCTCCACACGGTAGAGTTGTGAGTATTTAAAATGCTTTTATGTTGTATTTGTGAGCATCACTGAAAAGGATAAACTGGCAGGAACCCACACCAGCAGGATCTCATGAATGCAAGAATGTTTGCGGTCACATTTGTGTGTTTTGACATAAAATGCCCAAAACACACCCTACATACTGCATAATAAGTGTTTACTAATAAAGAAAATGTTCTCTTAATCAATGTAACGTTAATTTACATTCATCACACTGTGTCCTTGTATTTGTATAGTCAAAGTCAAAGTCAAAGTCAAATTTATTTGTTTAGCGCTTTTTACAACTGATGTCACAAAGCAGCTTCACAGAAATCCGTTTAGGACAAAGTTTCAACATGAAATGTAAATCCTCCAGGTGAGCAAGCCAGGAAAAACTCCCTCAGAGCTGAGGAAGAAACCTTGGGAGGAACCAAGGCTCACAAGGGGGGACCCATCCTCCTCTGGTCAAACTACCTACAAAATGATTATACTACTAATATTAATAGTAGTAGTATTTGTATAGCACTTTGTGTTGCAGCTGACAGCCCTTATTCATCAAAGTAAAAAAGAAAAAGAACAGATTTCACCACAATGTCATGAGCCTGTTCAAGGTATGGGGGCCATTAATTATACATCATACATACATCTAAACCGCTTATCCTTCTGGGTCGCGGTGGGGTGCTGAAGCCTATCCCAGCTGTCATTGGGCGGAAGGCAGGATACACCCTGGACAGGTCGCCAGTCCATCGCAGGGCAGACAGACAGACACACACATTCACACACTCACTCACACCTAGGGGCAATTCAGCATGTCCAATCAGCCTGACTGCATGTTTTCGGACTGTGGGAGGAAACCTGAGTACCGGCCGGGAATCAAACCCAGGCCATTCTCGCTGTGAGGCAACAGCGCTACCCACTGCTCCACCGTGCTGCCCGCCATTAATTATGCTAAAGAGAAATTTAGCCCCACACTAAAGACAGTTGTGTAAAACAGTCGCTGGGACTATATAAACTGCTATAATTATACCTGCAACAACTGTGGCTCCAACAAATCAGAACTTAAGCGGATGAGGGGACGCAGATGAAGTAGTTTGGGTTTGTTTAGTAAAGTTTACAGATCATTAAACTGCAATGAGTCTTAATGCAAACGTGGTCTAACATGATCTAGATTCGTGTTTGTGTGTATCTACACTAACATTAGCTCCCAGCTGGGATGGTGCTTTCCTCCTTAGTGATGGAGTCGGTCCAGGTGTTCCACTCTCCTGACCCCTGCTTGTGGAAGTAATAATCATACACCGAGCCTGCAGGGGGAGACAAAAACACCAATATTACACAACACAGCCACACTGTACCGCACCAGCGTGATGCAAGCTATGACCTGTAAAAGAACAAAAAGACTGTAGTTGTGTGTACCTCTCTCGGGAAGACGTTGTTCTCGGTAAGTTTGTGTGTGTTACTGTTTTATTGTGTGTGTAGTTGTGTGTGTAGTTGTGTGTGTTTGTATGTGTTACTGTGTGTGTAGATGTGTTTGTTATTGTGTGTAGATGTGTGTTATTGTGTGTGTAGTTGTGTCATTATGTGTGTAGTTGTGTGTGTAGTTGTGTGTGTAGTTGTGTGTGTTTGTGTGTGTTATTGTGTGTGTAGTTGTGTGTGTTATTGTGTGTAGTTGTGCGTGTTTGTGTGTGTTATTGTGTGTAGTTGTGTGTTTTGTGTGTGTTATTGTGTGTGTAGTTGTGTGTTATTGTGTGTAGATGTGTGTTATTGTGTGTGTAGTTGTGTGTGTTATTGTGTGTGTAGTTGTGTGTGTTATTGTGTGTAGTTGTGTGTGTAGTTGTGTGTTATTGTGTGTGTTATTGTGTGTGTAGTTGTGTGTGTTGTGTGTGTAGTTGTGTGTTATTGTGTGTGTAGTTGTGTGTGTGTAGTTGTGTGTGTTTGTGTGTGTTTGTGTGTGTTATTGTGTGTAGTTGTGTGTGTTATTGTGTGTAGTTGTGTGTGTAGTTGTGTGTGTTGTTGTGTGTGTTGTTGTGTGTAGTTGTGTGTGTAGTTGTGTGTTATTGTGTGTGTAGTTGTGTGTGTAGTTGTGTGTGTTTGTGTGTGTTATTGTGTGTAGTTGTGTGTGTTATTGTGTGTAGTTGTGTGTGTAGTTGTGTGTGTTTGTGTGTGTTATTGTGTGTGTAGTTGTGTGTGTTATTGTGTGTAGTTGTGTGTGTTTGTGTGTTATTGTGTGTAGTTGTGTGTGTTGTTGTGTGTGTAGTTGTGTGTGTAGTTGTGTGTGTTTGTGTGTGTTGTTGTGTGTGTAGTTGTGTGTGTTTGTGTGTGTTATTGTGTGTAGTTGTGTGTGTAGTTGTGTGTGTTTGTGTGTGTTGTTGTGTGTGTAGTTGTGTGTGTTTGTGTGTGTTGTTGTGTGTGTAGTTGTGTGTGTAGTTGTGTGTGTCTGTGTGTAGTTGTGTGTGTCTGTGTGTAGTTGTGTGTGTAGTTTTGTGTGTAGTTGTGTGTGTAGTTGTGTGTGTAGTTGTGTGTGTTTGTGTGTGTTGTTGTGTGTGTCTGTGTGTGTAGTTGTGTGTGTAGTTGTGTGTGTAGTTGTGTGTGTTTGTGTGTGTAGTTGTGTGTGTTGTTGTGTGTGTAGTTGTGTGTGTCTGTGTGTGTAGTTGTGTGTGTAGTTGTGTGTGTAGTTGTGTGTGTAGTTGTGTGTGTTTGTGTGTGTTGTTGTGTGTGTTGTTGTGTGTGTAGTTGTGTACCTCTCTCAGGGAAGACGTTGTTCTTGGTCAGTTTGATGCTTTTGGGTCTCGGGTATTTGTCCATCGTGCCCGTGAGCAGGTTTCTGTAAAAAAGGTCAAACTTCTTCCTGCTGTCCCCGTTAATGGTCCCGCCCACAGTCCACACCACAGCGAACAGGAACAGGCCCTGCAGCAACAGGGTCATCTGCTGACTGGACATAGACTCCGAACCACCCTGCCCTGCTGCTGCTATCTCATCTACACACACAAACAAACACACACACACACAATCATCTGTCCCCTTTCAGTTGTGTATGTTTGTGCTCTGACCGTCCACTTCATTACAAACACCTGTTCCAACACAGGCTAGTTATAATGAACACTGACCAGCCACTTCATTAAGTCCATCTACTTTGTATCTACACTCATTGTCCACTGTATCAGCTCCACTGGCCATATAGTTTCGCTCTGTAGTTCTACAGTTACAGACTGTAGTCCATCTGTTTCTCTGATACTTTGTTAGCCCCCTTTTACCCTGTTCTTCAGTGGTCAGGACCCCCACAGGACCCTGACAGAGCAGGTACTATTTGGGTGGTGGGTCATTTTCAGCACTGCCGTGACACTGATGGTGGTGTGTTGTGTGGTGGTGTGTGTGTGTGGTGGTGGTGTGTTGTGTGGTGGTGGTGTGTTGTGCTGGTCTGAGTGTCTCAGACACAGCAGTGATTCTGGAGTTTTCACACACATCAGTGTCACTGCTAGGCTGAGAGTGGACCACCAAGTGGGGCTCTGTGGTCAGAAACTGATCATTGATGAATGACCAAAGGACCAAACTATGCATCAATAATTTAGCTACAGTTTCTAACTGTACACCAGCAATATGGAGCTACAATGAAGGGGTTTCTGATAAAGTGGACAGTCAGTTTACAGTCGTATGCAAAAGTTTGTGCACCCCTGGTCGGGTGAAAATAAGTGAACACATCTGCTACAGAGAACGCACTTCTGCACATTTGTTTATTTGTTAAATTTAACATACAGGGAAAAATAAAGCGTAAAATGTGGCCTGGGTAGGAGTTATGGCACATTTCATATTTACTAAACATTTTATATTTTATTATTATAATATATTAACCTCAGCAAATAAATAAAAATTGTGCACTAAAATTTATTTTATTTTAGTTTGTTCCCTTTAGAGGTGTCCAGGAGAAATCTGGAACCAGATTGTTCTTCAAACCTGCTCATAAGTTATCAAATACTTTATCCAAATATTTTTAAATACAAAATTCTTCTCACTTCTGTTTATTTACATCTATTCTAATGACAGATGGTGTATATTTATATTTATATATATTTATATATATGCCTATACATCTCGACACAAAAACCCAGTGTTTTTGTGTTTGTGTGTATACCCAGCAGGCAGGAGTACAGGCGCATGAGGCTGTAGGCTAGGTGGATGGGTGACGTCTGCACCAGGAAACGGCAGTTATGGGCAATGAAGTCCAAGCATGGCTGCACCAGCCAGTCAAACAGATCCACAATCTACAACATACGCACATGCACAGACACAAACCCACAAATAAAACACAGAAGCACCTGCACAGACGATCGAGGCCACCGCTGCTGACTCGTGCACTGACGTGTGGACAAACACAAAGCACTTTATACACGTAAATCACCAAATACAGCACAACACAATAAACTACACGTAACAATAAAACAAAAGCCTTCTTCTAAAACATACACACACACATCAGGCCTGGATGGGGGGTGTTCGATTGTATGTGCTCCTTACCAGTTCACGGTGCTCTGGAGCCAGACTCTCCGGGAGAGTGTCCATGTAGGAGTCTCTGAGGGGAGTCCAACCCAGCTGATGGGGCTCCATGTAGATCATACCACACCTACACACACACACACACACACACACACACACACACACACACACACACACAAAGAACGGTTTCTAAATGATCATTTTAATGCAACAGGGCTGGCAGTAATCAAGCCTGGCTGTGTCTAGTTTAATCATATGTTTTCACTGTATACTTTATTTAGTTCATATAAACACAATTTTAAAGAGATCTAAATATATATGAAAACAATCCAATACAGTAATACAGTTGATTATTCCATAACAAGATATTCAGGAAAAGAAAGCACAACGTACTCTAATGTTCAAATGCTTGACATCATTTTCCATGTTAACAATTTTTATTATTTTATATATAATAGTAACATAGAATGTGTATTTAAACATTACAAACCAATCACTAAAACCTACACGTTTTTATTCAATATTTCGGAAAAGAAACAGAGAATAAAATGACAAATAATACACTGTAATTAACTATTTATCTGCCTTTGTATTTTCTGAAATTTCATTCTTGATGTTCTACAGCAGTGGAACCCAGGCTGGTCCTCACGGCCCCCCAGAAGGTCCACATGTATCCTTCATCTTTATGTGTTGTGAGTTGGCTTGGAGCAAAAATGTGGACAGGGGTTGGGAACAACTGTTCTGGAGCTTTTTTCAGTCATTTTAGAATCATCTACAGCTCTGTTATCATTGTGGACACATCAAATATTTCATTTTTATTTACAGCTTCCTAGCGCCCTACTGATTATCTGAAACCTGTGAAGTTGAACAGGATGAGCAGATTAGAATAATTGCATACATTTATTTCAAACTAAATTGGTTTAATTGATAAAAACATTGATTTCAAACATTTAAACAGAAATGAATTTAAAATGTTGTTACTGTCAGAACAAAATCTCAATTTTTGTTTTTTTATTTTTGAAAAAACGGAGCGATAGAAATGTTCCAATATTACTTAGAAATAATATGGTTCTATTAACTTCTATTCCAAGTTAAAAAGTCTTTTTTTTCCTCCTGCAAAGTTACCTTTTTGGAGGTTTTGTTCAGGCAGTGACAATATGCACATTGTGCTAATATGACTGGAGGGTGTATATTTCTCTGCAGTGTGTGTTACCTGCTGACAGTAGCTGGTGAGGCCTGCTCCAGATCTGCTGGTTCAAAGATCAAACTCATCTTAGGACTCATCTGGATGATCTCACCGCTCATCAGACACAGCTACAACAGAAACAGATGACTGATTAAAAGCATCACTCACATAATATTCAGCTGCTGCTCAAATAACATAAAAAATCTGTTTATTCTTCATATTTATATATTTCCTTGCAACAACCAAATGTGCAGTTTTTGAATGACTGTTTCTGACTAACTGACACAACAGCAGCCTCAGTTTAGCCCTTTGTGCACTTGAGTCTCACCGAACTGAGGCTGTGTGTGTTAATTAGAGTTAAAACCAGCATAAAGATGAGAGCTGTAAGTAAAATCCGAGCATATAGCATGTAGTGTGGTCTTTTTATGCTTCCTATGTGGTTTCCATCGGTTTCCCCAACAAACTGCTGAGGGGGAGATGTGACTATTTAGTAGATACTAAGCTCAACGTTAAAACTAGTTTCTGTGGCGCAGCTTGGTTTGATTTAGTAACGTGTAAACCTAAACTTAGTAAGCACTTACATTATACTTACTAAATACGTAACTAACCTATGTCGGAACTTACGTACAGCGGGGGCAACCGGCCCCAGGAGCTGATTCTGATCAGTTATTCATATAGATCTGTATGATGTAGAGGAGCTGTCTGACACTGATCAATCTGAAATTAAGATCAATATGACATGCCTTCTTGTTATCATCCAGTACGGTGTTCATGTTCTCTATCCAGACTGCGTCAATGGGTCCGTCGAATATGATCCACTGGCGGTCCTCTGCTGTGGATTGGGCCTGCTCCCGGAACGATGTGGCCAGAACACCGTCCGTCCACTCATGACTGACCGGGTCAAAACAGCCGTAGAGCTGACCCATGGTGATCGCCTTTGGGTTAATGATCCGGAAATCTACTGCAAACTCCTCCATCATGCCTCCTACACACACACACACACACACACACACACACACACACACACACACACTCTCTATATGTTTTGTTGACAAGAAATCCACTGAAAAATTAATGAATAATGAGATGTAAGTCAGATATATGTGTTTATGGCACTTAGCTTAAATCAAAGCCTCTCCTGATCTTAAGTTTGTAAGTTTATTTTAAAATGCATTAGAACATTTTCTAATCATTTCAGACATTTATACTGTCTGATAGACTTATGTACTTAATATTTGTAATGTTCAATGTTCATGTTAATGTTTATATTTAGTGTTTAGTATTTATGTTCACTTAAAGGACCCATATGATGGAAAAATGAGGTTCTCTTGCTCTTGTGAAATAGAGGAGTTTAAAGTAAAATGTAAACATGATCAGTTTCCAAACGTACCATTCACTACCGGCACATACAGTAACTGTATAAATACTGTGGAAACTAAACTGCAAAAACAGCCTGTTTTCTATTCACTGTTTCTATGGTGTAGCGAGAACCAACTTATTATTTTTTAAATAATTCAAAATTCTCCCAAAAACAACAAATTCAATCTTGGTAAAACTTCAGACATCATGGTGCTTTAGAAGAATAGTCATATAATCAAATTGTTGTGATGTCACAGATTCACATCTGTTACAGTATTTTTAAGGTTATCCTGACAAAGCACATTCCTTTGCGAGACACTTCACTCTCAGCACTCTCAGACTGACTGGCAAACAAGCTGACTTACAGATTAACTGATTGGTTTGTGGATTTATTGGTTTTGTATGGCGGCCAAGAGGACCTAACAAACTGCAAATAAAAAAAACGAGACGCAAAACTCAGAAAGCACTTTCTTCAAAATGACACCGACGCTACATTTCATAAACGCACAGCAAGTACAGAAACACATTCAGCTTCAGAAACGCTGCAAAGCCAGTAACAACGCAACGGAACTGAGCCACAACACAATGGAAATGTCTCTGGAGGACTCAAAGGGCTCAAAGGGGATGAAATATCTATGACAGAAAATCAATGACAGACGTAGATGGTTAACCTGGCTGGCTAGTTTGCTGTCTGAGACGTCACAGCTGTACTGTGGTAGTTAATCTGGTATTACTAGTTAAACGTTTACAGTTACACTCTACAGGTGATTCCCATTACGATACAGTGATAGCAGTAATCTACTCAAATAAAAGTCAACTTTTACAGGTGAATTTTTGTGCTGCACAGAATTTAAAAGTCTGAATGGCTCTGTCGTCTCCGAGTGTCCTCCAGAAACACCTCCGCTGTGTTGTGACTGGATTATCAGAGTTTCTGAAGTTGTGTGTGTTTCTGTTTTTGAAACGCATTTATGAAATGTAGCGTCAGTGAAAACAATTTCATCAAAATGACGAAGGAGTTTGCAGAGAGTCTGTGAATTTGCAGTGTGTTTGTAAAATGCAGTGTCCATGTTGTCATTTTGATTAAAGTGCTTTCTGCATTTTGCAGCTCGTTTATTATCGTTTTATAGTTTGTTGGGTGTTTTTGGACATCGTTGTTTTGTTGTGATTTGTTGTCTCACCTTCATACAGGTCTTTGAGAGCTGCTGCTAGAACTTTATAGGCTGAAGTCTTCCCTCCCAGTGGGTCACCAACAATCATGAACCCATGCCTCACCAGCATCATCTCATACACCTACACACACACACACACAGACACACACACACACACACACACAGAAACACTGTTACAGGAAGATATGTGTGGATGAATGAACATGTGCATAAACGTGTGCACGGACAGATGTACAGATGAATGGAGTGGACCTGTATGATCTTGCTGATGAACCAGGGCACAGGCTGCAGTTTGAATTTAGTGATGTTTTCATTCAGAGCCTTTAACATTAACTCATAATCAGGCTTAGGCAGCACCACTCCAGGAAACAGATCTGAGATTATACCCTGTAACACAAACAGACAAAAATACATACAGTCTATAATTTGTAAACAGCAAATAATATATAATTATAGAACTAGCAATCAACAGCAATCACTGTATGTAATCACAAATTAATTTTACTATATCATACATTTTTTAATAATCGAAAACATCAGAACTATGGTAATTGTGTGCAGACCAAAAAAGTGTTGAATACCCCTAAATTTAAAATAAATTGAAATGTTATTTTAGATTATTTTAGAAATTAGCCCCTTATTGCCTTAATGTAGCTTTGCAAAGTTACTCCACCATCACAGTGTGAAGTCCCCTGACTCGCGACCTAGTCAAACTCCACTGTCCCCGACTCGTGGCCTAATCAAACTCCGCTGTCACTGTGTGAAGTCCCCAACTTGTAACCTAGTCAAACTTCACTGTCACTGTGTGAAGTCCCCAGCTCGTAACCTGGTCAAACTACAGTGTCACAGTGTGAAGTCCCCAACTCGCAACTTAGTCAAACTCCTCTGTCACAGTGTGAAGTCCCAGACTCGCAATCTAAGCAAACTCCATTGTCACACTGTCCCCAACTCGTAACCTAGTCAAACTCTACTGTTACAGGGTGAAGTCCCCAAAGTGTAACCTAGTCAAATTCCATTGTCAGAATGTGAAGTCCTCAACTCCCGGCTTAATCAGACTCCACTGTCACAGTGTGAAGTCCTCAACTCCCAGCTTAATCAGACTCCACTGTCACAGTGTGAAGTCCTCAACTCCCGGCTTAATCAGACTCCACTGTCACGGTGTGAAGTCCCCGACTCGATACTTAATCAAACTCCACTGTCACAGTGTGAAGTCCCCAACTTGTAACCTAGTCAAACTTCACTGTCACTGTGTGAAGTCCCCGACTCGCGGCCTAATCAAACTCCACCGTCACAGTGTAAAGTCCCCGACTCGATACTTAATCAAACTCCACTGTCACAGTGTGAAGTCCCCAACTTGTAACCTAGTCAAACTCCACTGTCACAGTGTGAAGCCCCCGACTCTCGGCCTAATCAAACTCCACCGTCACAGTGTGAAGTCCCCGACTTTTAGTCTACTCAAACTCCACCGTCACAGTGTGAAGTCCCCAACTTGTAACCTAGTCAAACTCCACTGTCACAGTGTGAAGTCCCTGACTCGCAACATAGTCAAAATCCTCTGTCACAGTGTAAAGTCCCCGACTCGCAATCTAAGCAAACTCCATTGTCACACTGTCCCCAACTCGTAACCTAGTCAAACTCCACTGTCACACTGTGAAGTCCCCAACTCGTAACCTAATCAAACTCCACTGTTACACTGTGAAGTCCCCAAAGTGTAACCTAGTCAAATTCCATTGTCAGAATGTGAAGTCCTCAACTCCCGGCTTAATCAGACTCCACTGTCACAGTGTGAAGTCCTCAACTCCCGGCTTAATCAGACTCCACTGTCACAGTGTGAAGTTCCCGACTCGTAACTGAATCAAACTCCACTGTCACAGTGTGAAGTCCCCAACTCGTAACCTAGTCAAGCTCCTCTGTCAAAGTGTGTAGTCCCCGACTCGTGGCCTAATCAAACTCCACTGTCACAGTGTGAAGTCCCCGACTCGTAACCTAGTCAAACTCCACCGTCACAGTGTGAAGTCCCTAACTCGTAAACTAGTCAACCTTCTTTGTCACAAGGCGAAGTCTCCAACTCGTAACCTAGTCAAATTCAACCGTTACAGTGTGAAGTCCCCGACTTGTAACCTAATCAAACTCCACTGTCACCGGGGGAAGTCACAGACTCGCAAATGGGTCAAACTCCTCTGTCACAGTATGAAGTGCCCGACTCGCAAACGGGTCAAACTCAATTGTCACACTGTGAAGTCCCCGACTCGTAACCTTGTCAAACTCCACTGTCACAGTGTGAAGTCCCCGACTCATAACCTAGTCAAACTCCACCATCACTGTGTGAAGTCCCCAGCTCACAGCCTAGTCACAAACTCCACTGTCACAATGTGAATAATGTAGAGGTTTTGAGTCAGTTTTTCTCATGGAGGATTAGTTTTTAAGAAGTATGACCAACTCTCTCACATGAACACACCTGGAAAAGAGGGACGTCCTGAGCGAGGAATTTGGCCATGTTGACGTCCATCAGTGCTCTGAGCAGCAGCACACTCTCGTCCTCCTCTGGGTACTTTAGTTTCAGGTTCCCCGCTGCAGTCAGGACAGATTTTACCGCACGCATGCCATAGTCGTAGTGATGCTGAGAGGACAGCTGCTCCGAACACAGGCGGTATGTCGCCACGATCTTCTGCGCCAGACTGCCATGACAACCACAATGACAGGTCAGAACTACAGACATACATACATCCTATGAAAGTCACAGTAAGGCACAAAGCTGGATGGTATGATTAAAAAAGCAGATCTTGATTTTTTCAGCCCTTCAGTGATAAACACGAATGAATATTCATCTAAATATTTATGCGTTCTCTCTGAAATGGCTTTAAGAGTTATCAGAAGAGCCATAATTTGGACATAACAGCCTTTATTAAGTGTAATATGATATACAAACTTTGAAGTAACCAAAGAAAGTTCAAAAAAAGTAACATACACTAAAGTACAGCAAAATTTATTTAGAAGTAATCAAAGTCTGTTATTCAGTAAATTAACACAAGAAACAGTGGATTAGCATCATTTGTTATTTGTATTCATTTTCCACTGCATTCCCGGTGCTGCAAGGGATGCTGTTTTAAGAGCTAAAATTAAAAAAAAATTAAAAACTCCTTTTCCAGGTCATTTGAAATGTAAACAAATGCAACATTATCAGTCTTTCATTTCCTATCTTGCTTGATTTTACTGCTATATGTTTATTATAATTTGTATATGTAGTTCTGTTAATTTTAACCTGATTAAGTTGTAATTTCATTGTAATCCCTTTAAGATGTAAATGCCCTGCTACATTGAAAATGAGGGTGTTACAACTCTTAGGACGTATATACATGTTTTTTTTTTCTGCCTTGCCCTCTTGTCTTTCTCTTTATCTTGTTCCTCTTATCAATTTTCTAGGTCCATAGCTTGGAGACTTCTTATTGGCTGCAGCAGGGGGCGTTCCAGCTATAAAAGGGCCTGGGAAAGCAAAATGGTGGTTGGCTGCTTCTGTTGTTGTGTCTGTGCTATCTGCTCTCCCACTGACCAGATCAAACCAGCAACTTGGTTCAGCTTGTTCTATTCAGCTTTGATGTTTCTTGTAATGAATCGTGTAACTCTTGTTCTCCTAAGTCGGGGGTGAGTGCTCTGTTTTGTTTTCTACCGTTTTCTCCTGGTTTGGTTCAGGGACACAGGGAAGCCGTTTGTATCTTTCTTTTCATCCTAGGTAAGTTAGTTTGGTTTTACTTCTAGCTCGTTTTGGGCTCTCCCCTGAAGTTATTTATCTCCTGTTATTATATCTTACTATATTGCATGTAGCATATGGCTAACGTAAACAACTTTATCTCTTTTCTGCTATATTACTATGCTGCTTATGAATGGCAATTAAGGTCTGATTGAAGAAAGAGATAAATGTTCATATTTTGCTGTCTTATCAGGATTCATGGTGTTTTGGTCCGGCGGTTGGGTTGGCGTTTGGTCTTTTTATTTATGTACAACCTCTTTTAAAATCCCCTAGACCTGTGAGATCGTAACAGAGGGTCACCCTCAATGTATTCCTGAGTGACAGTAAATGTTGTCTGATTATTTGATTGAATCCTAATTGAATCTCACGTGTGCACAGCAGTGTTGTCCACAACACTATTCGGCTGTTTTACACATCAGCATAAAATGAGCATTAATTTACCACAATGTTCACAATATTGCCTCATTTTTTTCTGTATTTTAAAAAAATGCATATTTAATACACCCAGCCCTAGCAGGGCATTTCAGAAGGACCAAGCTGCAGCACTTTAAAGGCACATCTGCCTCATATCACCTGATGATATCTACAGTGGGGTCCAAAATAGAGACCACTTGTAAAATTGTGAAAATGCTTGTATTTTGCCTTCTAATTTAATAGATTGTTGTCATTACACTTCAAATTATCAGCAAACAATTTGAGTGAGGAGTAGAATCTTTGAAATATTCTGATGAATTTCATAATTTTGTATTTAGCTGTAAAGACATTGTGCACTTAAGCTCCACAAGTTTGACTAAAAGCCTCTGATGAGTAGATCAAATCCACCTGGGAGAAACACAACCTTCAATGGAAGAGATAAGACTAACAAAAAATCTTGTACAAAGGCCTTAATGTGCTAGAAATAGAGCCGAATCTTGAATATTTCTGCTTCGATTTACATCTCATAACATTTCTTTAATTTTTTTTCAGAGTTCAAAACTTTCTGTTGTTTATTTCCAGGTTTAAATGAAAAAATCTCAGATTTTCAATGTGATCTCAAACTTTTGGACTGTACCTGGTGAGTTAAATCAGATGGGACTAGAACAGAGAACAAATAATGCCTGTATGGGGTGGGGTCAGGGGGGATATTTCACAAAGTAGGATTTCTAGTTTCATAAGGATTCACCGAAGTTAGGTCTGTACAATACGAGAAGGGCTGAGGGAAAATTCTATTGGACAGTCATCCACTCTGAGTTTAAGTTAACTGGCTAGCTGAGAAATCCTGGTTTCTCATAGACCTTCAGGGGTTGGTACTTCCTGTGGAGCATACAGCTGAAAAAAGGTTTGTTTTCTGGAAAATGTCAACTATTACGGCTCAAAACAGGAGCTATGAGAAGATAACGTAAATGTATCTTGCAAGTCGGACTATAACAAGCATTTGACGTAGAACTGTTGTTATTTGTTTATTTGTGGCTTTACATCCATCTCCTTCAAAAACCTGCTTGTCATTCAATCATGTCAGAGAGTGCCGTTATGAATAATATAGATTCTACATCAGGCTGCTAATAAATTTAACTAGGAAATGACCCTTTGCTGAGGTTGTTTAAGAATCCTTGAATTGTTAGAATGAGAACCTGAAAATCACACTGTACACCAAAAAATGAACCACAGCAGATTCATAATCATAAGCTGAACACATTTGTCTAGACTTATAAACCACTTAATAATATTTACAGAGACTCAAACTCTAAATACAGAGCCAAAACATCCCCTAATGATAAGACATCAACTAACATGTTATGCATGGATGAAAGAACAAATTCATAAATTCAGTTTACCTCCGAGACTGAATGAAGCCCATTGAGTAGAGTGATATCTCTCCAATCAGCCCATAATCTGGCACCATCATGGCTACAGTGCGAAAAAGAGCCTGCACACACACAAAGACACATGCATATACATATGTGCTCATTTCATAACATGGAGGGTGAAATTTAACAATGTTTATCAGAAAGTATCAGCATACAAGAGGCAGACAAAATAACAGAAACACCACATGAAATTCTCATTCGTACTGGCCATTTTATCAGAAACACCCACCATCTAAGTGGACTTTGTAGGTTTACAGCTACAGACAGCTACAGACTGGACTACAGCCAGTAACTGTAAACCTACAAAGTGCATGTGTAACGTGTTTCTGATAAAATGGACAATGGATATGTTGTGGTGTCTGCATTACTTTGTTCAACCACTGTGGATTATGTAGCGCAGATGTGTGTGTGTGTGTGTGTGTGTGTGTGTGTGTGTGTGTGTTTACTTTAAGGTTATCAGGCAGCTCAGCGCGGCCGGCGTATCCTGGGTTCATGGTGATGAAGACGCTGCAGGTGGGGTTCAGTGAGAGCTCCGTCCCCTCAAACAGAAAACGCTTCAGGTTCCGCGCAATCGCCTGCTGGATACTCAACACCTGCTGAGCCACCACTGACAACACCTCCACCTGAGAGAGAGAGAGAGAGAGAGAGAGAGAGAGAGAGAGAGAGAGAGAGAGAGAAATTCACTTCCCATGAAAAGTACTGAGACACTTTGCCTTCTTTTGAAATTTCTTTTACTTTGCTGCTACTTTGGTTAAGGTAAGGTTACGGTGAGTTTGGACTGGGATTAGTTTGCGTGGGACTGGATGTGGTTTTGATGAAACTGTGGTGGAATTTTCATGTGGTTTGGGTGGGGTTGGCGTGTAGCTCGTGTGGGATTGGGGTGTGGTTTAGGTGGGGTTAGGATGTTGTTTGGGTAGGGTTTGGGTGTAGCTTGGGTCTGATTGGGGTGTTGTTTCGGTGGGATTGAGGTGTTGTTTGGGTGGGACTGGGGTGTGGTTTAGGTGGGCTTGGGGTGTGGTTTGAATGTTGGTTAGGTGGGATTTGGATGTGGTTTGGGTGGGGTTAGGGTGTTGTTTGGCTAGGGGTATGATCTATGTGGGTTGGGGTGTTGAGTGGGCTTGGGTGATGGTTTGGGTGGGGTTGGGGTGTGGTTTAGGGTGTTGTTTGGGAGGTACTGGGGTGTGGTTACCCTGCAGTACGAACCTGGGTGGGGTCAGGGTGTGGTTTAGGGCATTGTTTGGGTGGGACTGGGGTGCGGTTACACTGCAGTACTAACCTCAATCCGGTTGAACTCGTCGAAGCAGGCCCACGCTCCAGACTGAGCCAAACCCTTAAAGAATTTACTCATGGCTTTATAATCCAGTCCATCTGAACAGTTGAACACCACACACTACAGACACAGAACAGAGACAGAGAGAGGAAGACTGAAGTTCTTTCACAATGTTTTTCATATTGGCAGATGCAGAAACTTCACTGAAATATAGTCTGAGAGTTTGTGGCTGCTTAGTTTAGCCTGATACCTTCTTCTCTCAAGCTATTTCACCTGAGGCCATTTAAAACAACCTGTTTCACCTGAGTGTACAAGAACTGAAACACGTTTTTCACGTATATTCCCCAGACAGAAGTCATTTTTTATGTTTAACCAGAACAGCCACGTTTCTAGAATAATCGGATCCATGTAGCCACCCAGCATGTTTAAAGGTTATGTTCATGTGTGGGAATACTAGAGTTTTGCTTTGGTTTCCATGAAGTAAATCAAAAAATGAACAAGGTCTTTTTTTAAACCGTTGGTAAATGAGTTTTTAACATCAGTGGGAGAGTTTGGAGCTGCAAATCAGTTCACTGCCACCGGGGACAGGCCGACGATTTACTGACATCTAATAAACTTAAAAAAACTACTTAAAGCTGACATAAATTATATTTTAGTTGCGAACTGTATGACAAAGAAGGAACACTGTATGATTTATTAGCTTTGAAAATCTTTTAAATTCTGATTTTTATAATAATAATAATGATACTTATTTGTTTTTAATCTATCATTATGGCTGGGATATACTGATTGATTGATTGACATATCATGATACAAATCTGAGTTCATCTCACATGCACGTGTGTATATACCTGTTTAGCCAGAGCCTTGGCCAGGTCTTTGGTTGTTTCTGTCTTGCCTGTTCCTGCTGGTCCCTCTGGAGCTCCACCCAGATTCAGCTTTAGAGCTCCCATTAGAGTCCTGCAGCATTTAGCATCACAAACACAATCCATCACTTCCAGAGAACCCACAGCATCCACAGGGGAGAAGAGAAAGGCAGGCTGGGTGAGACGCTGCAGAAGTGAGGACTACAGACTGTGTGTGTGAGAAAGCTGTTCTTACATAGAGAGAACCTTTCAGGACAAACGGACCAACAAAAACATAAAAGTAGCAAAAACATCTCAGAACAATAACAGAACATTAACAGATCTTCAGAGTGATTTTACGTCTTCTAAATAGTTAGTTTGAGGAAAATAAGTGTACAACAGTGAGAGAGTTATGTACATTTCCATGTGGGATTTACCAATCAATTTTTTTTGTGGCCAGTTCTGATTGATCTGATTCTCAATGGACGTTAAATACTGTCAAATGCAAAAATTTGGGCAGAGTGTAACACTACTGTACATTTCAATACACAATTACTGTGTATTTGCTAAATTTAATATATTGGTAAATAATAAAACATAAAATGTAGCTTGTGCAAATTTTATGTTTTATGTGTTGGCACAAGAATGCCATATTTAAGTGTGTGGAGTGTGTTTGTGTATTTTTTAGCATATTGCTGCTGTCAGAACAAAACCTCATATCTCCATTTGAAAGTACCTGTGGTCCTTTACATTGTGTGTGAATTTCATGATGAATGGACCAAAAGAAACGGCCCAAAACTACTTGGGAAAAAAGTCTGGCTCCATTGACTTACATTAAAAGTAAAGTATGTTTTTTCCTACTTAAGTTCTTATTTTGTAGATATGAGGTTTTGGATCTGACAACAATGATATACAGTTTAGTATATTTAGTATTTAGGTAGTGTATATATATACTAGTATTTATAGTATATTTAGCATGTACATGTGTGTGTCTGTGTGTGTGTGCTGTAACCTGTAGCAGCGGTCAGTCAGAGGAGTGATGACCAGTCTGGGGGAGTTGCCCAGGTACTCGTATCCGTACTTCAGCTCAGTTGTGATCATTCTCAGCATGACGTCCCCATCCTCCCAGTAATAGCGCAGCTGTGAGATCCACTGGAAATCATTCAGGGACGACACACCGTCCTGAGCCAACTTCACCACCACATCACGCGCTGACCAGAACAAGGAGCAAAGGTCATGACTTCTCCAAACTCAGGGCCTAATACAATCAATAATATACAGCTGCAGATGCCACTTTCAGGACCCACCGGCACCACTCTCACAGCCTTTCTCAAGGGCTCTAATGTAGGGAACAGTGATTAGGGCACTATTTCTGTTCTCTATAATCGATTCTATAATGCTCTAAAGTAGGGAATAATGATTAGGGCACTATTTCCGTTCCCTTTAATAGATTCTATAGTGTTCCATTGTAGGGAACAGTGATTAGGGCACTATTTCTGTTCTCTATAATCGATTCTATAATGCTCTAAAGTAGGGAATAATGATTAGGGCACTATTTCCGTTCCCTTTAATAGATTCTATAGTGTTCCATTGTAGGGAACAGTGATTAGGGCACTATTTCCGTTCCCTTTAATAGATTCTATAGTGCTCCACTGTAGGGCACAGTGATTAGGGCACTAATTCAAACACATTCACTGAAGTGCCACTTCATCTCAATATCATAGATGTAAATGTTCTTGAGAACAAGAAGAACATAAATTCCAAAATATTTCATAATGCATAGTCAATGGTAAAGCTCATATTTACCATGGACATCAATGACTGTCAGCGCTCCGAGAGTCATCCTCGCCCCTCCAGACAGTTTACCCCTAACCAGCTCAACAATGTCTGCAATCTGAGCGTTAGACTGCTCCATGTACGCCTATAACACACACACACACACACACACACACAGACACACACACACACACACACACACACATAGTGTATCATGATTGATCTGCTGACAAACAGACAACATTCTTATTTTCTTATCTATGAAAAAGTTGTATATTCTTTTTTTATAGAGATCTGGTACTGCTAATTTTAAAAGCCCAAACCCTCGACTTTAAGACCTGACCTGTCCAGACCCGATTGATGCTACTAAATTTCAAGCCCGAACCCCTGAATTTCAGAACTTGAAGCCTGAACCCTCTACTTTGAGAACTGACCTGACCAGTCCTGACTGATAATGCTAAGCTTGAATTCAAAACCTTACAGCTGATCTGATCACATCTGATCTAGTACTGCTATTTTAAAAGCCTGATCCCTCGACGTTGAGACCCGCTGGCTCAAGTTTCTTTTTATTCTGTCTCGGGTGAACCACTGGTAAGATCAGCTTTGTTGTGCACATACAAGACAATACTAGAGATAATTATGTAGGAATATTCTTTCAGATAAGATCTAATCTACTACCAAAAACGTCATTCACTAGAAGACAAACACAAGCCCAGCTGAGCTTAATGGTGTATGTGTAAAACTGGCCCAGACTTCATCTAAAAACATTTGATTTTGAGTCAGACAGGAGACCTCTAGCATGTGTGTGTGTACTCACAGGTAGAGTGTTGTTCTGTATAGCGTGAGACACTTCACTGGTCCAGAAAATGGAGGATGCACAAATAACAACCTGACCCGGCCACTGCAACACCCACTTCTTTCTGGGGACCTGAAAGACACAGAGTTGAGGAAATAGTGAGTTTAGAGTCGAGATCCAACAGCAGCAGAGCTTTCAGTCAGGTTTAGTCACATACTCAGACAGAAATCTGCACCTCTTTGCAGCTGTGAAAATTCCCTCTGAACCTTCTGATGCAATTTCTTATTCTCACAAAAGCTCTCTACAGCACAAGAGTGTATGTGGAAGGGTTACTTAGTGGATAAAAGCACTGTATGAACTAACAGCTCTGCTGAGTGCAGCTCTCACCTCAGTGTCACTGTTAACTACCACCAGTGTTTCACAATATGCAATATTAATTGTGAAATCAACTATTCATTGAATGAGAGGTTGTATAAAGGAATTATGACTGCCTTTGGTTCATTAACCCCTTTTTACAACCCCGTTTCCAAAAAAGTTGGGATGCTGTGCAAAATATGAATAAAAACAATTTAAAATGGACTGAGGCGAAGTGGAAAAGTGTCCTGTGGTCCGACAAATCAACATTTAAAATTCTTGTTGGAAATCATGGACGAACTCAGCTTGTTATCAGTGCTCAGTTCAAAGCCAGTATTCATGATGGTATAGGGGGCATTAGTGCACGTGGCATGGGTGACGTGCTCATCTGTGAAGGCACCATTAATGCTGAACGATATATACATGTTTTGGCAACATATGCTGCCATCCAGACCACGTCTTTTTCAGGGAAGGCCGTGATTATTCCAGCAAGACAATGTCAAACCACATTCTGCATATATTACAACAGCATTGCTCCGTATTAAAAGAGTCCGGGTGCTAAACTGACCTGCCTGCAGTCCAGACCTGTCACCACTGAAAACATTTGGCGCATTATGAAATGAAAAATACGACAAAGGAGACCCTGAACTGTCTGAGCAGCTGAAATCCTGTATCAAACAAGAACAGGAAAACATTCACTTTCTAAACTACAGCAGTGTCTCCTCAGTTCCCAAATGCTTACAGAGTGTTGTTAAAAGAAGAGGTGATGAAACTCAGTGGTAAACAGGCCCCCGTCCCAACTTTTTTGGAATGCATTGCTGGCATCAAATTCAAAATGGGCAAATATTTAAAAAAAAGAAACAATAAAATTTTTCAGTTTCAACATTTGATTTGTTGTCTTTGTACTATTTTCGATGAAATATAGGGTTTAAATGATTCGCACATCATCGAATTTGTTTTTATTTACATTTTACCTGGCGTCCCAACTTCTTTGGAAATGGGGTTGTAATATCAAAAGTAAAATATCATATCAAAGGAAAAACTAAAATACAGGTAAAATGTAGGATATGAGACCTTTAATGATGACAAAAGTGAACACTACGCATACAACAATAGCAATGTTGTGAGGATCTCTAGCGAAATTATTATGAAAGTGTTGAAATTTGATAATCCACAGCTTCATTTTCAGTTTATTAAATTAGTGAAAGTAGTGAAGCCCTAATTTAGGGCAGTACGTTTGGGTTGATGTTTCTAACCATTTTCTAATGTGTTTGTGACGCATTACAGGGTTCAGTCATATTTAGGCTGATGTTTGTGGATATTTGATGAAATCTCTTTGTCTTTTATTCTAGTTTTTATTTCTCTCAGACTGTTTAGTTTTCTCTCCAGAATGAACTGTGATGTGTGTGAAGTGGGGGATGTGTGTACCTGAGGGTACTGCTCTACTCCCTGCCGGATCACATCCCTCACACTGCTTAGCATCATGTTCTCCACCTGCAGAAGCCATTTCTCCACCATGCCCTGAACAACACACACACACACACACACACACACACACACAATATATAGCAGCATATAATGTATTCTACATTATATTAGCTGGATAAATGATGTCTGTAAGTGATATATACATTATATCAACAAAAGTACTGGGACACCTACACATCACACCTACAGGAGCTTTAATGACGTCCCATTCTAAACCCATAGGCATTGATATGGAGTTGGTCCCCCTTTGCAGCTCTAACAGCTTCCACTCTTCTGGGAAGCTTCTACAAGATTTTGGAGAGTGTTTGTGGGAACTGCTGCTCAGAAGAGCATCTGTGAGGTCAAACCCTGATGTTGGGCGAGAGGGTCTGGCTCACAATCTCTGTTCTAGTTCATCACAAAGGTGTGTGATGGGGTTGAGGTCAGGGCTCTGTGAGGGTCAGTCAAGTTCTTCCACACCAAACTCACCCAGCCAGGCCTTTATGGAGCTGCTTTGGTCACTGGGGCTCAGTCATGCTGGAACAGGAAAGGTTCTTCCCCAATCTGTTCCCACAAAGTTGGAAGTGTATAATTGTCCAGAATGTCTTGGTGCTGAAGCATTAAGATTCCCCTTCACTGGAACTAAGGGTTCTAGACCAACCCCTGAAAAACAGCCCCATATCATCATCCCTCCTCCACCAAACTCTACAGCTGGCACAGTGCAGTCAGGCAGGTAACGTTCTCCTGGCATTCGCCAAACCCAGACTCGTCCATCAGACTGACAGACAGAGAAGTGTGAATCGTCACTCCACAGAATGCATTTCCACTGTTCCAGAGTCCAGTGGCGGCATGCTTTACAACAACCCCCCCCTCCCCAGCGTTTGGCATTGTGCAGTCTGATCTTAAACTTGTATGCAGCTGCTCAGCCATGGAAACCCATTTTGTGAAGCTCCTGACATGCAGTACTTGTGCTGATGTTGCTTCCAGAGGCAGTTTGGAACTCTTTAGTAATTCAACTGAGGACAGACACTGTGCGCTTCAGCACTTGGCAGCTCCACTCTGTGAGTTGCGTGGTCTACCACTTCATGGCTGAGCTGCTGTTGCTCCTAGATGCTTCCATTTCACAATAATAGCACTTACAGTTGTCAGGGGCAGATCTAGCAGGGCAGAAATTTCACAGACTGACTTGTGGCAGAGGCGGCATCCTATGACAGTGCCATGTTTAAGGTCACTGAGCTCTTCAGTACAACCCTCTACTGCCAGTGTTTGTCAACTGAGAATACAAGACCATGTATTTACTTTTATCCTCCTGTTAGCAATGAGTGTGGTTGAAACACCTGAACTCAGTAATTAGGAGGGGTGTCCCAATACTTTTGTCTATATAGTGTATTATACATTGTATACTCTATTATATCTGTAGTGGTCAGTGTGCTGTGTGCCTTGGCCTTAGCTGGGTAGATGATGTCTGTAAGTACTATATTATATATCATATATTATGATATATTACAGTGGCGCAGTGGGTAGCGCTGTCGCCTCACAGCAAGAATGGCCTGGGTTTGATTCCCGGCCGGGTGACCAGGGTCATTTCTGTGTGGAGTTTGCCTGTTCTCCCCGTGTCTGCGTGGGTTTCCTCCGGGTACTCCGGTTTCCTCCCACAGTCCAAAAACATGCAGTCAGGCTGACTGGACATGCTGAATTGCCCCTAGGTGTGAGTGTGTGAATGTATGTGTATGTCTGTCTGCCCTGCGATGGACTGGCGACCTGTCCAGGGTGTATCCTGACTTCTGCCCAATGACAGCTGGGATAGGCTCCAGCACCCCACCGCGACCCAGAAGGATAAGCGGTTTAGATGATGTATGTATGTATGTATATTATATATTATATCTGTAGTGGTCAGTGTGCTGTGTGCCTTGGCCTTAGCTGGGTAGATGATGTCTGTAAGTACTATATTATATATTATATATTATATATTATATCTGTAGTGGTCAGTGTGCTGCGTGCCTTGGCCTTAGCTGGGTAGATGATGTCAGTGAATGGTACGTTCTCTTTCTCTGAGCTGATCATGCCCGTAATCTCCAGCTCTGGGGTGAACTCTAGCTTAGCGATGCCCTCAAAGCACTTCTTTAGATGGGGCTGCACACGCAGGGGGTCCTTTGTCTCTGACAGGATCTCCAGGAGCTCATCATTAGACAGGAAGAAAAACCTACACACAGACAGACAGAGAGACAGTTAACAGAGGCTTATCACAGCAATTAAACAAGCTTTTAATGTTAACTGCTCAAATGGTAGCATGTACCAAGAAATATCTAGATCTTAGGTTTCACTTTGTGTCTACACCACTGATTTACAGACACATGCTTGTCTGCAGAATCTGCTCAAACATTTATTTATTCATTTTATTTGATTTAACTCACAAAAATGAACAACTATCCAGTTAAAATGTTAGTCCAGTTAGTGCATTTAGTTACAGACTTAACCCACAGCTGATAGTGCTAAACAGTGAACTAAAGGAGGTCTCATTTTGCATTATAACTGTTTTTCCTCAGTATATAAACATCAGCAATGTAGGCTCATAAAGCTGCAATGCTCAGTGGAAATAATCATAGGAGAAACATTTAAAATGCAGCATTAAAACACAGTGTAGGATGTTAAAGATGAAATCAGTTGACGATTAAAAGCTTTTTGCCCACCAGATCAGGACGAGGCTACAATGTTCTAATCAAATATAATGTGTTATATAATGTGTATGTCTCCTGTGGAAGCTCACGGGTCAGTCTAATCGTGTTACCTGGGGAAGTAGAGTCTCTTTTTCTCCAGGTAGGTGTTGAGTCCACGCTGAATGTCCTCCAGGTAGATGTTTGACTCCTGCAGGCGGGACAGCATGTTGGGCTGCCCGGTGGCCACCAGCACACGTGTGTCCTTCAACTAACATAAACACACATATAGAAATATCAGACACATATCGCTGCTGTCAGACCAAACCTTGTATCTCCATTTTAGTCATTTTTAAAAGGAAAAGGTTCTTATTAAAGATGTAAAAGGTTCTTATTAAAGATGGTTCTCCAAGGGGTCTTTAGTAAAGACAATGAACCATGAACACTCAAAGATGCATTTGGATGCATTCTTGAGATTGATGGAGAATGTGTTGTACATGGTTCTATATAGAACCTTTTTGAAAATGGTACTATATAAACTAAAAAGGGTTCTGTTGTTGTTTCAAGCTACATTGTAACTATAGGAGAGCCATTTTTGGTACTATATAGAACCATATACAACTCATTTGCCACCAATCTGAAGAACCATTTCGCCGTGCAAAGAACCATTAAAGCGTTGGCTGGATATTTTTGGTTGGTGGACTATTCTCAGTCCAGCAGTGACAGTGAGGTGTTTAAAAGCTCCAGCAGCACTGCTGTGTCTGATCCACTCAGACCAGCGCAACACACACTAACAAAGTATCAGAGAAACAGATGGACTACAGTCTGTAACTGTAGAACTACAAAGTGCACCTATATAGTAAGTGGAGCTGATAAAATGGACAATGAGCGTAGAAACAAGGAGGCGGTCATAATGTTATGCCTGATCGGTGTGTATTGTGGAAAGACGAGTCTGCAGACAGATGTGATGAACGGGTTGAACTAAAGCTGCATCAGCGTTTAAAACTGAACATTCACAGTGTGACAGGATTCAGACATTCACAGCCGCACTGAATAACAAAACGATGCAGCCTTTGACCGCATCTCAGTGATACTGATAATGATGATGATTGACATTTTGGACATTTGGACATTAACTGTACACTAAAACACACACACACACACACACACACACACACACACACACACACACCGCTTCAGCGATGATGTCCTTCCAGTAGCTGTCCACGATGCCAAACTTGCGACCCTCCTCAGGCATCTGGGCAATGATGTCATCAGAGCTGAAGATGGGCTCCAGGTAGAGCCAGGTGGACTGACACTTCAGCATCGCGTCCAGGATGTCCTGCATCAGCAACAACTTCTCCTCCCATAGCTGCAGAGAGAGAGAGAGAGAGAGAGAGAGAGAGAGAGAGAGAGAGAGAGAGCTAATATTTGTCATGGTTCTATGTATCACCAGAAGGGTTCTTCTACTGTTACAAAGTCAGTCTTGCGACAATAAAAAAACCCTTTCAAAAGGTTCTATATAGAACCATCTACAGCACATTCTCCATCAATCTGAAGAAGAACTATTTAATACTGCAAAGAACCCTTTAATCATGCAAACAGTTCATGGTTCCATATAGAACCTTTTTTTTTTTACTAAAGTACCCATGAAGACCCACCATTTAAGTGTGGACTGTAGATATTGTACCACATACTTACCCAGTTAATATCTAGAACCTGTTGGGAGTTTCAGTGCAATTGAGCTAGACTGTTGGAACTAGTTGGACCCACCATGTTACCCAAAATAATGATCTGGTTCCGGGTTTGTACCCCACACTAGCATGGTTAATACGTGAAGTTGATGCCACAGGCATGAGGTAAGCCAGTCTCCTTTAGTGGGTTTGTTTACAGTGTGAGTGTGTTACCTTGCATTCTGTCTCGATGGGCTTTATGAACGGAGATCCCCTCATCGTCTGGGTCTTAATGACGTGATCGTCCAACAACACCTGGATATCGTCCACTGCCGAGACAACGCTGGTCCCCTGTACACACAAACACGCAAACCCAGAATGACTCAGAAAAATGACTCAGACTAAATGAGGAAATGACCCACACTGTAAAATCTCATATCACCACTGTGATTTCAATCATTTTCACATCATTGCACAACTATTAGCATATCGTTTAGAGCGTTTAGTCACTCGGTTCATTCACTGGAGGGGACATGCACCACTGCATTGTGATTAATGTGATTGTACTTATATTTTATGGCTGTTTTAGTATATTTTATTATATATCTTTACTCCTTCTATTTATGCATCTCTGTAATAGTGCTTGGTAATACTTTTGCTCTTGTTGTGCTCTTTACTGAACTTCATGCTGCTGTAATGGATGACAGGGATTAATCCCTCTGGGATTAATAAGGTGATCCACCCATCCATCCATCCATCCATCCATCTATCTATTACACAAAATCTCACCATGCCAGATTTACAGTCCCATAATATACTACAAAGGGTGAGGGAGAAGTCAGGTACGTGTTACCACAGCTCTGTGTGTTCTACAATTGTTCTGTATTGTGTGTGATTCTGTATCCTACGCTACATGTCTAAAAGTATCCAGACACCCCTACAGTTAAATAATTAAGTCCATTAGAGAAAACAGTCCAAACATTATGGGAAACAAGTGGGTCACGATGGATGTGCATTATTCTTTGTTCTTCAACAAAATCAGAGCTAATGGAACCGTCCTGCATGGCAAGCACAGCCGTGCACGCACTAAATTCACTGATCAAGTTTTAGGTGAACAACAGTGGACGTGACCGCTGTACAAACTACTCAAGTTTGTCACGTATTGTTTCCGGCAAAGCACCAATGATCATCACGTCCAACTGAATGTGGGTAAGACCTGATGGATTACATCCAGACACAGAACAAATACTTGCTTCCAATGGAACAATGGAAGCCTACAGATGTTGAATACCATTTGGGATGAGTCGGAGTGATGGAGCTCCACTGAACACATCTGGGATTAACTGAATGAATGACGCTCTACTGAACACCTTTAGAATTAGTTTGAGTGATTAAGCTGTATTTAACACTGTTGGGATGGGCTGGAGTGATGGAGCTCCACTGAACACTTTCAGGATGAATTGGAGTAATGAAATCTCTGAGATGTGTTGGATCGTCAGAGCTCCACTGAACACCTCTGGGATGAGTTAGACTGATGGAGCTCCACTGAACACCTTCGGGATGAGTTTGACTGATGTAGCTCCACTGAACACCTTTGGAGTGTGTTTGATTGTTGGAGCTCCACTGAACACCTTTTGGATGGATTTGATTGATGGAGCGCCACTGAACACTTTTGGGATGAGTTTGATTGATGGACCTCCTTTGAACACCCTCAGGATGAGCTGGAGCAAAAGAGCTCCACTGAACACCTTTGGAGTGTGTTTGATTGATAGAGCTTCATTGAACACCTTTGGGACCAGTTTAATTATCGGAGCTCCACTGAACATCTTTGGAGTGTGTTTGATTGATGGAGCTTCATTGAGCATCTTTGGAGTGTGTTTGATTGATGGAGCTCCACTGAACACCTTTGGGACCAGTTTAATTATCGGAGCTCCACTGAACACCTTTGGGATGGATCTGACTGATGGAGCTCCGTAAGCAGACATTTTTGGGATGTGCTGAAGTGATGAAGGCCCACTGAACACCTATGGAATGAGCTGGAGTGGAATTCCACTGAACACTTAAACTCAGCAATTATTCCCCTGATTTTGGAAGAAATCTCTGGGTATATAAGTATATTTGTGTATATGTGTGTTACCGTGTCTCTGTACTGTGCGAACACAAAGCGAAGGTCGGCCCATTCATTCTTCATCTTCTCCAGTGCTTTCTCCAGTGAATATTCCTTACTGGCAGATGCTCCAATCTCCTCCAACCTGCAGACAGAGAGAGAGAGAGAGAGAGAGAGATAGAGATGGTCAGAGATTCAGTTGTAAATCTAAACCCGTACACCAACCAAATACAATATCTTTCATCATTCTGTAACTCTTCTTACTTGTCTGTGAATTTGGACAGTCCGAGCTCCACCATGTTGAGGAGCGAAGTGTCTGCGTCTGGCTTCACATCAAATCCCACGATGGCGCTGATCTAAAAACAACCATCAATAATTCAACACACACCGTCCTATTTCACTACACTCCACTACATACTACATTTCAGTCCAACACGGCTGCCATCCAGCAAACTGAGCCAAAGCGGCTGTGATCCATCCAATTAGCACTGCGTTCAGAGCCAGCATGGCCATCAACAGTCCACACCGCCATGAAGTTAACACTACAAATATTATTAAGTATCGCACTTCACAGCTCTGCGAGAGATTTACTGCAATAAACACTGCCATTTTTGGTCAACTGTTCTTTTATTGATCACTTTAACGTGTGAGGTTCTAACGCTGGCTTTACACGATGAAACTTTCATGCAACTTCAGCTGCTTGAAACCTACATGAAATTAAACGGCACTTGAGTTGCTTAATGTAAAGCATCCTGCAGCTGCAACAGTTGCAACTGCCTTAATTCTGTGAATTCTGTGAAAAATGGCAATGGCGCATCACAAGATCATGTCAAACGAATTTCAAAGCATTGATTTCACCAGATCTATGCAGAAGAAAATGAAACAGAAGATGGTTCACTGGGCGACTGAAAAGGACTCACTCAAGGTTTCCCAAACCAGAACAACGGACATGATTTTCATGTACGTTTCTGAAACCAGCTGCTTTAACTAGCCAGCTAACTCTAACAGTTGTTTAATGCTTGTGCCAGCATTTATTCTGCTTTAGGCTGCTTTACAGTCCATAAGCCGGTTTTCCAGTGCATGGTACGGCTCAACTCGACTCGATTCGCTTTTGGTACCAGCTACTTTGTTTTCCACTGCAGATACAGAGCCCCTCAATGTAGCTGGTCGGCATAGCGACATCGCATGAAACTGCCAAGACGTGGAGACAAACTTTTGTTCAGAAGAGGCTGATGGCAGCGAGACAAAAGACTGCTGACCAAAACAGGACATACCGCATCAGACAACGAGACGATTCTGGTTGCACAAAAAGTCGCACTGGAACACTTTTACGTCACCTTTTTATATCAACTCAGCTCGCTTGGAACCTGGGTGGTCCCAAAAACAGTACCCGGTAACACAGTAGTGGAAAACCAAAAAAAAGCAAGTTGAGCCGAGCCGAGTCGGTACCATGCAGTGGAAAAGCAGCTATAGATGCATCTCTTCTCTCATATTGCACCAAATTGAATACAGAGCTGAAATTCAATTGAGATCCAAAGGAAGAACATTTCTCAGAAGAGGAGAGAGAGACACGGTTGTGATGAACACAGTCTGTGAGGCACCATCAGGTTATAACCTTCACCTTCATTAAGAGCCCTCATGTCTCTGTTACCTTTCTGGTTTCTCCCTCTTGGTTAGGCTGTAACAACCAGACCTGCTGGAGTCTCTGCTGCTCTGTTACACTGTGATCTGTGATCAGTCACTCTGTACTGAACTGACTCTCTGTGTGTTTCCTTTCTTTGCCGAGTTAAACAGCTGCCCATCCTGTGTGTCTGATGCTGCTGCCTCTTCTGTCTTGATCGGGTGCCACTGCTCGCCAGCCTTCTGGACTGGCTTGACCACCATTGAGCTTCATGCTGTACAACGCTGTGCAAACCTCACCCTCATGAACTGACCCTCCTGATGATGCTGCATAAACTCAGACCATCTAATTAACCATTGCTCCACCTGTTTTTCCCTGTTTTGTATTCTAATATTTTATTCTAACGCTGTTTGCTATCTGGTGTCCACCAGAGGAGGATGGGTTCCCCTTCTGAGTCTTGGTTCCTCTCAAGGTTTCTTCCTCTTAGGGATTTTTTCCTTGCCACTGTCGCCACTGGCGACGCTCATGGGGGCTCAGACCCAGATGTCTGTAAAGCTGCTTTGTGACAGCACCTGTTGTAAAAAGCGCTTTATAAATAACCTTTGACTTGACTTTGACCTTAACGGCTACTTAAAGATTAATTTTCAAAGGCCCAAAACACAATAGATAAAAAAATCTCTGAAAAATATTTAATTAAGAGCACATAAAAACATAGAAATAAGGGCAATGATGGCTGGAAAAAGACATACAATGACGATAAGCATGCTGCAAATATGTAAATTACACCTTGTGGGTGTCTTTATAGCGAGAACGATATGGTGTATAATTAGTGGAGAATCTAATGTGTTGCGTGTAACTTGCAGGCAACTCACAACATACATGCAAGTTGCAGCATGTAAAGCCAGCCTTACACATTTGCCTGCTGAAATACAGCAAAAAGAGAGAAAGAAATTGGGGGAGATGGAGGAGGGAAAGTTCTAACTGTAATAACAATGAAGAGTGATGCCGCTGGACTGTATCTAACTACAACTGCTGGATTTGGATCTTAATTTGCCATTGAATAAATGATTTTCTTGAGTGCCTGATGTGCTGCTTGACCATTGCAGGAGAGAAGGAGACTTTAACTACTGTTTCTAGTTATTAAAATGAATTGTAGACTATAACATGCTGACACTTTGTTGTAGGTCAGTGGTCTCCAAACCTGACCCTGGAGATCTACTGTCCTGCAGTGTTTCACACCACAATCTGCCACACCTGCTCTAGCTAATGAACCTTTTCAGATGTTCCTGATTGGCTGGATCAGATGCAATAGTGATAGGTAAGGGGAGGGGCAGCATGTTAGATGCAGGTTGGAACTAAACGCTGCAGGGCGGCGGTTCTCCAGGACCAGGGTTGGAGACCGCTGTTCTGGGTCTATTTAATGGTAGAGAAAATGGAAACAGCATAACCCTTTCAGTTAAAGTGTTCATCTTAAACATACAGTGAGAAAGAAAAACCAGAGAAAGAGAGGACCTTCTCCCAGTGGCGCTGTTTGATGCCGGGGTTGCAGATGGTGGTCAGTATGGGCAGGTGCTGTTTGAATTTGTCGATTTTAACGCAGAAGCTGTCTGCTATGCGCCGCGGCCCGGCCAGCTCAGAGAAAGTCTTGGTCAGTTTGTACATGGTGCGCCACATATTCCCCAATTCATCAGAAATCTTCACTGCATCCAGCTGGACAAAGGGTCCTAGACAAAAACACACACACACACACTAACATGTACAGTGTATTTCTGTGTGAGCTAACTGACTACTTCAGCATTTGAGAACTAATATCATATTATACATATATATATACAAACATAACTGATTATTGTGCAAAAGCTGTCAAAAATAATCAACAGTATTGCCAACTGATCTATACTACTACAACTAACTCCCTAACTAGCTCCTTAACGTCAGGTAGCGGAGGCGACCAACTGTGTACTAAATACAACTATATTTAAGTTTAGGAACAGTACCTTTATGTTTTTAGTATGCATTCTCACTCATAGAGACTTAAAATGGTTAGTATTTGTTAGTATTTGTTTGTAAATGTTAGTATTTGTGTCTGAACTGTAAAAAACGCTGGTCTTCTGTGTGCTCGGCAACATTAAAGACTTCAAATCAGTGACAAATGGAAACTATCTATGAGTCAAGACTAATTATTTTAGTTTTGTAAAATAATGTTGTCGGTAGGGGGTCATTAATACGGCCACTGCCCAGAAAAAATCACGTGAGGTAAACAGTTGAGTTCCTCAGAGCTGCATTAGCAGTAAATGTTTTAACTCTGAACAGTTCCTACTTTGGTGCACTAGGTGGGGCTGTGTGCCTTTTACTCCCTAGACGGCGAGAGGGAAGAAGTCTAGCCGTTCACTCACAGCACCACATGCCAGCTGAACAGTTAGCAGAGTTGAGCAGTCTTGGTTATTTTCATTTTTATTTTCAGATTCTTAGACATATACAAATGTTATGACCGATACTTTCATATAGACTCTAAAGCACTTTACTTGAACCTGACATAACACTGACGTAACCATAAACACGTCACAACAGAAGTCATACACTGTTCCCATGTTCAGTAATGTAACAGTGTCGTGTTTCCATTATCAGTGACTGTCATGACGTGTTGTAATGTTATGATAACTAGAGTGCAGTTAGCAAGATTTCTGTGTGACATCATTTGTAATGGCATCAAACATGGTGGCATCTGTCATGACAAATACAGATATTCAACAGCTGGCTATTTTGGTTTATTACACCAGAATAAATGTTTTGGTTGCATCATGGCTCAAATTGCTATAATTATAAAAATAATAAATATTAATAATATATAACGTGATGTATAATGTATATATGATGTATAATTATAAAACACTATTATTAACAAGGCTTTATTATTATTATCATTATCATTATTATTATCATTATTATTATTATCATTAATAAACAACAATAATAGCATTCACCAACAATCAGTGTCAATAAACTTTGAAATGAAATCATTTGGAACAACATGATAGAATTTTCAGCCATTTTTTTTCCACTGGATCCTTTGCGCAGTTCCCTCCAGTGGGTTAATATTTAGATTTAGGTCAGTGATAACAGCTACAGTAATATCAGTGTGTGTTTCTGGGTCTGTTTCTGGGTCTGTGTTAGGGAGCGTTACCGTTCATCCAGACGTCTGAACTGCTGTGGAAGCTGAGCGCTGTGTTCCAGAGCTGATCATACGGCTGTTTACTCAGCATGAGCGACGGCAGCAGGGGGAACTGACTCTGCTCTCTCTCCAGCAAACTCTCCTCCTTATTAATGTACTGATAACACAAACACACCACCGTTATCAGCTGTCTCAAACACACACACACACACACACTCACACCCACGCACACACACCTCCAGCTCTGTGGCTGCGTCCTCCAGGCAGGCTGAGAGCTCCTTCAGTTTCTCCACGTTGTTCTTCATCTCTTCCATACTCATATTTTCTTTCTTCTTAAACGCCTCCACTTCCTTTCCAACAGCCTGCAGAGTGTTCTCCAGCTTCACAATCCTATCACACACACACACACACACACACACACACACACACACACACACACCTCTTCAACTGAACCCTGAAGGTAGGTGTTTCTAATAAAGTGGCTGATGACAAAGTACAAAGTAGGTGTTTCTAATAAAGTGGCCAGTGAGTAGAGGCACAAGATAGGTGTTTCTAATAAAGTGGTCAGTCAGTGGAAGCACAAGGAAGGTGTTTCCTATAAAGTGGCCAGTTAGTGGAAGCACAAAGTAGGTGTTTCTAATAAAGTGGCCAGTAAGTGAAAGGACAAGTTAGGTGTTTCTCCAGCGTTTACTTGAGCATTAGCTAAAGGGGTTTCTGTCACTAAACCCTCGTCTGTATTAGCCATTTAAACCTGCTGCTTCACCTCTGAACGCCTAAACGATTTCCCTGGTTTGATTAATGTAAACAAGGTACCCAGAATGCATTTTTGTTCTTTAAATTGATCGTCATGTGTACTTCATTAGTCCTTAAACCTGTACTGTGTATCCCTACTTCATATTTTGTAAGGCAGTGTATTTAAGAAGAACGTTTTAAATGTTCTCCACTGTGTGCTTCTAAACTTTCCTCTGAACTACTGAATTTTACGTGCATTTACAGTTACGGGTGCTATCAGGTAGCCTGAAGAGAAAGTCCGATGGATGTAACAATAGCAGCTAATTGAGATATGTGTGTGTGTGTGTGTGTGTGTGTGTGCGTGTGTGTGTGTGTGTGTGCGTGTGTGTGTGCGTGTGTGTGTGTGTTTTCAGAGTACCTCTTGAGCAGTATGTCTTCCGCATGTTCTCTTCGAGTGGTCAGTTTGCCTCTACTGCCCTCACACACAGAAATGATCTGCAGTGGCCAATGGAACACCCTGCTGTTCAGCTTCACATCCTCACCTACACAACACACACGCACACACACACACACACACACACACACACACACACAGACACACGCACAACTGTTTAACCACTTAAAAAAAGTTTTACTCAGTTATTCATCTGAGACTAATTCAGATGGAAGATGTTTCTAATAATGTGGCCAGTGAGTATCTACTATGTATCCACTATGAATTACTCAGTAACTACTATATTATTCAATAAGTGCTATGAATCACTCAGCATCGACAATAACTCAGTTAGTACTATGAATTATTCAGTATGTATATGAAACTAATGTGTAAGTTATGTAATCTGTAGTTATGATACAGAGGAACTGGACCCACATACGGACCCTCGGGCTGTTTTCATGCCTAGTTTGTCCACTCTAAAGCTAGATTTCGTGTGATACTGTATTCTTTCATCCAGTATTTAAAAAGGCAACTAATTCATTCATTTAAGAGTTTTGAATTCCAGTTTGGTTCATTACAGAGCAAATAATGTTGTTTATATTGCAGCTTTGGTTAATAAACAGTATTGGAAAGGTGCTCGTGTGTTTGTAGTACTCTCTACACATGTATGACAGCGGTCACAGGGGACACAGCGGACCGCCGAGACAGAGGAGTAGCATATAAAACACAAGCAAAGACGAGCCATTATCATGTGTATGATGAAGGACTCAGACGTCGAGTCACTCTTTGTACAATTTCAAGTCAGCTGTCAGTGTGTAGTGAAATGTTTCCCAGCTCTGATTGTGGTATCGGCAATTCTCAACCCCAGTTTGCGTTTTTGCTACGCGTAAAAGCACAAACAGGTCCGGTCCAGTGCGTTCAGCCAAAGTCCTTATAGAAACTCAGTTACTTCCATCCATACAAGACCAGACTCCTCTCTCTCTGAATGGAGAGAGACCAAAATTCTCGAAAACTGGTCAAATTACTGTTCAAAAGACTTGAAATCACTGATAAAAGTTGACAAAAACCTCATAATAGTTTGCAGCGTTTAGCCCAGTTTTTGGGTTGTTCTGGCTAGGGCACTTGAGGGGGGCTTTCCCGCTTGGGCCACAGTATCCTTGATGCTTCTTCACTTGAGCCATAACCAGCGAGCTGATTGGCTCTTTTCCTTAAGGGGCTTTTCTCCATAAACAGATGCCATGTTTAGCGTTAGTTATGCTTTCTCCTCCATATTTTAACCAGTGAACGTCTCCTAGTTTATAACGTCTCTGGTTTAGCTTTGTTAGCGTCAGATGGTGACGGGGGAGATCTGGGACTCTGGGGCCGTCTTACAGAAACAAAAACTTTTTAGGACAGTTCAACTTTCAGCCTGCCTTGTGGGCCTGACTGGGCAAGTTAGGGAAGCGGTTGATATTGAACTGTGTCCTCTGTGAGGGTCACACATCCTCCCGTTTCTGACATCCATAACGACTCCATTTCCAACTCTCTGGGCAATCACGTCACCCATGAACTTCCATGTTTCACCAATCAATGCTCCAGTTCATCCAGACACTAACCTATTGCACCTGTGATGTATGTGATATCAGAGAACTTGCAGAGAGAAGAATTACTGCTCTGTAATGTCTTCTGGGTTTCTCAAACGCTAGAGGGCGCTCCCGAGCGAGTCTAGAATGAATGGGTTAATATGGAGCATTTGAGTAGGTTTATGAACACAAACATTTTTAATGTAAAAGAATTCATTCATTTCCTGAACAGAGAGCAGCATAAAACATTTTAACACTGCTGTTATATTTTAAGAGCTTTTAAACTCGAGCTATAGATTTACATCATTTAGCAGATAGGAGTTTAAAACGGCTATAGGAGTTTAAAACAGCGCCTCATGTACATCCATGACATCAGTGAGTGTGAACAGCCAATAAGCTGCTCTGCTCGCCAACCAATCAGCACTCAGTAGCAGTAATGCTGACCAATCAGCACTCAGTAGCAGTAATGTTAACCAATCAGCACTCAGGAGCAGTAATGTTAGTGCCTGCTGCCCGAAACCCGTTTGCTGTAGAAAAAGGAAACATACAGGTGAGTTTTCTTTGTTTATTTAGTGAAATCCATCCTTCTACTCTCTAAAATTAAAGGAAAGTTCTGGTTCAGTGATTAGAAACTATTTTAACTTTTTGTTCTTAGCCATTTAGCTCCATTTACTCCCATTCATTGAGGAATCACTGGATGCCCTCTGCTGTTTAGCAGTCCTATTTTTGATATAATGGGGGAAATAGGAAGTGGCCAGGCTCCTCATTAACCAGCTCTGGTCATAAGACTATCTGCAGTGTAATATAAACTTTGCCTTTTCGTCTCCACCCTTTCGGATGTGGTTGCCTGAATGTGTTTTGTATATTTGTCTTTTTCTGTATTTTGGCCTTTTTGGATTTGACCACTGCCTGTTTTTTACTACGAGTATTGTCAAGCCCTTTCTAAGTAAAGCCTCATTGCCTTTCTTCTACCGCGGGCATCTGGCTGGTTCTGTTCCGTTACGGTGAGAAAGAGATGTGTTGGTGCAGCTTTCTCACAACCCACTTGTTTGACCACACTGTGACCCACCAGTGGGTGGTGATCTACAGTTTGAAAACCTCTACCCAAAAACACAATCCCCAACACACACACACACACACACACACACCAGCAGTACCTGACAGGGCGGCATAGTCCAGCAGGAAGCTGAGGCGGTGGGCGGCTTCCTCGACCTCATCGCGGAGTTTGTGCACAGTGACGTCGGTGGTGTGTTTCAGGAACTCACTGAGCTCCACCAGTTCCTCTGTGTTGGCCGGCACACTCGTCACCGTGTCCACAATCTGCTCGTACCGCTGACAGACACTGCACACACATACAGAGAGACACCAGCAGGACATGTTAAAGACCAGCGGCCATATTACAGAAACATCCTATCTTTTTGTCTTAACTTAAGATCTGACAGGTCAAGATAAGATTTATCACAAATTCATATTACAGAAACAAATCCAATCTTTTAGGAATTTTATCCCATCTTACAGCATCTTATCTCGAGTTAAGAAATATTAACTTACTCGATCGAAGTCGACTATCAACTGTCATGTCTGTTACCTAGCAACCGACCATATGCACACAGCTGAAACGTAAACACGCAATCAAAATAATCAAGCTAGTTAGCCAGAAGCTTTGGAAACTTGAAGTTAAGAATATTGTGTCAGCGCCCCCTGCTGTCTATCAGAGCATCGCGCCCCAGTTTCATTCTCCGCTTCCCAAACGCTTTAGCCGAGCACGCTAACGTTGTTCCTCCTAATAAACAGACACACGTTCAGCTCCGTCTCCTCATTATTCACCACCATCACTGTAATATTTCATCATCAACATTAACACACGAAGGTAATCAGAGGGACGGTGGAGATCGAGTCTGCAGCGTCTGAGATCTTTAAAACGCTGTGGTGTGTTAGTGTGTGTTGCGCTGGTCTGAGTGGATCAGACACAGCAGTGCTGCTGGAGTTTTTAAACACCTCAGTGTCACTGCTGGACTTAGAATAGACCACCAACCAAAAATATCCAGCCAACAGTGTCCTGTGGGCAGCATCCTGTGACCACTGATGAAGGACTAGAGGATGACCAACACAAACTGTGCAGCAGCAGATGAGCTATCGTCTCTGACTTTACATCTACAAGGTGGACTGACAAGGTAGGAGTGTCTAATAGAGTGGACAGTGAGTGGACACAGTGTTTAAAAACTCCAGCAGCACTGCTGTGTCTGATCCACTCGTACCAGCGCAACACACACTAACACACCACTGTCAGTGTTACTGCAGTGCTGAGAATGACCCACTACCCAAATAGTACCTGCCCTGTGAGGGTCCATGGGGGTCCTGACCACTGAAGAACAGGGTAAAAGGGGGCTAACAAAGTATCAGAGAAACAGATGGACTACAGTCTGTAACTGTAGAACTACAAAGTGCACCTATATAGTAAGTGGAGCTGATAAAATGGACAATGAGCGTAGAAACAAGGAGGTGGTCAGAATGTTAGCACTGTGAGAACTGCAGATGCAATAAGGCTGTTTTATGCAGTCTGTGTAGCCCAGAAACATCCAGACAAACTCAAATGTTTCGAGTGAGGCTCAATTGATTTCACCCAAAACTGCATTTTGAAATGTGTCACCTTAAAATATTCATAGTGCAAAATACATACAAGTTACATTCAGAGCTTTGCAGCAAGGGGGCAAAATAACAGCCATTACACACATATAGGCTGAACAAGAAAGGCTATCTATGCAGGGATTTGAATCTTAGTCATCAACGTGCAAAGCTGTGGCATTTTCTATTAAACAATTAAACCAACATAGTGTTTAGTTATGATTCTAAAAGCTCCAAGCGTTCTCATTGAAATCCCAGTTCTTTACAATTAGGGGTGTCACAATACGCATGTTAATATTCATTCTTTTCTATGGGGTCACAAGACAATACATATATTTGCAGTGATATTGCACTAATATGTGCAGAAAAATGGCATATTTAACTGTGTTCTCTGTAGAAGATGTGCTAACATCTTAAAATTGCAGGCTGATTATATACTAAGTCTTATTATTCAGTAACTACAGGGACTTCAATGCAAACTGGCTGAGATATTCTTAGGTTACAGAACCGTGTAGTAATAAAACTTGCCTGTCGGTGGTCCCTGGCCATTTAAAGGGTCAACAAAATGCCATTTATCAGAGGTGTTTTCCAACTTTCCCATACCACTGTAGTAGGTGTAGCTGTTGTAAGCCAGTCTGACATTGATTTGTACTCTATCACCTCCTTGAACACTGAGCTTTAGCTGCCTCAGTAATGTAAGAGTGCATGTTGAGACTGTGTATCTACCAGCCAGTCACTGGTATCTGTGTGTGTACTTGTGTGGTGTATATTTCTGGCATTATAAGCTTTTCAGAGTGGTGTTCTAACCTCTTATTAAGCTGGCGGTTCTCCTCCACCTCGTAGGTGATGAGCAGGTGTTTGAGGTGTTCAGTTCGATCACACAGATCCTCATGCAGACTCACAGCTTCCAGACAGAGCAGAGACAGAGGAACAGTGACCCGCAGAGACGCGATCTCCTTCCACACGCTGCTCACTGCCTCAATCCTCTGCAGGGAGAAAACAGAGACAGAAAAATACTGCTCGTCTTTTCAGTAATAAACATCTACCCACACTAGAGGTGGAACTTTATTGGCCAAAGTTGCAGCATGCAAAAAATTGCAATGCATGTAGAAATATCTGTTGTCTATTGAAATAGCATGAATCAAATAAGTGCTACATCAAAAGTAAGAGGTGACTGGCTGGATGAGATCGTTAACATGTGTAAACATTTTAACAAAACGAAATTAACAAAAAGAGTGTTTTTAAGGTGGCACAGTGGCGCGGTGCGTAGCGCTGTCGCCTCACAGCAAGAATGGCCTGGGTTCGATTCCCGGCCAGGTGACCAGGGTCATTTCTGTGTGGAGTTTGCCTGTTCTCCCCGTGTCTGCACCGGTTTCCTCCCACGGTCCAAAAACATGCAGTCAGGCTGATTGGACATGCTGAATTGCCCCTAGGTCTCAATGTGTATGTCTGTCTGCACTGTGATGGACTGGCGACCTGTCCAGGGTGTATCCTGCCTTCCGCCCAGTGACAGCTGGGATAGGCTCCAGCTCCCCACCGCGACCCAGAAGGATAGGACATATATATATATATATATATATATATATATATATTTATTTATTTTTTTTAATTACATTTTTGTCAATTCTAAATGTACAGTACATTACTGGCTACTGGGCTGCATTACTTTGAAAGCTGTGTAAAAAAACAGGAAATTACAAATTACTGTGTTTTATTTCCAGCTTATTACTGTAAGTGTAGAGCAGAATAACAGCTACATCACAGTGATCTTGTGGTGCAGGTGAGTGTGGAGTCACAGTACACAGCTCTTGTTTTACTATTATTTACCCTTAATATGTACAAATAGCTGCAGTGAGTCAGTGTGGAGAGTTTTTCCCTTTGATTTCTGTAAATGTTGTAGTTTAGTGTTTAAACCTGCAGACAGTCTTTTACAGAAAGAAGGGTCAGTATTGATCCACTCAGCACTGACGGCTTCACACAGCTGAAAAACCCTGCTGAGCTAGTTTGTGTTCAATGTGAGACCAAATATTCTCTATAGGGTTTAAATCTGGACTCGGACCGGGACAAACCTTTCTGATAAAGTTCTAGTTGTACAAATGCCCAGCTGTCGTTTTAGGTAGATGTAGGCAGCAATTTTCAGCAACATGGACAGCAGTAAAGGGCCTGGATGTACAGTCCAATAGGTTAGCAGCCTCTTCAGGTGTGTATGTGAGTGCAGGTTTACCTTGGTAAGGGCCTGTAGAGAGTGTTTCTCCTTGAGGAAAGAAAGGATCTCCTGTCTGGCTGAGTTATCCAGCAGATTACTGTATTTCTTATACACATCCAGATACCTAATGCAACAAAAATAACACAAAAAATAACACACAAAAAAACACTATACACAAAGGTACTAAACTGCCCCTAGGTGGGTGCGTATATCTGTGTGTCTGCCCTGTGATGGACTGGCGACCTGTCAAGGTGTTTTCCTGCCTTCTGCCCAATGAGCTCTGGGGTAGGGTCCCGCAAACCAGGAGGAGGATGATGAGTGCAGACTAGTAGTACAGCAGAACTACAGAACTACAGCATAACTTTGCTGAATATGAACAATAATATTGCCTATGAGGATGTTTTAAAGGGCCCATATTCTACATTTTCTGATATTTTAGCTTTCCTCCAGATGTTCATTTAAAAAGTGTATGCTGGGCTCCCGAGTGGCGCAACCGTCTAAGTCCTGTCATCAGATCACGAGTTCGTTCCTTGGTGATGCTACAGCCATCCGTGGCCGGGAGTCCAAGAGAGCACAATTGGCCTCGCTCTCTCTGGGTGGGTAGGATGGCCCCCCGTCTCCCCCACCACTCAGCATGATGCTAGTCAGCGCAGGCGTCTGTTAGCTGACAGTCTCCTCCAAGCGCGTTCGGCTATTTAATGATGTTTGAAAAGATGTGGTGGCGCTTCACAGGTATCGGAGGAAGCCTGTGTTAGCCTTCGCCCTTCCTTTCGCTGGTGGTATCATGTGACTGGGGGAGTCCTAACTAGTGTGGAATTGGATACGACTAAATTGGAGAGAAATTTGGGGAAAAAAAGTGAGGTGCAGGCGTATTAAAGGGGAAGCTCACCTCTGAGGACCCACAGTGTTCCTCTGGAAGATTTCTCTGGCTCGGCTGAGCAGGTCTGACACGAGCGGCTCGTCAGGTCTGACAGAGCGTAGAGTTAAATTCTTCTCCTGGAGCTCCGGGAACAGACTACACTCCACCTGGAGATCCACACACACATACGCAAACGTTTGAACACCACCCGTCAAACTACACGTTCTGTTGATCTTCTACATTTAAGCAGTAGAACACGAGAGGGAGTGTGTTATCAAGAAACATCACGGCTGTGATTTGGTCGCAGGCACGATAACACACTCCTCGAGGGTTCTATTGCTTTTATACAACAGGTAAATAAATGGAAATACTGGGCTGTTTCCTAGAAATTTCAATGAGACAATAAAAGACAAGGCACCCTGGGAACATAAGGATGACCCCACACAAATGAGCACAAGAAGATTTCACCACTGTACGAACCATAAACACTCACACACTCTTCTTCTAAACACTTACTGCTCTCCTTCATCCTGAAAAAGATTATTTAGTAAAGGTTCTTTAGTAAAGACAGTGGCTACAGTGAGGTCCAAAAGTCTGACAGCCCTTTTTTTTCTGTCTCACTTAATGAGAGAACTGATGTTGTTTGGCCAGTGCCAAACGCTGGACGTCAGGCTGAAGAGAGGAAAGCTGAAAACAGAGCTCTGGCTCTGTTCAGCAGATGAAGATACATATCCTTTAAGTTTAATCTCTAATTGTTTCGCTTCAGAGCTTCATTTGAAAACACCTCTAATCATATGACGAAACGGTTGTTGCTTTTTCAGTTCTCAAACACGTGAAGACCAGCACTTGGTACTTACTGCACTTTTTCTTTAGCATACATTGTTTCTCAGTTTTCTCAGTTTTATATTCGGTGACCATTTCTCTTGTAGCTGGCCCAGCTGTTTAATCTTAACCTTTTAAAAGTGCTAATTTTAACCATTAATTCTTTATGGATGAATTCCATACAATTCAAAAGTGAAATGTTTTACATTGACAGAAATATCAACCTGGTTAGCAAGCATTTCGCTAGTATAATCAACAAGCTCAGCATAAATATGTTTATTTTTGCAGATAATTATCACAACATTTGTCATATTTAAAATTATGTTTAGTTACATGTCTATCTGTTTAGAAAAAACTACAGCCCCCAGCAGTACCACCATGGCCCACTGGGGGAAAGCAGCCAGCAGGTTGAAAACCACCACTCTACACAGGAACAAACTTAAATATGACTTTTTGTCATTTTTAGTGCATAATTACAATTAATTTGTTGAATTTATTATGTATTGAGAAAACACAACATACATTCTAAAATGTGCCATAACTTTTGCACAGGCCACATTTTTGTTTTTGTCATATTTTTCCCCATTGTGTTAAATATACAGTAAGGTGTACGAAGTGTGTTATAGATGCACGGTGGCGTAGTTCAGGGTGTGCGTATGTAAGTGTACCCTGGGTAAGCTGAGCGCGCTGGTGATGATGTGCAGAAACGAGCGCTCGATGAGCTCCCAGCACTGCGGCAGCGAAGGCTGGAAAACGACGGTGGGCTCCTCCACCTTCAGCTTGACCAGCAGGAGTGGACGCTGAGTGTACTGTAGCTCCTCGAAGGACTCGCCGAAACCATTTCCACTCTGCAGGACAGAACACAGACACCTTTACACTTCCTCTGCTCACTGAGCTGAAGACATCCTGACATCAAAATCAGGGAGGCACAGTGAAGTCAGAATCATGGCGGAATCAGCTTTATAAGCCTGCCTTAAAAATGCCTTTACAAAATAACAATTTAACAGATTATTGAGATTTCAAACCAAAAACTGATGACATATTTATTATCCTCCACTTAGCTTTAGTTTAGTTTAAAAGCCAGCAGCCAGCTGCATCAGCTGAGCGTACGTTTGATCGTATGTTGGGGCGTAAAGTCCATCCTAAACCTCATGTTGAGAGTAGTTGGTTTAAAACTAGCGACACACAGACTTTTGGTTGCACCTCAGACACTTACGGTACATCTTAACTAGTGTAGTGTAAAGTGATCGTAGATCAAAACACTCTGCAGCCAATCAGTAACACTGAGCAGCATAAGCAAGAAACCACTCGTATTTCTCTTTTCAAGCTGCGTTTACTTTGCTAAAGGTGAGTCGGTCGTATCAGCTATAATTCAGAAAGAGACTGAGGTTTACAGTAAAGTTGTGTCCTCAAAGCGTCCGTCTCTGTATGTGTGTTTATTCTGTTCTGCTGCTGGAATTGTTCCGATGTTCTAACTGGGCTCTCGTGCACAATATTTTAACGGCACTTTATCAATGAACGGTCGGTAACGTTATCAAAGCTGCGGCGAAATGTATTTGCTATATCAATCTACTGACTGACAGAAAGGTGATGTTAGTCATGTTAGCAACATCTGAGCACTGATTGCGCTGCTCTTACTGCTCTGAACGCAGTTGACTTGTGTACTTGAACAGAGTCGCCCACCAGGTTTTGGAACAACCCTGTAGAAAAATATCTCAGTGCTGAACACAATGCAGGACTCAGGGCTCCGTTACTGTCTGTGTTGTATAAATGTAAGGCTAAAAGGCCTGTGATCTTTTCTATCGCTGATTGACGAATGATCAACATAATCTATCGCTGCAGGAGTGGATCCCGATGCAAACCCGAGACATATTTCGTTTTCTTTAAGTTTTCCCATCGATCAAAACAACCAGCCATTTTAACTGATTTTTACAGCAGGACTATACCGACTACAGGGTGACGGTAAATTTTAAGTTATAACTTAAAGCTATGTTGAAACTATAGCTACTTGGTGCAACCGGTTAAATGCTAGTAGGTCGTAAATGCTAGGCAGTTTACGTTCAAACTAGGCTACGATCTAACTTACGTTCAGCTGGTGCAGCTGGCTGCAGGGCTTTAGATTAGGTTAGTTGCGAGGAATTGCTTCTCTTAGTAGAACTACTGAGCATTTCCTGTTTGCCCTTTAGTGTGTTTGACCCTGTTTCTTCCTTTTTGGACCTGGTTGCTTTTTGTTATGCTTGTTCTTTTTGTCTTGTTGCTCTTGTGGATCTGACCCGCCCCTGTTCACCGACTACGATTCCTGTCAAACCCTTTACAAGTAGAACCTCATCTCTGTTTTGACCAAGAGCATCTGGCTGTTTCTGTCATGTTACATTTACACAATGCTGAGTCACTGCACTGCACTCATTTTATTCAACAGTGTTCCCATAACAACGTGAATTGTGTTCTGAATGTGTTGCTCAGAAACTATCGCAGTGCATCCAACAATAAAGGCAGCGTGGAGCTTCTTTTACACTGTGATAGGAAACACAGCAGCTCACAGGATTTCACACGCTGATCCATTTGTCTCATCAACACGGTTGCATCACTGAGACACCTTTGGTTTGATACATAAATTGTGTGTGGGTATTTCTTCTTCTCAATTTATTAAAACTAGGGGGTTGCAGTGGGTTACTGAGTATGAGGTTTGGTGAATATGCAGTGGGGGGGTTACTGAGTATGAGGTTTGGTGAATATGCAGTAGGGGGGTTACTGAGTATGAGGTTTGGTGAATATGCAGTAGGGGGGTTACTGAGTATGAGGTTTGGTGAATATGCAGTAGGGGGGGTTACTGAGTATGAGGTTTGGTGAATACGCAGTGGGGGGGTTACTGAGTATGAGGTTTGGTGAATATGCAGTAGGGGGGGGTTACTGAGTATGAGGTTTGGTGTGAATATGCAGTAGTGGGGGGGGTTACTGAGTATGAGGTTTGGTGAATATGCAGTAGGGGGGGGGTTACTGAGTATGAGGTTTGGTGAATACGCAGTGGGGGGGTTACTGAGTATGAGGTTTGGTGAATATGCAGTAGGGGGGGTTACTGAGTATGAGGTTTGGTGAATACGCAGTGGGGGGGTTACTGAGTATGAGGTTTGGTGAATATGCAGTAGGGGGGGTTACTGAGTATGAGGTTTGGTGAATACGCAGTGGGGGGGTTACTGAGTATGAGGTTTGGTGAATATGCAGTAGGGGGGTTACTGAGTATGAGGTTTGGTGAATATGCAGTAGGGGGGGGTTACTGAGTATGAGGTTTGGTGAATACACAGTGGGGGGGTTACTGAGTATGAGGTTTGGTGAATACACAGTGGGGGGGTTACTGAGTATGAGGTTTGGTGAATATGCAGTAGGGGGGGGTTACTGAGTATGAGGTTTGGTGAATACAGCAGTGGGGGGGTTACTGAGTATGAGGTTTGGTGAATACGCAGTAGGGGGGGGTTTACTGAGTATGAGGTTTGGTGAATATGCAGTAGTGGGGGGGTTACTGAGTATGAGGTTTGGTGAATACAGCAGTGGGGGGGGTTACTGAGTATGAGGTTTGGTGAATACACAGTGGGGGGGTTACTGAGTATGAGGTTTGGTGAATATGCAGTGGGGGGGGTTACTGAGTATGAGGTTTGGTGAATATGCAGTGGGGGGGGTTACTGAGTATGAGGTTTGGTGAATATGCAGTAGGGGGGGGTTACTGAGTATGAGGTTTGGTGAATACACAGTGGGGGGGTTACTGAGTATGAGGTTTGGTGAATACACAGTGGGGGGGTTACTGAGTATGAGGTTTGGTGAATACACAGTGGGGGGGTTACTGAGTATGAGGTTTGGTGAATATGCAGTGGGGGGGGTTACTGAGTATGAGGTTTGGTGAATATGCAGTAGGGGGGGGTTACTGAGTATGAGGTTTGGTGAATACGCAGTGGGGGGGTTACTGAGTATGAGGTTTGGTGAATACGCAGTGGGGGGGGTTACTGAGTATGAGGTTTGGTGAATACGCAGTGGGGGGGGTTACTGAGTATGAGGTTTGGTGAATATCAGTGGGGGGGTTACTGAGTATGAGGTTTGGTGAATATGCAGTGGGGGGGTTACTGAGTATGAGGTTTGGTGAATATGCAGTGGGGGGTTACTGAGTATGAGGTTTGGTGAATATGCAGTGGGGGGGTTACTGAGTATGAGGTTTGGTGAATATGCAGTGGGGGGGTTACTGAGTATGAGGTTTGGTGAATATGCAGTAGGGGGGGGTTACTGAGTATGAGGTTTGGTGAATATGCAGTGGGGGGGTTACTGAGTATGAGGTTTGGTGAATATGCAGTGGGGGGTTACTGAGTATGAGGTTTGGTGAATATGCAGTGGGGGGTTACTGAGTATGAGGTTTGGTGAATATGCAGTAGGGGGGGTTACTGAGTATGAGGTTTGGTGAATATGCAGTAGGGGGGGTTACTGAGTATGAGGTTTGGTGAATATGCAGTAGGGGGGGGTTACTGAGTATGAGGTTTGGTGAATATGCAGTAGGGGGGGTTACTGAGTATGAGGTTTGGTGAATATGCAGTAGGGGGGGTTACTGAGTATGAGGTTTGGTGAATATGCAGTAGGGGGGTTACTGAGTATGAGGTTTGGTGAATATGCAGTAGGGGGGGTTACTGAGTATGAGGTTTGGTGAATATGCAGTAGGGGGGGGTTACTGAGTATGAGGTTTGGTGAATATGCAGTAGGGGGGGGTTACTGAGTATGAGGTTTGGTGAATATGCAGTGGGGGGGTTACCGAGTATGAGGTTTGGTGAATATGCAGTAGGGGGGGGTTACTGAGTATGAGGTTTGGTGAATATGCAGTAGGGGGGGGTTACTGAGTATGAGGTTTGGTGAATACACAGTGGGGGGGGTTACTGAGTATGAGGTTTGGTGAATATGCAGTAGGGGGGTTACTGAGTATGAGGTTTGGTGAATATGCAGTAGGGGGGGTTACTGAGTATGAGGTTTGGTGAATATGCAGTAGGGGGGGTTACTGAGTATGAGGTTTGGTGAATATGCAGTAGGGGGGGGTTACTGAGTATGAGGTTTGGTGAATACACAGTGGGGGGGGTTACTGAGTATGAGGTTTGGTGAATATGCAGTGGGGGGTTACCGAGTATGAGGGTTGGTGAATACGCAGCGTTACTGAGTATGAGGTTTTGTGAATACACAGTGGGGGGGTTACTGAGTATGAGGTTTGGTATACACAGTGGGGGGGTTAGAGTATGAGGTTTGGTGAATACGCAGTGGGGGGGTTACTGAGTATGAGGTTTGGTGAATACGCAGTAGGGGGGGTTACTGAGTATGAGGTTTGGTGAATATGCAGTAGGGAGGGGTTACTGAGTATGAGGTTTGGTGAATATGCAGTAGGGGGGGTTACTGAGTATGAGGTTTGGTGAATATGCAGTAGGGGGGGGTTACTGAGTATGAGGTTTGGTGAATATGCAGTAGGGGGGGTTACTGAGTATGAGGTTTGGTGAATATGCAGTAGGGGGGGGTTACTGAGTATGAGGTTTGGTGAATATGCAGTAGGGGGGTTACTGAGTATGAGATTTGGTGAATATGCAGTGGGGGGTGTTACTGAGTATGAGGTTTGGTGAATATGCAGTAGGGGGGGGTTACTGAGTATGAGGTTGGTGAATATGCAGTAGGGGGGGTTACTGAGTATGAGGTTTGGTGAATATGCAGTAGGGGGGGTTACTGAGTATGAGGTTTGGTGAATATGCAGTAGGGGGGGGTTACTGAGTATGAGGTTTGGTGAATATGCAGTAGGGGGGGGTTACTGAGTATGAGGTTTGGTGAATATGCAGTAGGGGGGGGTTACTGAGTATGAGGTTTGGTGAATATGCAGTAGGGGGGTTACTGAGTATGAGGTTTGGTGAATATGCAGTAGGGGGGGTTACTGAGTATGAGGTTTGGTGAATATGCAGTAGGGGGGGTTACTGAGTATGAGGTTTGGTGAATATGCAGTAGGGGGGGTTACTGAGTATGAGTTTGGTGAATACGCAGTGGGGGGGGTTACTGAGTATGAGGTTTGGTGAATATGCAGTGGGGGGGGTTACCGAGTATGAGGTTTGGTGAATATGCAGTGGGGGGGTTACTGAGTATGAGGTTTGGTGAATATGCAGTAGGGGGGGTTACCGAGTATGAGGTTTGGTGAATATGCAGTAGGGGGGGTTACTGAGTATGAGGTTTGGTGAATATGCAGTAGGGGGGGTTACTGAGTATGAGGTTTGGTGAATATGCAGTAGGCGGGGTTACCGAGTATGAGGTTTGGTGAATACGCAGTAGGGGGGGTTACCGAGTATGAGGTTTGGTGAATACACAGTGGGGGGGTACTGAGTATGAGGTTTGGTGAATACGCAGTGGGGGGGTTACTGAGTATGAGGTTTGGTGAATACACAGTAGGGGGGGTTACTGAGTATGAGGTTTGGTGAATATGCAGTAGGGGGGGTTACTGAGTATGAGGTTTGGTGAATACGCAGTGGGGGGGTTACTGAGTATGAGGTTTGGTGAATATGCAGTGGGGGGGTTACTGAGTATGAGGTTTGGTGAATACGCAGTGGGGGGGTTACTGAGTATGAGGTTTGGTGAATACGCAGTGGGGGGGTTACTGAGTATGAGGTTTGGTGAATATGCAGTGGGGGGGTTACTGAGTATGAGGTTTGGTGAATACGCAGTGGGGGGGTTACTGAGTATGAGGTTTGGTGAATATGCAGTGGGGGGGGTTACTGAGTATGAGGTTTGGTGAATATGCAGTAGGGGGGGTTACTCGAGTATGAGGTTTGGTGAATATGCAGTAGGGGGGGTTACTGAGTATGAGGTTTGGTGAATATGCAGTAGGGGGGGTTACTGAGTATGAGGTTTGGTGAATATGCAGTAGGCGGGGGTTACTGAGTATGAGGTTTGGTGAATACGCAGTAGGGGGGGTTACTGAGTATGAGGTTTGGTGAATACACAGTGGGGGGGGTTACTGAGTATGAGGTTTGGTGAATATGCAGTGGGGGGGGGTTACTGAGTATGAGGTTTTGGTGAATATGCAGTAGGGGGGGGTTACTGAGTATGAGGTTTGGTGAATATGCAGTAGGGGGGGTTACTGAGTATGAGGTTTGGTGAATATGCAGTAGGGGGGGGTTACTGAGTATGAGGTTTGGTGAATACGCAGTGGGGGGGTTACTGAGTATGAGGTTTGGTGAATATGCAGTGGGGGGGTTACCGAGTATGAGGTTTGGTGAATACGCAGCGGGGGGGTTACTGAGTATGAGGTTTGGTGAATACACAGTGGGGGGGTTACTGAGTATGAGGTTTGGTGAATACGCAGTGGGGGGGTTACTGAGTATGAGGTTTGGTGAATACGCAGTAGGGGGGGGTTACTGAGTATGAGGTTTGGTGAATATGCAGTAGTGGGGGGTTACTGAGTATGAGGTTTGGTGAATACGCAGTGGGGGGGGTTACTGAGTATGAGGTTTGGTGAATATGCAGTAGGGGGGGGTTACTGAGTATGAGGTGTGGTGAATATGCAGTGGGGGGGGTTACTGAGTATGAGGTTTGGTGAATACGCAGTGGGGGGGTTACTGAGTATGAGGTTTGGTGAATACGCAGTGGGGGGGTTACTGAGTATGAGGTTTGGTGAATACGCAGTGGGGGGGTTACTGAGTATGAGGTTTGGTGAATATGCAGTAGGGGGGGTTACTGAGTATGAGGTTTGGTGAATATGCAGTAGGGGGGGGTTACTGAGTATGAGGTTTGGTGAATACGCAGTGGGGGGGTTACTGAGTATGAGGTTTGGTGAATATGCAGTAGGGGGGGTTACTGAGTATGAGGTTTGGTGAATATGCAGTGGGGGGGTTACTGAGTATGAGGTTTGGTGAATATGCAGTAGGGGGGGGGTTACTGAGTATGAGGTTTGGTGAATATGCAGTAGGGGGGGGTTACTGAGTATGAGGTTTGGTGAATATGCAGTAGGGGGGTTACTGAGTATGAGGTTTTGGTGAATACACAGTGGGGGGGTTACTGAGTATGAGGTTTGGTGAATATGCAGTAGGGGGGGTTACTGAGTATGAGGTTTGGTGAATATGCAGTAGGGGGGGGTTACTGAGTATGAGGTTTGGTGAATATGCAGTAGGGGGGGTTACTGAGTATGAGGTTTGGTGAATATGCAGTAGGGGGGGGTTACTGAGTATGAGGTTTGGTGAATACACAGTGGGGGGGTTACTGAGTATGAGGTTTGGTGAATACGCAGTGGGGGGTTACTGAGTATGAGGTTTGGTGAATATGCAGTAGGGGGGGTTACTGAGTATGAGGTTTGGTGAATACACAGTGGGGGGGTTACTGAGTATGAGGTTTGGTGAATACGCAGTGGGGGGGTTACTGAGTATGAGGTTCGGTGAATATGTAGTAGGGGGGGGTTACTGAGTATGAGGTTTGGTGAATACACAGTGGGGGGGTTACTGAGTATGAGGTTTGGTGAATACGCAGTGGGGGGGTTACTGAGTATGAGGTTGGTGAATACGCAGTAGGGGGGGTTACTGAGTATGAGGTTTGGTGAATATGCAGTAGGGGGGGTTACTGAGTATGAGGTTTGGTGAATATGCAGTAGGGTGGGGTTACTGAGTATGAGGTTTGATGAATACGCAGTGGGGGGGTTACTGAGTATGAGGTTTGGTGAATATGCAGTAGGGGGGTTACTAAGTATGAGGTTTGGTGAATATGCAGTGGGGGGGTTACTGAGTATGAGGTTTGGTTAATATGCAGTAGGGGGGGTTACTAAGTATGAGGTTTGGTGAATATGCAGTAGGGGGGGTTACTGAGTATGAGGTTTGGTGAATATGCAGTGGGGGGTTACTGAGCGTGAGGTTTGGTGAATATGCAGTGGGGGGTTACTGAGCATGAGGTTTGGTGAATATGCAGTGGGGGGGTTACTGAGCGTGAGGTTTGGTGAATATGCAGTGGGGGGTTACTGAGTATGAGGTTTGGTGAATATGCAGTGGGGGGGTTACTGAGTATGAGGTTTGGTTAATATGCAGTAGGGGGGTTACTGAGTATGAGGTTTGGTTAATATGCAGTAGGGGGGTTACTAAGTACGAGGTTTGGTGAATATGCAGTAGGGGGGTTACTGAGTGTGAGGTTTGGTGAATATGCAGTGGGGGGTTACTGAGTATGAGGTTTGGTGAATATGCAGTAGGGGGGGTTACTGAGTATGAGGTTTGGTGAATATGCAGTAGGGGGGGTTACTGAGTATGAGGTTTGGTGAATATGCAGTAGGGGGGGTTACTGAGTATGAGGTTTGGTGAATACACAGTGGGGGGGTTACTGAGTATGAGGTTTGGTTAATATGCAGTAGGGGGGGTTACTAAGTATGAGGTTTGGTGATATGCAGTAGGGGGGGTTACTGAGTATGAGGTTTGGTGAATACACAGTGGGGGGGTTACTGAGTATGAGGTTTGGTGAATATGCAGTAGGGGGGGTTACTGAGTATGAGGTTTGGTGAATATGCAGTAGGGGGGTTACTGAGAGTGGGGTTTGGTGAATACGCAGTGGGGGGTTACTGAGTATGAGGTTTGGTGAATATGCAGTAGGGGGGTTACTGAGTATGAGGTTTGGTGAATATGCAGTGGGGGGTTACTGAGTATGAGGTTTGGTGAATACACAGTAGGGGGGTTACTGAGCGTGGGGTTTGGTGAATACGCAGTGGAGGGTTCAGACAGCGTGGTTCCTGTACCTGGTGCAGCATGAGGAACTGCAGCAGCTCCTGCAGTGATGCGACCACCAGGCTGCGCAGCTGCAGTGACATCAACGCAGCCACGCAGGAGAAAAACTCCCGCGCCTTCACCGGGGCGACGTGGTCACTCTGTGGCACCAGGGGCAGCCACACGTCCTTATAGGTCACAAACAGAGACGCACAGCTTGGCAGCCACCTTAACACACACACACACACACACACACACACACACACACAGGTGTGTAAAATGCCTCACCGTAAAAATGAGTCAACATTTTAACATAAAATAGTTAGTAACCAAGGGCCGTCTGAGGCTTACCTTAGAAAAAGCTCACGAAGGATTTTAAGACAAACATCAAGAAGTTTGTAAGAATATTTTAAAATCCAGTTCTTGTAAAAGAATTAGGAAGTTTTAGTCTTATTTTCCTAAGAAAATTGTAACTGTTTTCATACGTTAGAAAATACGGTATGTTGTCTATGTTGTCATATAGGTTAGGTGGTCGTGTAGACTATTAATATCATGTTACATTTTACAGATTACCAGAATTTTTGGATTTTAACACATTTTGTGACACTAATTACAAGTCAGCGTTTAAGGGGTTTACTCTGTCAACTGACCAAGTCCAGGACTAGTGTGAGCCTGTCATAAGGGTAAGAAAACATTTAAGATGTTTTCAAAAATACTAAAAAGTTCTTAGAACACTTAAGAGAAGAGTTAAGAAAGAAATAAGGAAGATTCTTAGGATTTTTTTAATAATAATAACTTCTTTTTTAGCACGTAGTTAAGTAAAAGGGCACATTGAAGAAGATTGTCTTCCTTAAGACACTCTTGTAGATCTGGTTGCTTTAAAAAATTGAGTTTATTGAACTTAAATAATACATAATACATAATACATCTACCTATTCAGTCTACAGCAGTTTGGCTCCACCCACTCACACTGACGTTATAAGCAGTGTTTCAGCCCAGACTGCTTTTTGAATGGGGCCCAGTACAGGACAGCTAATCCTAATTAAATGAATAAATTAAGAGCTCTGTTCTGATTCTTGATATGTAGGATTAATCAATTAATTCTATGTGTAAAGAATGCTTTGGTACACAAGTGTGGTGTGTGGACCTCAAGGGAAAATGTAGCACGTGAGCCCCTTAAAATCTGACTCAATTAAAAATGGAAGTCAAAAATGTTCTACACTTAAAAATATTTAAGTGTATTTAAGTTAAAAGTAAATGATTCAACACATAAAATTAATTCAGCAAACGCATTTCAGTAACTTTAGCAGTTAGCACTAGCTGGTCACACTCTACGTAACCCAGACTAGCCAGTCTGCCTCACCTTAAACCTTTTATGCGGTGCAGCAATTAAAAAAAAATGCACTGGAATCTGACTAACAAAAGAAAAACAAAAAAAGGAAAATGGCGTTTGAGATTTGTACTTTAAAGGTCTAAATGAAAATGTAAAGAGTAACAAGGCTTTTTCTCTTGGAAATGCACTTAAGTAAAATTGCATGTGTTCAGTAATACTCTATTAAAGTGCAAACCTCCTAAAATAATATTTAAAAGAGAATTCCACTTTTTTTTTTAACATTTCTGCTTATTCAGTGGTTTAGATGTAAACAGTCATTCAGGGTGGCTTGATATGAAAGCTTACCAACACAAATATAGACATTTTATTTACTATCCAGAACCACCAGTGAACCTACACGAGTCTTCTGAGTTTATATGGAATGTTGATGATGGAAAATAGTGGAAAATCTGAAATAATAAGTTTTCTTTGGGGACTATTTTGCCTCACAGTGCCCTGCATGTATCCCTCCACCATGAATGGAGTTTAAGTTCTCTAAACCATCATAAAACAGTGTCTCAGTCATCAGGCAGTGAATTCATAACCATTTCATGTAGGAACTTTCTGTGAGGGAGCTTTTAGAGGTGGGACGTCTGGTTCCTATCACCACCACTGTGAACAGCTCTGACTCAGTTTATCTAGAACAGAGCGTTTCACACCAAACCACCCTGAATGAACTTTGTTTACACAGTTTAATTATGCGGTTTAAATTTTGAAAAATTGGTGGAATTCTCCCTTAAACACTTAATAAAGTAGAATGAATTTTCCACCTCGTATAAACACCACCAGGTCAGACGTTAGGATGGTCAGTGCCATAAAGGGAAGCTGCTTGTAAAGGTGAGTTTATGTTGGATGAGTACTGTGAGTAAACAGCCTCTAACTGGTAGTCAGAGAGATCCATAGATACAGAGCTACACAAAAACAAAGGTATCCAGGACAAACAAAACTGCTCAAACAATAAAACACACACACACCTTCTCCTTCCCTGCCACACACACACACACACACACACACTCACTTGTTGATGAGCTGGTCTCTGGTGATCTGACACTGACTCTGCACCAGCTCCTGGAACTCAGCCGGCAGAAGCGGCAGATTCACTGAGTTCAGATCAGACAAACGCACAAACCGCAGAGAAGAGAAACTAGAGAGAGAGTGAGAGAGAGAGAGAGAGAGAGAAAGAGAGAGAGAGAGAGAGAGAGAGAGAGAGAAAGAGAAAGAAAAGAAAAGAGACGGAGAAAAGAGAAAAAAGAGAAAATATATATTAGACGTTATCTGGAAAAAACACTATCAACTATCAGATCTACTGACGGTCAGACTCTTTTAAAGGAACGTTTCGGTGAAGAGTCAGATTTACATAACTGTCCACTTATCCTAGACGCAAGCTATCGGTCAAGATATGATCGATGTCCAAACATGGAGTGACCAGTTTGGTGTGGAGGAACTCCAGTGGCCCTCACAGAGCCCTGACCTCAACCCCGCTGAACACCTCTGGGATGAACTAGAATGGAGATTGTGAGACAGGCCCTCTCGTCCAACATCAGTGTCTGACCTCACAAATGATCTTTGGACCGAATGGACACAAATTCCCACAGACTCTCCAACATCTTGTAGAAAGATTTCCAGAAGAGTGGAGGCTGTTATAGCTGCAATGGGGGACCAACTCCATATTAATGTCTATGGATTTGGAATGGAAGGTCCAACAGGGTCTTATAGGTGTGACGGTCAGGTGTCCACATACTTTTGGCCATGTAGTGTATGCTGATGTATTAAATGCTATAATTAGAATGGTCACTTCCTAAAGAGTTCTCTAAGGTACTGTTATAGTTAATGCTAACTGAGCTGAGACAGGAAGAAAGATGATGATGATGAGGAAGGTGATGAAGAGAGCTTGTTTACTTGTTGACCCAAAGGTCCTGTAGCTGGAGCATCATGGGATTAACGGTGAACAGATGCTCTGTGTTCCAGCTGTGAGCTTCCTGGTAACTCAGAGACCACGGAACCGGTGCACGGATCACCCGCCATGGAAATGAACGGGGAACGCTGGAGATAACCAGTCGCTCTCTCTCCTCCGATCTAGCAGGATATAATCCACTACAGAGAGAGAGAGAGACAGAGAGAGAGAGAGAGAGAGAGAGAGAGAGAGTCCTTAAGAACAATGAGAGAACTAGAACCCCCCCATAAAACATAGAAACCCAATTCCAAAAAAATTGGGACAGTTTTTTAACCTGTGTTCAATTGAAAACAGTAAAAAGACAAGATATATTTAATGTTTCAACTAATTAATTGTTTTTTGTACATATACACTTGTTTGATGCCTGCAACATGTTCCAAAAAATTGGGACATGGTCATGTTTGCCACCACATTAGATCACCTTTCCTTTTAACAGCAGTCAGTATTCGTTTGGGAACTGAGGACACCACCTGTTGTAGTCGTGAAAGTGGATTTTTTCTTTTTCTATTATATTATACTTTAGCTGCTCAACAGGATCTCCACTGTCATATATTGCTCTTTATAATGCACCACATGTTTTATGACAAATCTGGACTGCAGGCAGGTCAGTCTAGCACCTGCACTCTCTAGCTGTGTCCCAATTCAGGGGCTGCATCCTTCGGAGGCTGCATGATTGCGTCACAGCGGCACGACTAGACTCTCCCATTTCAAAGGCTCCTTCATGTGCGACCGAGAAATGTATCCTTCTTTTCCATGGCAACGAAGGATCCAATGGATGGATCCTTCACCAGCCAACAGAACGGCGGCTGAGGAGACACTTTAAAAGTAAGTACTGGATTTAAACTGAGTCTAATAGCTAATGATACAAATGTTAAAAAAAGCCAATGTGGTCTGAAGAAAAACTTACACTAAATTTTCGTTTTGTTTTAGGGAGCAAAGAGCCGACAGAGAGACGCATCTCCAGCTCTAATAAATGAAAAAGTAAAGTTTCTCTGTCTTTAACGAACCTAAAAGAAGGGCAGGTGCTGTGACACAAACAGGAAATAAAGCCATAAAGCCACGCTGTTGTAACACATGCAGAATATTTCTTGGTGTTGTCTTGCTGAAACAAGCATGGACGTTTCTGAAAAAGACATAGTCTAGATGGCAGCATATCGCTGCTGTCGGAACAAAACCTTGTCTCTCCAAAATGGTAACTTTATAGGAGAAGGAAAAAACAGACTTTACTTTTAATGTAAGTCAATGGAACCAGAATTTTTACCAAGTCATTTTAGGCCATTTCCTTTGGTCCATTCATCTTGAAATTTACACACAATGTAAAGGACAACAGGCATTTTCAAAATATGTCAAAAACTGAAAAATGGTTTTGTTATGACAGCAGCGATATGTTGCTCCAACATGTGTATATATACCTTTCAGTGTTACTGTCCTTGTGTATATAACAGCATTAGCGCTGGCTCTGCGTGCTGCAGTGTGATGGAGACGGCTCACCGATGCTCTTGCGGATGCTGAAGTTGTAGTCTCGGCGCACCTCCTGCAGAAGGACATCCTGCAGATCCTGCAGCTCATCTCTTTGGAGAAACCCAGGCAGCAGCTTGAGTATGTTGGCGATGTGCTGGGGCGGCTGAGGGGCGAGCATGTGATCCTGAACCCCGTTCGTAATGTAGTACATGTACCTCTGAAAGACAGAGAGAAGTAAGTGTTGACCACCTGACTGGGTGGATGATTTACAGCAAACATACAAGTAAACATTTCAAATGCTTTGGCAAAGAAATTCTGACTCAGAGGAAGAGAGAATGGCCTCTTTTCCACCATACAGCCAAATGGTTCTCAGGGCCGTTCTGTGCCGTTCCGCGCTGGATCGCACCACAATCCGTCAGCTCCTGTTACAGTGTCTGTCTTCACGGCTAAAAATCCTACTTTTAAAAACTGAAAATGTACTTTATTTGTTATTTATGTGATTTATTCAGACAATAAAACATGAATTAGACTACTTGTAAAACTGAGAATGTCCTGCATACCAAACACAATTTTTCAGACGGCGAAATGCATAATTTTTTAATTAACTCCTCTGTTCAATTTTGCAAACTTCTGCTGGCAACATGAACTCTCTGACCAGTCACAGTCTCTGGTGTTGGTATGGTGACAACCAAGATGATAACTTGGCTGTTTACTAGGACTTTTTCTCAAATGGGAAAAGCATCAGAATCTCTAAAGGCAGCTACAACTGGGTTATATGTGAAAGAACTCTGAATTTCAGCTTCCGAATGAAGAGATGAAGTTCTTCACGCTACTTTCAGTCCTCCAAAACAGAAACTCAGAAGGCACTGGACATCAATTTGGCATCAGAAAGATGTTGGACTCTAATGTCTGACAGATGTTGAATTTTAGCTGAAAATAAAAAATAGGGTTGACATTAAAAACCAACATGGCTTGACGTCACCTCCAACGCTGGAAAGATGTTGAATTTTGGATAGAAATGAAAATTGTGTTGACGTCAAAACCCAACACTGGCTTGACATCAACCTCCAACATTGGACAGACGTTGAAGTCTGGTTGGGAATCAAAATCAGATACCTGTCAAAGAACATGTTGGCTTAACATCAATCTCCAACATTAGATGTTGAGTTTTGGGTGGATATGAAAATCGTGTTGACGTCAAAACCCAACATTGGCTTGACATCAACCTCCAACATTGGACAGACTTTGAAGTTTGGTTGGGAATCAAAATCGGACATCCATCAAAAACCAACATTGAGCTGACATCAAGCTCCAGCGTTAGACAGGAGGGCAGGAAATTGGGGGGAGGGGAGGAGAGTGAGGTCAGATCTGCTACTGCACCGATGTAGCAAAAGACAAATGTCAAGACCCCTGACCTCTAAATCTTCATCAGTGGGCTCTATCATGCTCCTCCTTTCCTGCTCCTCCTCAGCCTGCATGATATCTAGCTGCTGGTCTGGGGTCAGAGGGCAACTGCCTGGAGTCTCAGACCTGCTGCGACCTGGAGGGAGAGGGGAGGGGACAGCACGGTCCCTGCTGTAGAAAACAAACAGTCACATCAGCTCTTTTTATGAAGTGGGTTTTTAGTAAATCTGACTGTGTGAGAGTGTGTCAGTGTACCTGAGTGGTCGGGGGGGCAGTTCCGGCCTCCTCTCTGCTACAGCCTGAAACCTGACTAACACCAGAAGCATTAAGGAGAGCAGCGTCTGCAGATTTCTGTGTGTTTGTGTATGTTGTGTAAGTTTATCACTATAAATGACACACCTACTCACTATTTTGACAATCAAGTAACAAAACAAGAAAATTATTCAAGAAACATTCTGCTTTTTAAGGCCAATTTACAGTCCAAGTTACAAGTGTTCCCTGACAAAAAGTTACTTAAAAAAGACTTTTTGCCTGCCCTGGACTCTAACGCTAGCCAGACATTGAATTTCAGCTGAAAATGAAAGTCGGTTTGACATCAGAACCTGATGTTGGCTTGATATCAAGCCCCAACATTGGATAGACGTTGAATTTTGGTTGGAAATCAGTCGGATAACTGTCAAAAAACAATGACAGCTTGACATCAACCCCCAAAATTGGACAGACGTTGAATTTTGGTTGGAAATCAGTCGGATATCTGGCAAAAAACAATGTTGGCTTGACATCAACCCCCAACATTGGACAGACATTAAAGTTTGGTTGGGAATCAAAGTCGGATATCGGGCAAAAAACAATGTTGGCTTGACATCAACCCCCAACATTGGACAGACGTTAAAGTTTGGTTGGGAATCAAAATCAGCCATCTGTAGGGAGCTTCAGGTGCCTGTCAACCTTGTGATTAGAAGATGGGCTCTACCACCTGAGCCACAGCTGCCCCAACTGAGACCCTACAGCCGTGGCTCGGCAATGGAGTTGGTCATGAATAAGCCGTGGAGGAAAAACTACGAAAACATTCAGTACAACAAACTTAATCTTCAGTGATCTGCTCATTATCTTGAGATAATCAAGTAACAAAACAAGAAAATGATTAAAGAAACATATGTTGCTTCTTAAGGCCAATTTATAGTCCAGGTGACAAGTGTTGCTCGACGAAACGTTACTTAAAAAACACAAAGTTTGTGTCTGTTAGGGTGTCGCAGACCTCGTCACGTACATCAAAACGCCTGATGTGGTACGAGCACTGTTTCATTAGCTGTGCCATCAAGTTTACATCGAAACTACAGATAATGTTCCATTCAGACGTTTTGTAGCTGGTGCAGGACCATGAAGGCCCACAGCACTGTGACTTCTGTCCACCAGTTTTTTTGTCAAGCGATATTTGTGGCCTGGACTTTAAACTGACCTTTAGTCTCTATATAAGGACAGTATGGAGTGGAGTGGACAGGCATGTTTTGAATTTAATCAGAGTTTATATACTACACCCTTAAAAATGATGGCTCTTCAAGAGTCCTTAAAGTAAAGAAAATGGTTCTATTTAGAACCCGAAACACTCAAAGAACTCTCTGCATGATTAAAGGGTTCTTTGCAATGTGAAAAGGTTCTTCAGATTGATCGAGAATGTGTTGTATGTGGTTCTATATAGAACCGTTTTGAAAAGGGTTCTTCTATCGTTACCAGCTTGACATCATAACGATAGAAGAACCCTTTTTGATGCTTTATAGAACCATCTTCTATATAGAACCATCGGCAGCACATGCTCCATCAATCTGAAGAACCATTTCATGATGCAAAGAACCCTTTAATTATATATTTATATATATATATATATAAGGGTTCTTTGAGTGTTTATGGTTCTATATAGAACCATTTTCATTGAGGTGTGAGCTCAGATACAGACCCGTGTGTGTGTGTGTGTGTGTGTGTGTGTGCGTGTGTGTGTGTGTGTGTGTGTGAGGATACAGCCAGCGGCCGAGGCGTGCGCAGGTAAGCGTCTGCCCTGCAGGTGTGTGATCTTCAGGTGCTGTGCTCGGGGGCTGTAGTTGTTGGCGATGGACTCGCTGGGCGTCCTGTGGTGCCGCTGCTCTTTGAACGGGACGGCGAGGGTCCGGGACGTGTTCTGCATGATGGGGGGGTACCGACTGAGCCGCTGAGCTCTCTGAGAGGACAGAAAGGAGGACACCATGACAAAATAGCAGCATTAAGACTCACACAAGGCCAGTTTCCCAAACATAGATTAAGTCGAGTCTTGGGCTTTAATGCAGAGCTCCACTGGAAATTCTTTGTAGACTAGGCTTAGGCTTAATCTGGATCAGGGAGTCCAGCTCATGGAGTCGTAAGTATGAACACTAAACCAATGTCATCATATCATATATGGATAATTCTAACAAGTTGGTTCAAACTTCAGTCCTACAGTGAAGAAACTGTTTAAAAAACAGTGACGATCTTTTATAAGAATTCTGTTCTGATCCATTTAAACCCAAGACATTAATCGAGACAGTAATGAGACAAATATACTCAAAATCATCATTTATAGGCTAATGTACAATTGGGAAAATAATATTTACACTCTTTTGTAATTCTTTTAAATGTTTTTTTAAAAATGTTTATGTTTTAAAAATGTTTTTCTTTTAAAACATACACACTTTCTAAACCGCTTATCCTTCTGGGTTGCAGGGGTGCTGGAGCCTATCCCAGCGGTCATTGGACGGAAGGCTTCTTTTAATATATATATATATATATATATATATATATATATATATATTGCTGTTGTCGGAAGAAAATCTCGTATCTCCAAAATGGTAACTTTACAGGAGAAGGAAAAAACCTACTTTACTGTTAATGTAAGTCAATGGAACCAGATGTTTTCCATGTAGTTTTGGGTCGTTTCTATTGGTCCATTCATCATGAAATTTACATACAATGTAAAGAGCAACAGGCATTTTCAAATTATGTCAAAAACTGAAAAACGATACTAAGTTTTTACGTTTTAATGATAAAATTATGCTTTTTACACCAACAGGCTGCTTCATTAAGTCCACCTCATTGTTTCTACACTCATTGTCCATTTTATCAGCTCCACTGACCATATAGTTTCACTCAGTAGTTCTACAGTTACAGACTGTAGTCCATCTGTTTCTCTGCACCCTGTTCTTCAATGGTCAGGACCCCCATGGACCCTCACAGAGCAGGTACTATTAGGGTGGTGGATCATTCTCAGCACTGCAGTAACACTGACGTGGTGGTGGTGTGTTAGTGTGTGTTGAGCTCGTGCAAGTGGATCAGACATATATATTTATATATATATGTATGTTGCAACCTTTTCTAAGAGTGTGTCCACACCTGGTACATTTCTGAAGGCATCTCTGTAGACGAGAGCGGGGGTAAGCTCCACGAGCGGTTCATGGTGTGGATGGGGTCTTCTTCCATCTGAGGAACAAACATTCAACAGGTTTGCGTTCCTCTCAACGGGCTATTTCCATGTGCTTCTGTATGACTGTTGATAACCTCAGCTTTATCTTCAGGACTCTTTACCTTTCCTGCTTGTACTGTTGATCAAAAACGCTGCCGTTTGTTTTTCCCCTTATGAAGAGCAGCTGAATGACCTGGTTTACATCTCAACCACTGTATTATGTAGAAGTTTTGCAACATCGCTGGAATGTCCCTTCAAGCCTTTAGAACACTAAAAGCCACCTCGTATTTTATCTTTAAAGGGGTATTTCAGAGATTTTTTAAAATTTCATGCATAATTCAGTGTGGTGATCGGAACCAGGGGTCACCATGACTACAACACAAATATAGACATTAATTTACTACCTGTCTATCTATCTGTCTGTCTATCTGTCTTTCTAGCTAGCTATCTGTCTGTCTGTCTATGTATCTGTCTGTCTATCTATCTGTCTATCTAGCTAGCTATCTGTCTGTCTGTCTATCTCTCTAGCTATCTATCTGTCTATCTGTCTGTCTGTCTGTCTGTCTGTCTATCTGTCTTTCTAGCTAGCTATCTGTCTGTCTGTCTGTCTGTCTATCTGTCTATCTATCTATCTAGCTAGCTAGCTAGCTAGCTATCTGTCTGTCTGTCTATCTAGCTAGCTAGCTGTCTGTCTGTCTGTCTATCTTTCTGTTTGTCTGTCTATTTTTTTCTCATTTAATTTATTCATTAATTTACTCAGCAAAACCAGCGTCTAGTTTACCAAAGCCGAGGTTCTCATTCGCCACATTCTTATTGGATTTTTCTGATGATCCGTCTGTGAGATGTAAACAGAGAGATTCAGAGTGGTTTGGTGTGAAATGGTTCAGGTGTCTTTACAGTGGTGGTGATAGGAACCAGGGGTCGCCATGACTACAACACAGATATAGACATTTTATTTACTATCCAGAACCACCAGTGAACCTACACGAGTCTTCTGAGTTTATATGGAATGTTGATGATGGAAAATAGTGGAAAATCTGAAATAATAAGTTTTTTTTTGGGGACTATTTTGCCTCACAGTGCCCTACATGTATCCCTCCACCATGAATGGAGTTTAAGTTCTCAAAACTATCATAAAACAGTGTCTCGGTCATCAGGCAGTGAATTCATAACCATTTCATGTAGGAACTTTCTGTGAGGGAGCTTTTAGAGGTGGACGTCTGGTTCCTATCACCACCACTGTGAACAGTTCTGACTGTGTAAGTTTATCTAGAACGGAGCGTTTCACTCTGAACGCCTCTGTTTACACCTTAACTGCGTAATTATTCTGAGATATTGTGAATATAAAGCCTGACCCGCCTGAGCTCCTCCATCTCCACCGCCGCTGCTGTTGTTGATCTCCTTGTTGTTGTTTGTCCACAAACCGACAGCTGCGTCATGTCACTCTGGGAGCTCGCGCGCTCCTCGCTCTAGCCAATCCGAGCGCGTCCTTCCTGCTGCCATGGCGACGGAGAGGAGCGTCGGGACGTTAGAGCCGACATTTCAGTCGCGCTGCTCCGCTGAGGCTCAGTTCGGAGCGGCTGATCCTCATTCACCTAGTCTGATCTCCAGCCTCGCGCACAGGTACTGTGATGACTGCTCAGTAACAGGTCCGAGCCGTGTGGAGGTCCGAGTATCGGGTGTCCGGAGAAGGAGCCGAAACGAGCCGAAACGAGCCGAAAGAAACTAAAGCAGCTCATCCGGGCGTCCCGTTGCTATTAGCAACGGCTATCCGGTTCCACAGTAATGAAGGTGGAGTTTCTGTCGGCCGGCCTGAGGTAGAGCTGAATACCGCAGAGTACCAGCACAGGGTCTGTCTGTCTGTCTGTCTGTCTGTCTGTCTGTCTATCTATCTATCTATCTGTCTGTCTGTCTGTCTGTCTGTCTGTCTATCTATCTGTCTGCCTATCTGTCTGTCTATCTATCTGTCTATCCATCTATCTATCTGTCTGTCTGTCTATCTGTCTGTCTATCTGTCTAGCTATCTATCTATCTGTCTGTCTATCTGTTTGTCTATCTATCTATCTATCTATCTATCTATCTATCTATCTATCTATCTATCTGTCTGTCTGTCTATCTATCTGTCTATCTATCTGTCTGTCTATCTGTCTGTCTATCTATCTATCTGTCTATCCATCTATCTATCTGTCTGTCTGTCTATCTGTCTGTCTATCTGTCTAGCTATCTATCTATCTGTCTGTTTGTCTGTCTGTCTGTCTGTCTATCTGTTTGTCTATCTATCTATCTATCTATCTATCTATCTATCTATCTATCTGTCTGTCTGTCTGTCTGTCTAGCTATCTATATATCTGTCTGTCTATCTGTCTGTCTATCTATCTGTCTGTCTATCTATATATCTATCTGTCTGTCTGTCTAACAATCTATCTGTCTGTCGGTCTATCTATCTGTCTGTCTCTCTGTCTGTCTGTCTGTCTGTCTATCTATCTATCTGTCTATCCATCTATCTATCTGTCTGTCTGTCTATCTGTCTGTCTATCTGTCTAGCTATCTATCTATCTGTCTGTTTGTCTGTCTGTCTGTCTGTCTATCTGTTTGTCTATCTATCTATCTATCTATCTATCTATCTATCTGTCTGTCTGTCTGTCTGTCTAGCTATCTATATATCTGTCTGTCTATCTGTCTGTCTATCTATCTGTCTGTCTATCTATATATCTATCTGTCTGTCTGTCTAACAATCTATCTGTCTGTCGGTCTATCTATCTGTCTGTCTCTCTGTCTGTCTGTCTGTCTGTCTGTCTGTCTATCTATCTATCTATCTATCTATCTATCTATCTATGTATCTGTCTGTCTGTCTGTCTATTTTTTTCTCGTTTCATTTATTCATTAATTTGTTCAGCAAAACCAGCGTCTGGTTTACCAAAGCCGAGGTTCTCATTCGCCACATTCTTATTTGATTTTTCTGCCCCACCTTAAATGGAGCGCCTGTACAACTTCAGTCTCTGTAATACAAGGGTGTCAATCTCAACCACTAAAAGGGCTGTATTTAGGAAAATATCTCAAAAAATCAGTGGGTGTTTTTTTAAACATTTTAAGAAACAAATAGCACTTTGCTATGACCTGCAGTGGCCAATGTTTATTCCAAATACACCAAAACACCAACAACAAAATCTAGGCATTATATATGTAATGACTGCACTGCAATCCCCAGCATGCACTGCAACAAAATGTGCACATACTGTAACGCCTTATATATTTATTTGCAAACAACTCAGTGTCGCTGCAGGGCTGAGAACCAAAACCATCCGGCCAACAGTGTCCTGCGGGCAGCATCCTGTGGGCAGCATCCTGTGGGCAGCATCCTGTGACCACTGTGAACTGCACCTATGTGGTAAGCGGACCTGATAAAATGGAGAAAGACTTCAGAAACAGGAGGTGAACTTAATATAGTGGCCGGTCAGTGTAAACACACAGGACACAAGTATAACTTATTGCTGAAAACAGCATTAGAGGGTAACTGTTCCTGCTAATGAAACATCAGTAACGTTTGTCCATGTAGGTTTTATAACCATACGCCACTGGCCTCGCAGCTCCAGTACAGTACTGAAGAGGTGTATGTTGCACCTGTCTTGCTGATCAACTTGCATAACTCTGATTCCTTTTGTCAGACTGTTCCTTCAGTGAGAGTGGAAGTGCATGGTGTGTGATATCATGCTTCAGCCACATGATGGCACTCTTTTACTAGTCCTAAGCAGCACAGGCAGTGGGCTCCAGACTCAGTAATAAACATAGAGCAGGGTGGCAGCAGCAGAGGAATTTACAGAGAAGCTCTTACTGTAAAGCAAAAATAACATCAAAAACTTCCACTGTATGAAAATATTTAATCAGAACTAGTTTTTTATCATTACAAATACAAAATGGTACTCAGCTTATTATTTTATCAAGCCTACTTATCTTAACTTATCGTTATCTATTTCCATATTATTATTATAACTCTACAGTCATAAATTTGCATCAGTCCTCTTCCAACTTTTAAACTAGAACCATAAAACGTTGCAGGATCACAGAGTCAAGGCCCGGAGAACAATATGTTGCTTGTGCTTTTTTAACTGATTCGACTTACAGCGTTCATAAAGCATTCGTTCAAACATGACCTTTTTCCATAGGAATGAATGTGGGAATGCTCAAAATCCTAAAACCGAGCCAGACCTAGTAACACCTTAGCAACCACCTGGGACACCATAGCAACAGCCTAGCAACCATCTGGAACAATGACCTAGCAACAGCTTAGCAACCACCTGGGACACCATCGCAACAGCCTAGCAACCATATGGAACAATGACCCAGCAACACCTTAGCAACCATCTGGATTACCATAACAATGGCCTAGCAACACCTTAGCAACCACCTAGGATACCATAGCACCAGCTTAGCAGCCATGTGGAATGTGGCAACATCTTAGCAACCGTCTGGATCACCATAAAAAAAGACCTCACATCACCTTAGCAACCACTTGGGACACAATAGCACCAGCCTAGCAACCATGTGGAACGACGACCTAGCAACATCTTAGCAACCATCTGGATCACCATAAAAATGACCTCGCAACACCTTAGCAACCACCTGGGACACCATAGAAACAGCCTAGCAACCACCCTGAATACCATAACAATGATCTAGCAACACCTTAGCAACAACCTTGGCTATTACACCACTGGCCTAGTACAAGCAACAAGCTGTAACATCATAGCAACCTCATAGCAACACCATAGTAACTACCTGGAATTACTATACAGACCCAGTCAATAGTGTCCTGGAAGTGCTTTTACTTTTAAAGCACTATTAAGTGGCTTTGTGAAGCCAACTTAAAGTTACTGTACAAACATAACCGTTATGATTAAAGACGGCTTATATGAGTCGAATCACTTATTTCGCAGTTTGAGAAACCCTGTTTTCTCAAAATTAACCCAGCGTACTTCAGTGTCTCGGCTCAGACTCTGAGCTGGAATAATGTGGATTCTCCAATTGTGAAGACGTTTCCAGAACTGATAGCAGTGAACCACATTTTGACTTTCGGTAAATATAATGTGATTTTGTTTGATTAATATACTTTGATATAAAAGTTTGTATTCATTTGCATAAATGATGTGTTTAAAATACTTAATTTTATATGATTATTAGTTTATATGAGTCATTTTTCTTCATGAAATGGGTCTCCATGGCTGAGCAGCTGCACACAAGCCTAAGATCGCTATGCGCAATGCCAAGTGTCGGCTGGAGGGGTGTAAAGCGCCGCCGCCACTGGACTCTGGATCAGTGGAACCGTGTTCTCTGGAGTGATGAATCAGCTTCACTATCTGTCAGTCTGATGATGAATCTGGGTTTGGTGGATGTCAGGAGAACGTTACCCACCGGAATGCAGAGCCAACAGTAGAGTTTGGTGGAGGAGGGATGATGGGCTGGGCTGTTTTTCAGGGTTTTCTTAGTGTTGTTTTCAGTATGTTCTGCCTGAAACTAGTGGAAATAAATAATGTTATAAGATTTTGAACCCTGTGCCGAAGTATGATATAGGATAAGGTTTTCTTTCATTTTTACCAATAATTCAGCAAAGAGTGACATGCTGGTGTTCAGTGTGTGAAACCCCCCCTGGTATTCGGGGTCCCCTGTTGTCAGTCTGCTAACTCTCTCTCCATAGCGGCGCTGATGCTTCAATGTCAGTAAATGTTTGTTTTATCAGCTGTTCTTCTGTAAAGTCTCTGTTCTAGTGCGGTTCTGCGCTCTTCCTCACATTAACTGAGATCTTCCTCGTCTCCTCTTCTGTAGAGTCTCTGTTCTAGTGCGGTTCTGTTCTGCGCTCTTCCTCACAGTAACTGAGATCTTCCTCGTCTCCTCTTCTGTAGAGTCTCTGTTCTAGTGCGGTTCTGCGCTCTTCCTCACAGTAACTGAGATCTTCCTCGTCTCCTCTTCTGTAGAGTCTCCTGTTCTAGTGCGCGGTTCTGCGCTCTTCCTCACAGTAACTGAGATCTTCCTCGTCTCCTCTTCTGTAAAGTCTCTGTTCTAGTGCGGTTCTGCGCTCTTCCTCACAGTAACTGAGATCTTCCTCGTCTCCTCTCCTGTAGAGTCTCTGTTCTAGTGCGGTTCTGCGCTCTTCCTCACAGTAACTGAGATCTTCCTCGTCTCCTCTCCTGTAGAGTCTCTGTTCTAGTGCGGTTCTGCGCTCTTCCTCACATTAACTGAGATCTTCCTCGCCTCCTCGGCCTTCAGTGTGAGAAATGAGGAACAGTCACTCTTCACTCCAAACTCTTGGGAAACTGGGCGAGTTTTCAGATTTACAGATCTGCTGCAGCTCATTGTAAAGTGTTTTAGAGGAATCCGGGCAGAGTTACAGTTTCTAGGCTATGAAGG